TTAATCAGCTAGAACGAATATCCTTGTGCTTGTTACCTGCTGTTTTTTTTATTATTGTTTTTGTGTACACATATGTTGTAAACCACTCCTACCACGTCTCCTGAAATAGGAGACAGTAGTATTAATAAATAAAATAAAAAATGTTCCATTATTATGTCAAAAACGATTGCCATTCCGTACATCCCCACAATCCTGAAGAAACAATGATTTTCTCATGTTCTCCATGCATTTCTGACCGCAGTTGGAACCTCCGGGCGTTCACCGCTAGTCGTTGAGAGACGGCGTTCTAGATTGCGCTACTCTGCTCCGAAGAAGCTATACACCAACTCATGTTTACAAACAAACTGGAGCGCCCCTAGCGGACGCCACCGGCGGCGCCGCGCATGCGCGGTGGATGGTGGGCAAGAAGCCCGCCGTCGCCCATAAGCAAACCATTGAATTGCGTTTTGTCGGCATCGGTGGGAGTCCCCGTGCTCTTTTTTGCGTAGGAATTGTTGATTCTACGTCCTCCTTACAATGTGTGACTACTTCAGCGGCTTCAGCAAAACTAACGAGGCCAAACTTTGCGTGAATAATGTGACACGCGGCGATTCATTTCACGTGGACACCGCAGAATGGGCGCTAAAGCCTGATTTTCACGATGAGATTCTGCTCGCTATTTTCAGTCGCGACGTCGCTCCGGATGCAAAAGCGTGGACCGTAGCTGAGGTGGTGGATGTCGATACTGAAAACCGCAAGTAGGATCGGGCATTACAAGTCGGGTGAGGGCCACTAGTAACAATGATCAACATCGTCTTGTATCTGTTAACACTTAGCCTACTTACCCCAACCAACCTTCAAAAGTGTTTTAGGCCTGCACTTACTTCTTATCGCAATTACCGGGTCAACGTTTGGTTTACGGGCCGCTGTCGTTTGAACGAGCTGACGACAAAAAGCAGCCAAGTTTGAAAGAGCAGACAACAATTCGAACGCTTGCGCAATGGAGTATGGGCAAGAAGCACCGCGTCCAACGTCAACAAACCATTCGAATGTCACGTTGTCGACGTCTGTGTGAATCTGCATACTCTTTTTCGCGTTGGAATTGTCGATTCTACGTCGTCATCGCAATGTCTTATCACTTTAATCACCTGAGCGAAATTATCAAGGCTTGTTACGCCGCTAAACTTTGCGTAAATAATTTGACGTGCGGCGATTTATTCGCATGAACGCCGCAGAATGGACGCCAAAACCATGACGAGATTCTTCTAGCTATTTTCGGTCGCGACGTCGCTTGTGCTGCAAAAGTGTAGAAGGTAGCGGCGATAATCGACGTCGATATTGGAAAGAAAAGGAAGTGGATATTCTGCCGGCAGCCGGCACAATAGCCCGGGAAAAAAGGTGTCGGCAGTTGTGACCCATTGGGTCTCGTGTAAAACAAATTGTGAACACGGCTGTTTCAAGGTGCAGACTGCAGAGTAGCTCAGTGCTTGCCTCGTACGCAGCAGGACACTAATTCGATCCGCCGTGTTTTTTTTTTTAAAGTTTGTTTTGTTTTGTAGAGGCATTTGGCGATATTTACGACATATCTTTTTTTTAGGATTAACACTGACAAAAAAAAAAAGTAAATAAATAAAACGAGTTTTTTCGAAGAAACTTCGCTATGGACTCCCTTTCCCCCCTTTCCGGGGGTGAATGGAGGACAGCGGGGCTTGGGCCGCCAGCGGGCCTCCGCGAAGCGGCGTGAATAGAGTTCCTGTATATGCTACCTACGGTAGCAGAGTTGCGCATTCAGCCTCGGCGCGTGGCCGTAGCGCCGGCTTCCCCGCACGAGCTGGATGCTTTGCTCCTCACGTGACTAAATTTGGCGAATAGCGGCGCCGCGCGCGCCGCCGCGCATGGAAAAAAGGAGAGGAGGAAAAGGAGGCGGAAAGCAGGGAAACATACGCCGGGGCAAGAGAAACGTCGGCGGAGCGACCGTAAAGGTGGCTTTCTTGCACGCCAACGGATGCTTTGCTCCTCACGTGATGGATCTCGGCGAATAGCGGCGTGGCGGCGCGGGGAAAACAAATGCGCAACTCTGGCTCCCGTAGGGAGCCTATACAGGAACTCTAGGCGTGAACGCAGGCGGGGGGATGTGTTAACGAGCTCCCCAGTGATACACGCGCCGTCCGAAACTGCCGGCATTTTTTTCCCCGAACTATTTTGCCAACTGCCGGCAAAAAAAAAAAAAAAAAAAAAAAAAAAAAAAAAAATCGGAAGCGGGAATTAGTAGGTGATGGCCACCGGTACCAATGATCTTGTATCTACTGTTTACACCGAGCCTACTTAAGTCTTTTGAGGCCTGCAATTACTTATAATTGCAATTACCGTGTCAAAGTTTGGTCTACGGGCTGCTTTTGTTTGAACGAGCAGACGACAAAAAGCAATGTATGAAAGAGCATACGAAAGTTCGAACGATCAGGCGGCCGTGTGAATTTGATGACGCGCTGAACCCGTGGGTGGTCCGGACAACTTGGCGGTTTTCTCTCGTTCATGTTGGAACAAAGCAAATACATCTTGCGACCACAAAGTGTTGCCCGCACACGCAATCGTGGTTTGACAGTGTCTGGTTTGCCCTTTTCACGGCTACTATTCACGTTCTCGGACGAAAACGGAGGGGGCAAAAACAAATGAAAACTGATCTTCAAACCTTTCCAGGCTCTCTTGGTACAGCCCCCGTCGCAGCATTTTGACGAGAAGGCAGCTTTTTTTGTCTCGTTTCTTCCAAAAGAACACAGGAACGCTTGTTTGTCACGGCTAGAGTCACTCACGGCGACCAGAGCCGTACTTCTGCCCACCGCCCCAGACCGGAAGTGCGTCCGGCGCGCCACCACCGCGGCGTGACGTGTTTTCGCCCATACTGGAAGTGACGACAATTCAAGATGGCGGCGCCCTTGCGGAAAAGGTCGAGACCCACGACAGAGTCAGAAGCACTTAAATACTGCAGCTGTGTCTTGATGTGCATATCATCGAAAGACAAGATGCACATCTTTTGCACATACGGCATTGAGGCAGCAGCATTCTTAACAGCCTGAAGGATCACTGAACAAAAGCCAGGAGCCTTCGCAACTCCAAGAATGCTGCGCTTCAATGTCGACTTTGATGGCAGCTGTAAGTACTTCCTTAGCACCCTGTATGGGCACTCACTTGATCGAATGACGTTTTAGCGAACGCCCACGTTTCATCGAACGACACTTTAGCGAATAGTCGGACGCCGCGAAGCGGCGTTTTCGGGTGGGCCAAGTGAGTTCATATTTTTGTAATGAGTTGCCGTAGACTGTCGCCGCGAAGCGGCGTAAAGCGCAGCGCGACGGATGGGTTAACGCGCGCCCCCGTTATTCGCTAAAACGAACATTCGCTCAAATGTCGCCGTTCGCTAAAATGTCATTCGCTCTTGTGATATGGACCCGAATGAGCTTGGTCTTCGGCCTCTTCGGCGTCACCAACTGTCGCTTGCCACCGCTGCTTTCCTGAGGTGTCTTCCTTTTCAGGCTCCGATGTCTAGCTGGGAGTTATCCGTAGTGCAGAGCTGGAGAAAGATAACAATACATAAATAAATGTTTAGAACTCGTAAGAGTCAAAGATGTCGTAGAAACATCACAAAATTCAATATGGCACTGTCCCTTGATTTTTCTCCTTAAAAAATATGGAGACAAGAGCCCAACTTGCTCCACTCGGGTGATGAGCGGGGAGTAAAAATAGATAGTGAAACTAGGGATAGCTTTTGAACCAGACAGAAAATTTCTTTTATGTCTTGTTTCGAAATGAGAAAGTGACGCGCTACAGTGTCCCGCACACTCTATTCACTTAAAGAATGAATTCACTCTTTATGAACAAAATTCACGAGTCTACTTCCCCGCAGTGCTCACATGCAGCCAATTATTGTGTTTTACCAAATCAGAAAAGCAAACATATCAAGCTCAAGAAAGCTACTTTTTGGGACAGTGCAGTCTGTTCCAAACGTTCCAAACCTGATGACTGGTCTTCTGCGTGCTCTACGAGAACGTAGACGCACAAGCTTTTTTTCATAAATAGCGCATTCATTATTTGGCTAAATACAGTACTAGAGAGGGTGAAGAGCAGATCGAATTGAATAGTGTAGTATTTCAATTTTTTCATTCAAGTATTTCTCGCCACACTAACCAGATGGTGCCACCGTTACACCGTTGCCCGTGTTATCAGGGTTGCGTCCCCGTGGCGCTCAACCCCCACGTTGTTGACCGTTAAATAAACAGTTACGATTCAACCACCGTCTTCGCCGGTCGTCTCTCTCTCTCCGTCCGGGGCTCCCGCGCCCGGCCTGCCGTTCATCTCTTCGGCATGCAAGACCCCTCGTTTTCCGCAGGCCCACGCAGGCCCTGCTCTTCTTTATTTTCACGGGTGTCCGCATTTCCTTTAATACAACATTTTGGCGACGAGGAATTACTACACATGCCCTATAGGTCGATTGTGTTAAAGTAGTTTGTCAGCAAGAATAAAACTACTGTGTGATCACCTAACGTTCTCCAGTATTCGCCACCATTTTCGAAAATCCCCGATTGCTGATTACGGAATGAAAGGGCACCGTGCAAGATTTGTTAAAAAGTACTTGGTCTTTACCTCGAAAGTACATTGTATTTATAGTACTTTACTTCAAGTACATTGCATCCAGTGTACTTACTGTTTTACTTGAAGTACACAACCTCTTACTTACTTTGTACATCAAGTACTTTTTAGGTGTACTTTTCACAACACTGCCGATACCGCAGTACATCACAATTCCTCCAGGCACTTAATTTAGTAAATCAGAAAGATGTAAAACCAGTGTGAATTGTGGTATACCTAAAGAAACGGCCATGCCAGCAGGCAGCGGCAGCGCGAGCCCTGTATATGACGCAGCTTGCGACCTGCACGTATTAACCATTAAAGATTGAGCCTTCCATTAGGGACAACCCGTGTCGGCTCTCTTGTTCACGATTTAAACAGAAGCACATGACAAGCCCTTGCAAACATGAAAGCATTTTCACCTTTATTGAACATACACACTGGAAGTCTGTTCCAAGTACAAGAAAGCCAAATGAGGTCTCGATAAGCTCACTCCTTTCACGTAGCACCCTTTAATAGTCCACATTCAACCGACTGATGCCAAGAGTTTCCAGAGTGCATGCACACACACATGCATGCACGCACGCACACACACACAAACACACACAGACACACACACACACAGAGAGAGTCTGCATAGGTCAGTTTTTAAGCATGTCATGACAGTTCCATTCATTTCAGTGGAACACAGCCAGTCACTACAAGCGACTGATCACCCTGCAAGTTTGAATCACCACAAGAATCATGAACACAAAATGTGCAATGCACGTAAAATTAACAAAAAAAAGAAAGCAGCAGCCTTTTTTATATGTAGATGATTCTCTCGGAAGATACTATATCCGGCATGGATTTCACACACATTTTTCAGTTGCAAAACGACTTAAGCCTGAAAAGAATGTTTTCACACAAAGGCAGTCCTTAAAAATCGAGTGGAAGTAGCACGTTTTAATTACTGATAAATATGTAAAATTTTTGTTGCTAACAAACACATAAATGCGATGTACACATGACGGAGAAACAACGGTACCTAGGTAACCTAAGGCCCAAACATTAAGCTTTCTTGACTTGCCACGAAATGCCGATGCACTGCCCGATGTGGGACAAGTAGGGAGCACTGATTGGACGACTGTCTATAGTTGGCGAGAGGTTAAGAATGCAACAGAGCTCTTTCTCTAGCGGAAGCTTTCTACCTTCAATACAATGCTTGGGTGTCTCATGGGCAAGCACAGCCAAAGCACAACAGAAGGCAGCGGCGCTTCTGCTGTGTTCTTAACTTGTCACTGACTAAGTGATGACACAGCGCTAACGGCGGCCAATTGATGATCTGCGCTTGTGTTACGACATTGAACAAATCGCTGTGACAATCATTGGTGAGTAAGAAAGAGTGAATGGGCCCTAAGTAGTATGGTGGTTAGTTGGGCTTGTTGCGAATGCATGGCTAGATATAAAAACTGCACTTAAAGGGAAGCTGAAGAGATCTTTGAATTCAAACGAATAGTAAAAGCTGTAATGAAGACACCTTAAAAAATGGGCCTTAAGTTGTTTTTTTTTTTCAATCTTATTAATGGGAGCGTCTTAACAGCCAACTAAAATTGCGACAATTAAAAATTAGCAAAAGTGATGTCCTCGCGGAATCAGAAGGACCCTTGCTCGCCACTAAGCTGGCTCGGGAACGCCGAAAATGACGTCACGACGCCATGGACAGATAGCAGGCGGCAGGGGGGTTTGCCGCACGCTCGGCGGCAACCACTGCACATATTTTTCGAAATAAATGCGGTTTATGTTTACATCTGCCCAAGATAAGTGCGATAACTGAATTCATAGGACAAAAAGATATAGAAATCTGCTCCTAACTCAGAGTTCTTGGAAAGTGCTTCAGCTTTCCTCTAAAGATGAAGACCAAGTAGACAAATTCATTCATCTGCTTAACCTTTTGTCCCTTCCTGTGTCTAGTTGATGTTTACAAAAAACGATTTGACCCGTGACAATATTGAAATTAATTTTTGTGAGAATTATGCCACCATATCTTTAATGAACCGCTTTGGAAGAAAACAGTTTTTTCAGGCCCCTGTTCAAATGGACAGAGACAAGTGCCATTCTGAACTTCATTGCATTAAGATCAATACCCTTCTTACCCTTGGTCACACTGATTCAGTTTCAACGACTATGATCTGAATTTATAAAGGAAACAATCCTTTGATGGATTAAATGAATGTTCAGACATGTTTTCCCATCCAAGCCAGACAAACAATGCGTGAAGTCGGTACCTTGCAATTCTGTTAAATATGGCATCATGATGTAGTGCTGCACACGAAATGCACATTTTTGGTATTGGTGCCACATTCCTTTTCTGTAATGCCTTTTTTCCTAATTCATACAGTCACCTACTTCGAAACTGGCTAATTTCAAATTTTCAAGCCCTTCATTCAATGCGCATGAGCAACTCAGAAAGTGCAGGTGCGACAATAATATGAATGACGTTCTCGTATTGGAAACGACCGAAGTCTGGGCCAAAACAAATAGCAGTTAACTACGCGTGAATCCTTCCATCCGCTGAAGCAGACACGGGAGATTCGTACACGACGTACATGCGCATGGGATACCAAAATAGTCTCTGACGTTTCAACAAACTCCTGCTAAACGCTGCACGCCAAACAGTCACAACTGTCTTCCGGAAAGGGAAACGAGTGTATTGTTTCAAATTTAGTTTGTAACAAATGACGTCAACGAAACTTATAAAAAAAATAAAGGCAGGTACTGACGACATGCACAAAAGCGGATGATCCTCGTGAAGTAGGTGGTAGCTGCGCAAACTAGAATGCCGCGTCGAAGGCGATAAACAAAAATATTCGAGCTAGGAAGCAAGCAAATTTAAGAATTTCTACACGTAAACGCGACCTCCTACGATGGCCGCAACAAAACAGTGCGAGAGCACTCACTATAATGCCGAGCTGCCCATTTTCGCCCTGCTTTCAGACTCGCATACAAAAGCCAACCAACCAGCGAGCCACTTGGCCATACTCGTTCCCGCATTGTCGGAACCGCACATAAATTTGCTCGTTACTGGATAAACGTAGTTCGTAAAATTGCACCTGAAGGTTAGCCCTTCGGGTACAAGCTTTACACGCAATAAAAAGAAGGGGGCGCTTGACCAATAAGTGTCGTTTACCTGAGCTTCTCATGGTCGGCGCCCGGAAACAAGATACACGCGCGCCACGGTACGAAAGGTCCGTGACGATGGCACTTTCTTCGGCAAAGAGCAGTTCCGTCTACGCTGAGAGCCAGCCCCGCGCTTGGTTATACAAAAAGGTCCGAAGATCTGCACTTCCTCCCCGTGACGAGGAGCGATTCCTGACGCTAAATGGTGGCAGGGCATGTAGCTGCATTCAGGGACGAATGCTGTGAACCGTGTGGCTATCGGCAGTCCGTGACAATGCGGTTCAACCGGGTGACTGTACTCACCAGCCACCCATTCATTTGTGTTTTGGGAAGAAATTTGCAAGTGTGTCCGACACCTGTGTCTTCACAATCCGACAAGTTTGATGATATGATTAAAACGTTGAAACAAAAGAGCGAACAATGTAGAAATGCAAATGGAAAAGTTACGAACATTGTCCCACCTTGAAGATGTCAACTAAAATTCCAAAATAAGTTACTTTCGGGACTTTGCTCTTCTGTGGCGGCGTGACAAGTAAATAAGAGAAGTTCCAAGCACGAAATATGTTCCACACTACGTAACTAGTAAAATCATTTCTAAAACCTGCGTAAAAACGGCTGACATGTCAGAAAAAGAAAAAGAATAAATCTGCAATAAGCTGCCATCACTTCACTCTGTCCCTACAGCCTTGCCCTATTATGACGCAGCACTCAACTTAAGCCTAAAGTGTTCAGAAAAGTCGTTTGAATAAAGAAAGGCACACATCACACAACCGTAGATCACGGCGGCGGCGCAGCGATGGCGCCGGGAAGTCTCCGATTCCTCCAGTTCACCGCACTTGGCAACAAAGTTGAACCGTCCCACCAACGTTCAGTGGCACCGAAGCAACGTCAGAGCGATGCCAAACCAACAAAATTACAGTGAGAGCGTGGGCAAGCTGGAGCGTATTTACCATTTTGTCGAATGACCCAAGACTGGGGCAAGAAACCTGGGAAACGTCGAACTCCGATTTCTGGCCCCAGTATTGGGGAATTCAACAAAATGCCAAAACAACGTTGCACAACCATGTGTAAGCGTCCCACCAACGCGATGTCCGAGGGACGCCGCAGCAATGTCTTTCTAACGTTGCGCAACGACATTGGAAACGTCCACCAATTTCGAGAAGCACTGGACCCATGTCGTTCCAACGTACGTTGCAACGTCCCACGATGCCGGGTGGCACCAATGTGGCGTGTCGATGCCCAATCCATGTCGTTCCAACGTTGCAACGTCCCACAACGCTGATACTGAGCGGCACCAATGGGGCGTGTGCCAAATCGATGTCGTTTCGACGTTGCTCGAGCCGTCCAACACGTAAGCCGTCACACCACCGTCGTCGTAGTGGAGGGAGGCGGTTTCTGCACCACGGTGTTGTCCGTGTCGTCATCGTCCTCATCGCTGTCCTCTATGTCGCACACATTGTTGACGGACAGGTCGGAACAGGACAGGTGGGAGGAGGACGGGGCGCCCTCTACCAGGAACCCGCGGCCTCCCTGGGAGGGGAAGCCGTAGGACACAACTCCGTCCTCCGAGAGGTCGTCTGCGGGTGACTGGTCATTGCTCAGGCAGTGCGAGGGCAGGTACTGGTTCGGGTGGCGCTCGTAACGGTGCGGGGAGGCACCTTGGGCTGGCTCTTCTTCGTCATCCTCGCTGATCTGCAGCAGCTGCTCGTAGCCCTGAAAGAAAGGCACCGCATTTTGAGTCCTAGAAAAAGGGTCCGGTCGTTCGCACCATACTTTACAGGTTAATTGTACCGTAAAATATGTAAAAGGTCCACATCAATATAAGCCCTCCCCCCCTTCTGCTGGCATTCAGTTAATTGAACAATGTTTCATTGACGGATCGTTTTGCCGATGCTTCGTCGACGGTTTCATCTACACAAGTTAAACTCATTTTCGGAATACCCAAACTCTACTTTTTTCCGACGTGCAGAATAGCTATTGAGAAAAGGCGAAATAAAGGTGATGCCAAAAACAATCTTAGAATTTTCCGGCACTCCCAGTCGGGAGGGCATTGCATAACTTGCAAGTCGCACAGGCAGTGTAGAAAACACAGTTTTTTTTTTTTCCACTTCGCTGAAGTGAGCTTTTTTAGCATTCATTTCACACCATCAAACTTCTTGTAACCCGTTTGGCACAAACTCTGCTGCCCCCATATTGAACCATAACACAACATCTGACGTCGTGTCTCCAGTGTTGCCATTAGAGCCTTTCAGCCTCTCGGACAAAATCTGAAACTTTAATAATTAGTGGCGAATCCCACTGGTCGTTTTGGTGCACGCCGGTACAGACTTTTCTGCCTATTTCACTTGGCGGTCGGGAGCGCAATGGACGTGTTCAACTCGTCGTTTCAGATAAATTCCCACTCCAGATCCCGATCCAGATACCGAGAAAAGTCGCACCGTCGGTTTTGGCGGATTCGACCGGAAGCCAGCCTGGCCAACTCTCAGCATGCAAACATGAGCTCCTTCCTCCCAAAGCTCGGAAGAATTCGTAATAGCCGCTCGCGGAGTGCCGCCCACTTTTCTGCTGCTGCTGCTGCTGCTGCTGCTTGATGACAGTTCGTCGCTGAATTGCTCAAACAGCTCCTTTAGCAGCAGCGGCTTGAGTATCAGCGACAACGAGGATTGCTTGTATGTCCCCCAAGAATTCGACTACATTTCCAGACCTCCGCAGAGGAGGCCGAAAATCGAGACGTGTTTGGATACTGTTCACAAGTATTTGCAACTTTCAATGATGGTGGTACCGCAGTGTGGGAATCACACTCCCTAGCTCCCGGATGATGGACTTCAACATAGAGATGCCTGCTTACACCTTCCTGACGCAAAGATAGGACGTAATGCTTTCATATCACTTGGATTTCACAAAATTATCATTACTTCCGCATCACGGACAGAACTTCATTCAGCTGTTCTAGGACAATCATTTAGATGACAGCCGTTTTGATAGCAATGGGAGCGGCCCCTATAGGCCGTGAAAGTTGTGATAAAGAATCAAGTGGGCTATGCTGATGCACGTATCGCGTATGGACACGGATCTTTCACATCATCATTAAGTTTGTTCGTGTGATGAACACGTGTTGTTAGCGCCGCCATTGCGAAAACATGTGCTTTGAGATCTGGGACTGGGGGAGGGAATTCTTGGGAAGGTGAATGACCGGAAGGCATCCTCCAATCTCGGAGGAGTGGTCATATTGCACTGGGGATTGGGAGGCGGACCGACTCCGTGTGCATCACAAGCTCCATCTCAAATCTGGTCTACTAACCTCGGCGCGCTCTAAAACGACCAGTGAAATTCGCCATTAGCAAAAAAATGATTGATTTATCTTGATCCCATTGATAAAGCGAGCACACTCATAATGTGTTTTTGTGGCATTCTTCAGGGTTTGTGGCGGATGTTGCGGTTTGTTTTTAGTTTTCTTTGGCAATAGCATATTATTTTATTCCAAACTCGAACCTTTTTATCTTATGCGATGGTGGGCACGTCTTGGATTTTTTTCTTTGTGTAAACCGTTCAGATGCCAACGCTGAATGTCGGTCCAGCGTTTTTGTCCCAACGTTTCGGAGGGACAAAGTCGGCCGGTTTTGTGTCTACCCACCGACTAGCAAAGTGGTAGAACGTAGAACTCACAGTCCCGGGGTCGTAGGATTGATTCCCGTTGCCATAGCAAGTCAGGCATTTACAATGGCATGCTTGCTAATTTACCGCTCTTTTAAAGCAACATAGCTTTAAAGAGCTCGTGTCGCAGAAAAGCCGGCGTCGGCGGGACTAGAAAATCCTGAATTGGCCGATAGGGTCATGATGTCACAGCCACATGACCTTGCGTAGGAATTTCAAACAACCCACAACGCTCATGTCAAGCGTGATGTCACATGTGGAATGAAAGTGATTAAAACATGACATGTAATGCGAATTAAAGGTTACCGTATATGTCTCGAATGATTTCGTTTTATAAAGTAATTCATTTGCCTTAAAGAAATGTTTTTAAGAATTAGGCAGAGGCAGGATTCGAACCCACAACCCTTTGGTAGCAAGCCAGACACGCTATTGACTAAGCCACGCAGACACGCTGCACGGCTTGGGAATGAGGGGGGCTTTATATGTTTAGCTATCGCATTCCGAACTTATAGGCAAAGCTTAAGTGTCCTCCTGTAATTTTTTAACAATAACGTGTAGACGCCGATTGACCAGTAGATCAGCGCCTTATCGCAGCATGAAACAGCAGGTAAGCGAGACTACGCACATGTGGCAGAAGGTACACATCTAGCCTTGCTGTAATTAGACATGAGGAAGATACACAGAAAGGGGGGACGGACAACGGACAAACAGCAAGCCTTGCTGGCTTGCTGTTTTACGCTGCGGTAAGGCTCTGACCCAACGGCCGGTCGGCATTCGTGCAATATTGTTAAAAAATCTGGAGGCTGTACATGTTGCACATTTCGTAACTGTTTCATTAGCATTCCCTTGCACCTTCCTCAGAGATCCCAGCACTTTGAGACATTCTGTCTTGAAAAGTTATTTTGACTTGCAATTTGAGTTATTAGTTCAGACGCGTGTATTAATGTGTCTGACCAATTCCAAGGTAACTCAGTGCCTATCGAAATTCTGCCGAGTTCCCCTTCGACGAGGGGCGTGTCACTCCTCCTTGGCCGGGGTCCCCACCTGAAAGGGGGCGTGGCCGTCCAGGGACTCGTTGTTCTCCGAGTCGCCCACGTAGTCCGACTCGTCCTTGAGTCCGGGCAGCAGGTCCATCTGGCTGTTGCGGCTGTTGGAGTCCCCGCTGCGCAGGCTGCACGAGTCCTGCACCTCGTTGCCCGGGACCTCGCTGATGTTGGCCAGGGGCTTCTGTTCCGTCGTCAGGTCCGAGTAGTCCCAGCTGTAGCCTGGGGCGGGGAGGGCAGCGTTGGCAAAGGTCGGCTCGCTCTCTACGTTCCGAGCACGTGCGGGGGAGCAAGGGCTGAGAGTAAGTCTGTGAACGTCTGAGTGAGAGAGCAAATCTGCGAAAGATTGAATGACAGAGAGTGAGTGAATCTGTGAATGAATGAATGACAGAGTGAGTGAATTTGTGAATATGCGCATGAGAGGGCAAATATGTGAATGAATGAATACCAAATACTGAGTGAATCTCTGAGAGAGTAAATCTGAGGGAGCGGGGGAGTAAATCTGAATGCATTGATGTGTGTGTGAGGAAATAAATCTGCGAATGAATAAATGTGTGAGTAAGTGAAAGAGTAAACCAGTGAATTAATGAATGTGTGAGCAGTGAAACTGTGAATGTGTGCATAAGAGAGTGAGTGAATCAATGAATGATTGAGAGAGTGAGTGAAGCTGTGAATATGTGCATGAATGAATACCAAATACTGAGTGAATCTCTGAGAGAGTAAATCTGAATGACTTAATGTTGTGTGTGAAGGAAAAAAGAAATCTGTGATTGAAGGATTGTGTGAGTGAGTGGGTGAAAGAGTAAGCCTGTAAATTAATGAATGTGTGAGAGGTGAATCTGTGGTTGTGTGCATGAGAGCAAATCAACAAATGAATTAATGCCAGAAAGTGAGTGAATCTGTGCATGAATGAATGAATGTGGGAGTAAATTGTGAATGAATAAATGACAGAGAGTGAATCTCTGAATTATGCATGAGGGGGCAAATCTGCAAATGAATGAATGTTAAATAGTGAGTGAATCAGTGAGGGAGTAAATTTGAATGAGTTAACGTGTGCAGGAGGGAATAAATCTGTGAGTGAGTGTGAGACTGGAGGGAGTAAACCCATGAATTCATATACGAGAGTAAATCTGAATGAATGAATGTGAGTCTGTAAGGGAATAAATCTGGGAATGAATATGTGTGTGAAGCACTGAGTAAATTAGTGAATGAATTAATCTATGTATGTGTGAGTGAAGGAGTAAACCAGTGAATGAATATGTGAGTGAGGGAGTAAATCTGTGAATGAATAAATATGCGAGCAAGTCTGAATGAATGCATGTGTAAGAGAATAAATATGTGAACGAATATGTGTGTGAAATAGTGTGTAAATTTGTGAATGAATGAATGTGTGAGGGAGTGAAAGAATAAACCTATGAATGAACATGCGTGTGTGAAGAAATCAATATTTGAATGAATGAATAGGTGAGTATAAATATATCCGAATGAATATCTGTGAATGAGTGACTAAATCTGTGAATGAATTAATGCGTGAATGAAGGAATGATTCAGCAAATCTGAGTGAGTAAATCTGAGAGAACAAGTGAATAATGTGAATGCATGAGTGAATGAAGTTGTGAATTAATGAATGAATAAATAGATGAGTGAGCGAATGTACAAGTTAGTGAAGGTGAGCACATGCGCAAGTGAGACTGCGAGCATGTCTCCCTTGTCCTAACCTTTTGATGCTTCTTTAACAATCAATCTATATCAAGTAATTCAACTTTGTGCTCTTTTATCGGAAAGGCTACTGGGTGTTTAAATGTCTGCTCCCAGTGTTCCTCTGTTCGATCAGGTTCATCTCATTCGGATCTAAAACAAAGCCACAGTGTTGGTTGAAGTTAAACTGAGTGGTCCTTACAGCAAGATAAGGGTGGAATGATCACTAATGAAATAAAAGAAAAAGTCCCAAACGCAGGTTAAAAAATCTGGGAAAAGGGTAAAGAACTCGGGAAAGCGTAAAATAATTGCCAGGCTTTTATCTTTTTACTTTTAAAATTAAGTGATAGAACTTAAAACCCAGATAAACTTTCATTACTTTTAGTTGGAAGACACCACAGGTCAATTTAGCAAGAATAATGTAAAGTGCAGGCAGTAAAATATTGCAAATAAATAAATGCAGACACATACACAAAAATGGAAAGAGGTTGAAAAAAAGAAAAGCACTATGACACCTCATCAGTCAGGTCGCATTTGACAATAAAAACAGTAGGAGCACCTTTGAGAAAAGTTTCCATGTGTCATACTTTTGCATTTTTATCTTGGTTGTCTTATGTAAATTCCTTCACAAATTACAGAACTAAAACTACTTCACAGCTTCTCCAGTGCGTGACAACATTGACATGATATGTCGTCAGAACTGCACATCAGTAGTTCCTAAACAAAGATAATGAACATGCAAAACTAAAAATGCCCACCAGTTGTTAGCACTTAACGAACTTAGTGGACACAGGTAAACAAACAAACAAACACACACACATTCTCAAGCTCAACAAAAAAAAACTCCTGCAATCCAGACCAACTAGGGAGTACCAAGCAAACACACGGTTTTGTCATAAATGGCTTGGAAAAACCATAAAGTAATTTCATAATTTCGTACTCCCATGGGAGTCTACAACAAAACAATTATACAGAGAATCTTTTTTAGGCGTTACAGGTTTGTTTTAAGATCACAAAAGCTACATTAATAGCAGCCTGTGCAGGCGAGTTATACGGCGAGGGGGACATACTATAGGGGTCTAATCGTCACAGTAAGTCGGATGATCAACTAAAACTTGTTAATTTCAACCCTTTAATTAGTAAAACTAACCATGGTTTCAATTAAAAACTTGCTGAGCATCTTGGAAAGCCACCAAAGAAGTAAAATGTGGGAATTGCAGTGGTGCGGCAAAGTTACCACACGTGCAACAGGTGTAATGCTGGCAGTCTGACACCATGGACGTTCTTTTCATTCGCATTTTCGGATTGCCAACGTGCCTGTTTGACGAGGGGTAATTTTGGCGCACCCCTGCACTTACCACAAGCTTCGGATATCTCTAGAATTGACTGATCTAGCGGTTTTCGGTGACGCTAAGGTAAGGTAACTAACACATTGAAGTTGCTTATCCAGCTTATTGTGACAATTAGCCCCCTACATCATGTCCCCCTGGCCGAATAACTCACCTACACAGACCGCATTAGTGTACCTTTCACGAATCTTATTTTTTAATACATCTGTTCGAACTAAAATCGAACACCCCGTATCTGCAGGCAATGCACGTAGGCAGGCAGGGAACAAATTGCAGTGTGTCACAAAGTTTGCATGCATGCTGCCTATGGCAGCCACATATTACGACTACAAGTGTCAGTTTATCCCTGGTCCCAGAAACTTCAGGGTGAATCAGCCTCACTCAACCAAGGAGTAACTTTCTTGGCTGTTTTCACGAGATTAGGATGCAGTTTCCCACCAAATTAAAATGTCGACGTGGAGTAGTGGAGTAGAGTAAGACTTCCCACAGATTAGCATCAGACGGCTAAATTAATCTTGAACTTGCAAAGGCAAAATTTTCTCGATTCGTAGTTTGACTAGCTGTGCGTACCACACACATGCCAGCCACGGGGAATGAATAACGATGGCCTCTTTATGAAGTGAAATACCGCTCAGAGAAACTCAGCTAAGAGCAACTCCCAAATAACAGGAATGAGTGCATTTACAGTACAAGTGAGGTGAACACTGATATAGTAAATATATAGAAAAAGTGTAAATACACTTGTAATGCTAGAACTAATGTAGTGAAGCTACCAATATAGCAAACATTGTTCCCAAAAAAGTCCGACAGGTTCTGGTGAGTGAACCAGCTTTACTTACCTGAACCTGTTTAGAGACAGTTTCTGTTCAAGGTAAGAAATTTTCAGAGTTTGTGCGGATTGCTCGTTTCTAACCTAAGTTATTGTAAAACCTCGTACGTATAGGGTACCTTCAATTCTCACACGCACTCTAATATCTTCCAGAAAAATTGGTGTCTGCACTTAGCAGTTTCAAACTTTCACCAATGGTGTTCATTATATTTCCCTCAGGAGTTTCAAGGTGTAGCTTCCTGCGAGAAATGCAACCAACAAACCTGCCAGACATCGAAACAGGCGACGAAGTCGACGAGGGTTGCACCTATGGTGCTGTCTCCAGATAGGCGTAGCGAGCAGACGACTGTCTGCTTTTGACTCAGTGCGTCATCTGCTCGCTGCTCCTGCCAGAAAATGGTGCCACAAGCACTATGCCCTCTCAGCCGGTTGTCTGTGTCGACGTCTGCTGTTGGCTCTGGCAATTTTTCGGCCTCACGTTTCACGCGAAGGGATCCTACACCTTGAAATTTCACGAGGCAAAGTGCACTGCTAAAATGCGCCATTGGTGAAAATTTGAGATCGCTACACGCAGGTGCCGACTTTTCCGGCAGATTTTAGAGCGGTCCCGAGTACCGAAGACCCTATACCGACAGCAGACTGTTCTTTACAAGAGGGCCACAGCAGAGCTCTGGGTTAGTCTACCACACCAAACACATGACTCGTTCCTGTGAGCAAACAGACCAGGCATCACGGGCGTTAGTGGGCGAGCCTCTAGCAGACAGATCCGAGGAACCAATCGCGATCGCACACGCAGGCACTGGTCGATCCTTACCCCACGGCTTCCGTCGTCTGGGAATCGGGGGCGGAACGTACCACGTCTCACCCGGTAAAAAGAAATCAACTGCAAGTGCAATGAGACGTGTGAGCTCCCGCTTTCCTTCAGTCTTGTAGTCACTGGCTCCTTTTGCTTTGATTAGGACCGCGGCTGTTGTACTATGCTCCACGGATCCCCAGGGGTTTGTGGCACCGTTAGTGGGGGTCTGCACTGACTAGAAGATCGCTCTACAGGGGCAGGTAAGGCACTGAAGAGGGTTAAATTGTGGGACCAAACACATTTGCAGCTATTGTACAGTTCTAAGGAGTCCCTAATAGCGAGCACACTGTTCAAGTGCTCGGATATGCATTGCCATGCTCACTTTCTTCTGCAAAGCCATTTTGGGCCCATTTGCAGAATGTCAGAGACGATAAACGTGATTGGTGTTCGGCTGGATTGACGCGTTCCAGTTTTTCCAATTTACGGCGACGTCAGTTCCTCCATTCGTCGTATAAGTCTATTCAATACAGGCCTGTGAGCGATCCCTAAGAGTGTTAAGGGGCCCTGACGACAAAAAGCTTGGGAGTGGTGGCTTAAAAGTCCTTTGACAAAGCATTTATGCGTGCCCGGAGCATTACAGAAACAAAACCCGTAAGAAGCCAAAAGTCGAGAATTAATAATTGCGAATAAAAGTAAATATATTTCACCTACAACACACGATTGCTGTTGGTCTTTTGATTATTAACCCTTTCACTGCCAAGTTTTTTTCTTACTCCCTCCCTCCCTCCCTCCCTCCCTCCCTCCCTCCCTCCCTCCTCCTCCTCCTCCTCCTCCTCCTCCTCCTCCTCCGCCTCCTCCTCCTCCTCCTCCTCCTCCTCCTCCTCCTCCTCCTCCTCCTTTTGCCGTTCTTTTTTTTTCACATGTCGGTTCGGCGGACGTTTTAGGCTTGTAACTCAAGAATAGTGCTCTTCGTTGCATGCACCATCAGCGTTATAGAGCCAGAAATACGTAGAATTCATGTGCAGTCATGCCTTTCCACCGGTGTATGTGGCATTGATAAACGTGATTGGTGATGTAAACGCAGATAGTACCTGGCACCAGAAAAGATCCATCTGCTCGACAACTGCATCCATGACATCTGACATAAACGAGCATCTTAGATAAGCTGCTTCATTGTTATGGATTTTATCGCAGTCAGAATATATCGATGGTTCATGAATTGTATTGTCCGTCAAAGGGCGGCCGCGCGGGCCACGCTGACGCGCCACGGTTGTGCCGCCGAGATAAAGCTACGGCGCACACGAAAACAGATGCGCTCCACCTGTTGCCTAAAAACTAACCTACATGCTCCATCTGTTTAGGCAACTTCTCCATAGATGGCGCGACGAGCCCACATTTTTTTGACACGAGTTGCATCAGAAGCGAGCTTAAAACGCAAATTGAGCACACTTGGGAATAGTGTGCGGTGTGCGTGGGGTCAACGAGTCGTCCTGAGGGTGGCAGTGAAAGGGTTAAGAACAACGGTTCGAAATATGTGCCGTCCACCAAAGGGAACAAACGTGGCGCCACATGCGGCCAGAGCATGGTGTAGGATACTCGTTTGGTGAGGACACACAGTACGGCAAACGCTGCATCGCGATAGACTAGAGAAAGTCCTATTGGCTCGCACATAAGTAGCTTATGCCTACGGCGCAACTGAAAAAAATAAATAAACAAAGACAAAAAAGTGATCATGATACTCGGGCACACGCGTTTTTTGCTCGGTGCGTCTGCTATGGCCTCCACGAACAAAGGTTCAAACAGAGTGCTGGATACCTTTCCACTCTCCACTTTGACACAATCATGAAACTGTTCTTCGAGCAATCGAGGCACGAAACTAGGGTCAATGTCAAAACTGTGTCTAAACAACGTGCATAGTGCTGAATTCTACACGACGTGGCACACTTAGAAAACAACTTTAGAAACAGGCTTACCTCCCAAAAGAAAAGCATGAAAAAAAGAGCCCGCGACAGGCCACCACTAGTCGCTCATCGAAAAGGTATCTGGTGGCGCTGCTTGCAACCAAGGCGAGGAGAGGATCAACTTAAACTGGCAGCTGCAATGCACGTGGTGTCCATGCCTATGTATACCTTACACCGAGCACCCCACTCAAAAAGGGCCACTGGTTCTACCGTATCCACCCATCCATGCATTGCTTAGAGCTGCGTGTTTTTGCGCTTCAATCAGTTTAGCTCAAACCGTCCTCTGCTCTCTTTGTTCTCCAGTTGGCATCCGAGTCCAGGCTCTCCGAGTCACGTTGCGGGTGGCACGCCATAGTTTCTCTATTTTTAAAGTTATAGGAGCACGAGCTAGCTCGCGGTTATCGCTTTCGATTCTGCGTCAGCTCAAAGGTCCCAGGAATCAGGTACAGCAACATCAATGGCGAACTGCTTGTGGCGAGAAGAGTAGGACACATGAATTCAGCCCAGGTACGGAGGCGCTCCATGTCACGCACCTTGCCTATTCTACTGCTGCATCCGAGCACAGGTCCCAACGACCATTACTACCCAAGACAACAACCAGAAGGCGATTACAGCTATGCCTTTATGGCTAATGAAAAAGCGGCAGTTGTGAGCATTTCAGGGATCTACCCGCGGCATCAAATATGGCCTTCTTTATTTTAATTTCGTTGGATTCAACTTTAATTCAAACCAATTTAGCACCTACTTGAAATTAGAATTAATTAACTTTCTGCACTATCTTTCTTCAACATCTGAAGGCTGGATCACACACTTGTAGCTGCTCACGACCGAAGAGGTATAACACCAGTTTTAAGCCTCTTGCGACTGCCTGCGCTGCTACGGAGGCGGCCGTAAGCAGTGCGCAAGGGGCCTAAAACCAGTTTTAAGTAGGGATGTCGCGAACCACCCCAAGTTCGATTTCGAAAGGTTTCGATATTTGCGAAGTGAACTGAGGTTCGATTTCGAAAAATTTCGATATTTTCGTACCGACCGAGGTTCGAATTTGAAAAATTCGCAACTTTCGATCACAGTGGAGTTTTGAATTCGAAACGTTCGAAGCTTTCACGGTTTCTAAAATTTCGGATTCGAATATTTCGAATATTTTTTTACTTCAGGTTCGATAAATTCGAAGATTTCGAAATTCTTTGGAGTAAAATTCGGAAACTTCGAACGCTTCGAATTTTTATAGACATGAAGTTCGAACAATTCGAATTTTTCGAATTTCTTTCTGCATGAAGTTCGAAAAGTTCGAAGGTTTCGATTCTCTTTTAACTATAAATTTGAAAAAAAAAAAAAAAAAAAAAAAAAACCTCGAAGATTTTGAATTTTTTCTAGTCCAAGTTTTCAAAGTTCGAAGTCCGGTTTTCAAGTTCCTCCACAGTTTGTTTCAAATAACATTTTCACAACTCACTGGTTTTCACAAAATCAAGTTTAGAAAAGTTAGGGTGTGATATCTAGATTCTGCGAAGTTGGTCACGCAATTAAATGAGGCGACGAGTGTCCCGGATGTGCTGGAATATTTGCCAGTGCAGAGTGACGTGTGACCATGGATCAGTAATTGTGACCGCCAGCCCGGGGTGGGGAAGGGGGGGGGGGGGGGTTCTTTAACCTGCATCACGCAATAGTGATCACACGAACACACTATTTTACGAGACTCATCCAGTTCGAAACGGCCAGGGGCGGGCAGGAGTTTAAGGCTCAGAAAAACCTTGAAGCGACCTGGCAAACTACCTCGCCACCCCTTGCACGCTGGTAGTAATCCGATCGAACGCCGCCCGGGTTACGCTGGCATATAGTAAGTTTAGTTTGTAATTGTCCGGGAGGTTTATTTTCTGGGACGGAGGAATCGCCTCGCAAAAAGCCGACAGAAAACAATACGGGAAAAGAGGGCGTGGTAGAGCTTATTTTAATCTGAAATTATTTAGGCATATGTATAGCTACTGTCGCTCTTCACTGCATAAAAGATCGTGTAGATGGTCATTGTTATAAACTCGTTGTCAGAAGGCACTACTCGTCACATGCTTAGTGGTTCGGAAGTTCAAAGCTATGTCTTTTCGACCTAAATACCTGTGCCAATAGTAAAAAAAAAAAAAAAAAAAAAAAAAGAAAGAATAAATGCGGGGTAAAAAGTTGGAGAAAAAAAAAAACTATCAAGAATTCGCCGGAAGTGATGTATTCTTGCGTATTCAGAGGTTCAGAACTTCGAAACAAGTTTCTTTTACCAAAATGTGTACAGGCTAAAAGAAACACGTCCCAAAATCGTGGAGCGAAAAAAAAAAAGTTTTCTTTTAATGACGTGCTGAGCTTGAACACTATTAGAAATCTTCTCCCATGAGTTAATTTATTCCTTAACGAGAAAAAACAATAAATACATTATTTTGTATTCTGCAGATGGCAATGATATGTACTGTCTGTGGTGTTAATTTAAATGCGATACCTCAAACAACTTAGACAAAAATAAATATCAAGTTTAGGGCATAATTGCATGTAGATACATGTTTGGATATTTCTTCAATACTCACGTTGAATAACAATAATCACATCTTAAGACGGCACTTACCTAGGCTATACATAGATTATTCTTAAAAAAGTATAACATCTCTACCACAAATAGCTTCGGCTACAGCGCGCTTCAAATCTGGCACAAACGATAATCATCAAAAACCCGTCGTCCTTCCTCGCCCCTTCGGAAATTTATTTCTTTAAAACTAAGCATGCCAGAACATTGAAACAAACGCCATTGTCTTTCGTAAGGAACGCAGCACCGCGTGTAAAAGTTCGAGAAAAAAAAAAAAAAACTATGAATGTACCTCACTACTTGAATTCAAATGAAACCGTCCGCTGGTCTTTCGAAGTTCGACGAACGTCGAACTTTTACCCTAAAAGTTCGAAGTTCATTGAAATTCGGACTTTTCAGGATTCGAAAGTTCGAAACTTTTCGATTTCTCTTGATACATAAGTTCGAAAGTTCAAAATTCATCGAATTTTTATGTCAGTCAAGTTCGGAAGTTCGACAAGCATCGAACTTTGAAGCGCAATAAGTTCGAAAGTTCGAAAAAGATAGAATTTTTTAGCATAATAAGTTCGACGGTTCGAAAAGCGTCGAACTTCTTAGCTCCACAAGTTCGAAAATTCGACTTCCGTCGAATTTTACGATGTAGACAATTCGAAAAATCGAAATATTTCGAACCTTTCGAACCGCTTGATTCGATCATCGAACTTCGATTCGAAAAAAGTTCGCGGCATCCCTAGTTTTAAGTCCTTTCGGTCATAAGCAGTGGCAAGTGTGTGGGAATTAGCCTTAAGGCTTAACAGACAAACTGAAAACAAAACAACAACAACTCATGTTGGCAAGAACGACTTGGGGACCAACGAAAGAGAGAGTCCCCACCTGGCAGGTCTTCGGAAGCGAGGCTGGTTGCAGAGCTGACTCCAACGCTGGGAGGACTCTTAGCGGGCAGGGCAGAGAGGTTCCTGTTCTGGGACATGGGTGGAAGCATCGCTTTGGCAGCCTTTAGATCTGGGGCAAGAGAAACACCTCACTTCAGCCGTGCCACAGCAATCGTTGACCTTTCAAATCACGCATATTCATTAATAACAAAACCAGCAGAATCCACAAAACACCCCGAATGCAGCCCCGAGGAGTAAAACTAAAAATCGGTCCTTTTTATGCCAAGCAACGAAGGGCATCTGGCACGTTTCAGCAGAGGATAGAGGATCAATTTCGACCACCTTGGGATCTTTTAGTGTGTAACCAAAGTATCGGCTACAATCTCTGTCTTCTCCAGAATAAGCCTCCGTGAGATTGTGGGCACCAAGGAGGATACAGTCGCGAGGAACGACTTCCCATAGTGCCTGTTTACTCTGACGTCACGGTGCCCTCCGCTCGTGCACTGGTCGCTGTGTGACCTTGCCGGTGTTAATATGCAATGCCCCTTAGGGCTGCACCGCATCATTACATCGATGCAGAAACCACATGGGGTTCTTGAGCTATTAATCGGGAGACACCACATGGCGTTCCTTGAGGAGGAAAAGTTTGAGAACGCTTTGTCTAGTGTTTCACGAGAAGAACAAAATTCATACTTTGTGCTGTTGGTATCCCTTTAGGCTACGGACAAAGTTGGTATACACAGAATCTGGCGGTTTCGTTCGCTTCCCCACTGTCCAGCAGATCTCAGGAATCTTTCCCGTGACATTGAAATCACGTAACATGGTCGTACAATGATAATGATGTAGTCATGCAGAGCCCTCAGTGTAGTAAAGTAACAATCACTTCACGAGTCTTCCCCTTGGCTTGGCGGTAGAGGGCGTCAGGCTCTGAATCCGGGGGCCCCAAATTAAATTTTCGTTGAAGGACGTTTGGAATTACATTCTTTCTTCTCGGTTGTGTGTCCTCCTGTACAACTTTTCCCTCGAGATCCATGTCACACAATTCGGGGCAGTTTTCGGTGCTGTTCAGACAAAGCCCTTAAATAAATTAAGAGTTGAAATAGCTAACCATGACAACCGCGACTTCCCCTCCTGAACGTGAAAAGGGTGGCAAGTGCACTGTGGTAGTTCCACATGCCTTAATCTCGTGCTTAGCATAGGAAAGACATTGGAAACACCACTTTCGCATTCTTTGTAAGCAGCAGGCACCATATCCCCTTTCTCTTCCACCTTGCCACATGTCTGCTGCATCTTGTGAAAACATGCTTAATTTGTTAACAGACATCGAGACCTTCAAATATATTCCAGAGTTGCTGCGCTGTACAGACATTGTATTGCATACTAAAGATTAAGTAGCCTAGCCATTATTTACTTGTTTTCTTTTCCTACCACGTCATTGGCGCTCTTTGTCTAAATTTGGCCCTTGAGCCATTAAAACTCAATCAATCAATTCAGCACAGATCCACAAATATACCACTAAGTGGCTGAGTTGTACAGACCTCATATTGAATGCTAATCATTGAGTAGAGCAGACACTAGTATTTACTCGTTCCCCCTTCCTACCACATCATTGGTGCTCTCCGACTAAACCGCGTGCCACGGCAGATACGCTTGACCGAGGAACCGTGCCCACCATTAGGGATCTTGTCGAGGTAGATGCGTTCCTTGTCCGCATCCCAGGCTGCCTTGTGCAGGGAGGCGGTATCGGATGCGGAGTTGCACGGGGGGCCCTGTGTCCTGGGGCTGAGGTTGGCCCTGAGCTCCTTGTGGGCCCTGAGCTGGTTGGGCTGGAAGCGGGACTCGAGGTCGTCGGCAGCGCTCCCGTAGCTCCGCACGGTGTCGAAGTTGTTCAGCGCCGTGTCCTGCTGCATGCTGGGCGTGTACGAGGCCGGGCGCGGCGGCAGCGGAGGAGTCGCCAGCGCCGTCTGCTGCTGTTCCAGGTTGCTCACCTGGGGAGCCGGGAGAGTGCATAGCGTCGCGGCATCCAGTTTTATGCAAAACGTGTATGGGGCTAGGATTCCATGTCAACATTGGACTAGCTTGATCATCCGTGATGCATAGGTTGCAGTCTGTCATGCTCGGTTACAAAAAGCTCTGGGTGATTTCGGATGCATTGCACGCACAGTACATCCCTGTACTGCCCGCAACTACCGGAATTACTGAAACGAGGACAAATTTATTCAGGACCCGCGACGCCGTGACGTCATGGGGAGCGACGATTTGTCGTTTGGAGCCCTCTCAGCGCGCCAACGGTCGCCTACTACTACCTCACATTCTCTCTCTCTCCCTAGTCATTGCGCCCTCGGTCACATCCTGCTAGCGGCAGCGAGCAAAGGCGTCGATTTGCCGATCATACGATTCAGAATTCGATTCCCACTGCACCGCTCGGAAAATCATACTAAATTATATTTAAGGGTGATCAATCAGGATAAAAATCTTCCATCTACTTTGTATGCATTGCCTGCTATGGGCTACGTAAGCTTTATGTTGCATTGCACAGCGTGTAACGACTGTTTGTTATACAGTATAGACCACTTACAACGTAACCACTTATAGTGCAGGACCGGGTATAATGCGGCTTTTTTAAACCACCGGTTCGCCTCCCATAGAACTCTATGTAATTACATACCGCTTAAAATGCAGGCGCGCGAAGGGAAATATAGTGCGGTTTCTGGAACAGCTCGCCGACCGCGCCGACCAACCAGCACAGCGAGCACGCTTCCCTGTGCGACACTAGATAACGGTGCTGGCCGCAAGCGGCACTCACGGGGCAAGCAAATTGCTCGAAGAAGCGGGGAGAAGCGAAAAAAGAGGCTTCAGTTGCCATAGCGACGGAGGGACGCACGCACGTGTCGTTCACATGCGTGCGTCCCTCCGCTGCGTTGGAGACAACCGCAACGACAGACCAATCGCAGGTCGATAGAAGAAGCCGCGGGCCGGCTTCTTCTATCCGCAAACATGGCGTCGGTTGTGATTGTCGATGTAGACGGCGTGGTGAAAGCTCATCATTCCGCGTAAAAGTGCTATCCTTGATTGTGAATTTTCGTTGTGTGTCACTACGATAACCCACCACGTACTAGACGGGAAGATCCACCTACTCGTGTGGCGATGTCGTGGCGGCACTCTCAAGACGGCAGAAACGCGCGTGTCATCGTGTTTGTTTACTTCGACTACAGTGGTGCTTTCTAAGCATTTGTGTTTTCGAACATCGTCCGGATTTCTTATTTGGAGCATTTCATGCCTGTGCTAAAGTTGAAGGTATTACTGGCGCGTACCGCATAAAGGATGTGAATTTTCATGCGTTTTCATCACGGGAGAAAAGTGATTAGGGTTAGCAATCCTGAACGCTCGCAACGTCCGTCCGCAACCCGCGACGCCGCTAAAAGGCTGCGCCCGCTCATTTCTTTCAAAATGTGTGACACACTTGAGAGAGAAGTGTACTAATCTAATGAAATAAAGGCTTTCCTCAAACTAAGCTTTATTTTTCATCTAACATAAAATAAATTATTTTACAAAGGTAAGTTGTCTCATGGCATGTATTTTGGCCTGAAAAATTTATGTTTTGGTTATAACGCGGTACTGCTTATAGTGCGGATTTTTGCGACTCCCGCGACATACATTATATGCGGTATACACTGTACTTGTTTTCTTTTCCTACCACGCCATTGGCACTCTTTGTCCAAACTTGGCCTTTGAGCCATTAAAACTCAATAAATCAATTAAGCACAGATGCACAAATGTACATCGAAGTTGCTGAGTTGTACAGAACTCGTATTTAACACTAATCATAGAGTAGAGCAGACTATTAGTATTTACACGTTCCCCCTTCCTACCACATCATTGGTGCTCTCCGACTAAACAGCGTGCCGCTGCAGCCCGCTCGACCGAGGAACCGTGCCTGCCGTTAGGGATCTTGTCGAGGTAGATGCGCTCATCGCCCGCATGCGAAGCCATGACATTATGCCACAAATGGAGCAAAGTACACGGTAGTTTCTATGTCGCCGACTCGCTCGTTTCCAAAACGGTTGACAGAAGATATCATCACCGCTTGTGCCTCTTTGTTTCTGCCGTTACATGCCGAAGTGACGACGAGATGACAAACGTGAAAGAGCGTTTTGTAAACACGTGAGAGTGATTTGGTGATGCCACGTCATAGTGGCAGTTCGATGTTGTTTCTAAAAGCAAAACACGCGACGCAACTTCATCCGGGCATCAGTTCTCTATCTGCTCCAGGCATCGCAAGAACACTGTCACCGCCTCTGCACTCCCCTTCGTTTCGAAGCAGCCGTAGGATGTTTCGCGTCTCCACAGTCGGCGTTTGCCGAGATGCCTCTCCGACGTTGCTTCGTGTTTACCTTGGCCGCACGCAAAGTTTATGATCGCAGCATCCGTGGCAGGAGCAACAACGGGAATGTCCGCATCGATAAACAAATTCTTTGGCGATTTCAAACTTGGGCCGTCCAGTTTTCTTAGCCTCGCAGTTCTAAGCGACTTTCGGTAAACACTCCCAATCTCCGATACGACGCACGTGTACGTGCAGTGCGCTGCAGGTGCACACATGCAGGCGTGCACGTCGGAGGGCTCCCAAAGGGATGATCTCCGGGTTCCATTGCTCCCTTGACCCGATTCCAACAGGAGTTGGGCAGCGCCGGCAGTGGGTGCCGCGAGTAGCGCTGGAACACTGACAATGCTCCCGCTGCCCCCTGCCTACGTTGGCGCATCGGCATCAGAAGTAGGACTCTACCAGCCCTGCGCGCTCTGCCCTTCGTCACCCGTTTACTCAGTCTTCCCAGTTTGCTGTCTGCCTCGATGGAGAAGGGGGAGGGAACGCAAAGGTCTCTGTGCTCCTCCGTGTAGGCTTGCGTGCTTTCAGCACCGCGGCCTTTGTAATAAGCGTAGTCGGCCGCAAATATAATTAAAATAATCTTGATAAAAATGCCTGCATTTCGATCGGGACCACGTTGAACTTCGATAAGAGCGATAATTCAAATAAAAGCAATTTTGTCTTAACGAGAGATTACTGTATTGGCCGGATGAGACGCTAAACGCCGGCGGAAGGCATGCTCCAGGTGCTGCACCCGCGCCGCCACCTTGCCTGCGTCTCTCACCTTGCTCATGCGCTTGACGTTGTCCTTGGTGCCCAGCATGCAGTTCTTCACCGTCATCTCGCTGCCGACGCCCGCCTCTAAAGGGTGGCCCCCGTGGTGACCAAACGCGCCCGTGCAGTGGCGACCACCGGGCGGACGCTGTTTCCGGCGGCGCTTCCAGCAGCATGCCACCAGGGTGCCCAGCACGAAGAGGAGCACCAGCCCCGCAGCCACCACCACCATCTCCAGAAGTGGCGTCGGCAACAGCGAGCCCACCATGCTGCTCCGGTGGCGGTCTGAACACAACGGACCTGAGAGAAGGGGGGGAGGGGAATAAATTAGTACTGTGATTTGCACCCGGTGCATATTTGGCACGTAAAAGTTTCCTACACAGCAAGCACGCCTTGAAAAGTGCCTGCTTTATTAGCGCACGAAGACACTTGTATCATACATAAATAACAATTAACATACCCTGTGTTTCACAAAATCCTTAACATCTACTGTAAAATATCGGGAGCTTTACGTATTATATGCCGAATTCCAAAGTTTGCGAAATGTTAATAGAGGGCTCTTGAACAAAATGGGTGCTATTGCGGCACTTTACAATAGTCATAGTCAACAATGTTGAACAAAATCATGAGCTATTCCACCCTGTGAAGGTGGAGGACCAGCGAAGCTGTCTAGCACACAACACAGAGGTGACACAGAATTTTGAACAAAGGTGCAAACACATCTACTGTCTTGATCGGTGGTCATAGTAACGAAAGGTATGCACACAGATGTCGAGGACTATCGCCGCCCCGAGGAAGCTGGAGGAAACTAGACACGCGCGACGGGACCGCAACGCGGTGGAAGGAAAGGAAACTAGGCATGCAAACGCTTCGAATGACGACAAAAAGAGGCCATTGCGGGCCTTCTCTGAGGCTCCTTTTATATGGTAGTTTGCACTAGTAGATGACCTGTTAATATTTTGTAATGAGCCATCTGCAGACTGTCGCATCAAAGCAGCATGAACAAGGTGGCCGGGGTGGGTTGACACGCACCCCTGTGATACACCTGCCATCCCCCACTGCGCGGTGCCGAAATTGGCAAAGGGGGACGTCGTCGCCAATCTTTGGTTGCTAGGGGCTCTGGCTAGGTATTACGTGGGGTTGTGGTGCCATCTTGTAGTGACGTTGCAAACTCTGAATACGCATTTCTCCAACCAGTTCAAGGTCAGCACATGTACCACGGCACTAATACTAACGCGTTAGTGAACTTATAATACACTTATTTGTTGACATAGCGTCGTTTTGTGATACGAAATTAACAATATCAAATTTGGAGAACATACCTTTTAAGATGGGAGCTGTCCCTACTTTCCTTGGAAAGTACCAGAAAACACATTTTACGTAAAGTACAAGCGCATAGGTACTCAGAAAAAGTACAAGTTTTTTAAACTGACTTGAAGTATAGTTTTCAAAACTGCCAAAACTACAGTAATACCTCGTTAACTCGAACACGACTATCTCGAAATAGTGGTTAAGTCATAAAATTTCCTTGTCATGAAATGAGCTCCCATAGGCACAATGCATTTTGTCTTTGCTAATCTCGAAAGGTTTCCAGGACGGACTTCGGATATCTCAAAATCTTGTCAGCGAAAATCGCAAAAAAAAACACAACAAACAACAAAAACTGCCGCAAGAAAAATATTTGGACAACCCAATGGCAAGCCGGGATGCCTGGCGTTCAGTGCCCCCTTTCTTTCGAGCGTTTTGTACTGCTCTGTCTTTCGTTTTCTCTTTGCTTTTGGGTTCTTCCGTTTCCCTTCTCGGTCCGGTCCCGTGGTCGCCGTCAGTCTCGTGTTTCTCAGAGGTGTCTCATTCCTTTCGAGTGTTGCTGCTCTTTGTTGCTTGTCCCCCATTTTTTTTGTGCGTTTCGATCGTCTCGCGACGCCATAGAAACAAGAGTCAAGTGTTCAATTCGGTCATCGGTTGTGAATTCTCCGACGTTGTTGGCACGTGACTCGATTAGCCGTCCTAACAGAGCAAATCATTGACGCTTGAGAGGAAAGTTGCTCTCATCAGAGAAGTTGATGTTGCCGCGATTGTTAGAAATTTTATTTAGAACATCGCGCGATCAGAGGTAAAAAATTCTGATACTTAGCTTATCTCGAAATTTCGCTTATCTCGAATTTTTTCACGGTTCTTATGACTTCAAGTTAAAGAGGTATTACTGTATGTAGCATATTCTGCAAATGCAGAATGGGGCAAATGCATTGGAAGCTTCCCGACTGTGATTTATTTATTGATTGGTTGAATGACTGACTGGTACAGGCAATCATGAGGCAGACACATTGAAAGCTTCCCGATTGTGATTGATTAATTGACTGACAGACTTGTGGCACTCATGGGCAGATGTAGTCGGAGCTTCCCGACTACATCTGATTGATTGATTGACTGACTGACCCGAGGCATCAGTGGGGCAGATGTAGTCGGAGCTTCCCGACTACATCTGATTGATTGATTGACTGACTGACCCGAGGCATCAGTGGGGCAGATGCAGTGGAAGCTTTCCGACTACGACTGATTAATCGGTTGACCGACTCACCCGTGGCGTTGATAGGGCAGACGCACTGGAAGCTGCCCGGCAGGTTGAGGCAGGTGGCCCCCGATGCGCAGGGCACGTGCAGGCACTCGTCCAGGTCTTGCTCGCAGCGAGCTCCCCGGAAGCCCCGGCAGCGACACACGGGGGCCCGGGCGCCCTCCTCGCAGACGCCCCCGTTGAGGCACGGGTTGGGGCTGCAGTGGCGCCCGTAGTCGCACCGCCGGCCACTCAGCCGCCCCGAGCAGCTGCACACGAAGCCCCCGGGGGGGTCGTTGCGGCAGGTGCCGCCGTTGAGGCATGGGGCCGAGGCGCACGGGTTCGTGTCCAGCTCGCAGTTGGGGCCCTGAAAAGGGAACCGGGAGTTTGTTGCTCGTCCGTCTTTTACATTTTTCTGGCAAGGGTGTTACATAAGGTGGAGCTAGAGCAGGGGCTTTAAAACCTTTTATCTCGATTGGAAAGCTTTTAAGCGACGAAAACTTATCTTGCGAACGTCGAATGGAGCAAGACGGACGGTGCCAACTTCAATTAACAATCTCCTTTTTCTTTTTTTGTCGCAGCCGGGGTACAAATTTTGTTTAAAGCAAAGGAGCTCAAGGGCTAGTTTTGAGAAAGTCGATGTAGTTATTCTGCCAGGGTTGAACAAATCTTCATTAATAGCGCAACATCCGTCAACAGTGCTTGACGTCAATGCTATCTGAAACTATTTTGAGCTCTTTGCAACGCCTGAAAAATATTGCCCAAAGCAGTTTTTAAAAAAAAAACGCAAAACTTTCCAGAAAAAAAAAATCTTTTGCCAGTAACAATTAAAAAAAAGAAATACTAACCTTGAGCCACATCTATTTTCGTGAAACAATCTACCGTTAAACAGTAAGACTTTGTGTGCATTCGTATAAAAAGAAAGAATTTAAAGTCTCCTCAGAGATGAAAGGCATGATGGCCTAGTCCCTTGTCCACGTTGGGTAATCAAAAAAAAAAAAAAAAAGTTTTTGAATTGCATTTAGTGGCAGAGCATCCATGCCCTGGAAATGCTGAGAGACCAAAACTCGAGATACTTGACACTACAAAGATGGCCGCGTGCACAGTGCTGCCAAACCACCAAGCAGTTTTGCATATCGTCTATTGGCGCAGCTGTCTCATCAGCCTCGAGAGCCAAGTGCATAACGCATTCTGCATCAAAAAACTTTCAGCCTTTCCACTCTGGTGAAGAAGGAAGAGCAGCGGAGCTGTAGCTTCTATTCTCAGCGGCGGCTTTCTAGGCGAGCAATGGGCTCTTCTTTCGTAAGGGAACCTAAAGCGCTCGATGCAATAGAGCTTGAGGCGACAGCGGCTTCATAGCGGTTGCAAACCCATTAGTGCTGTTGCATACGTCGCCGCCCCTTCTGCACCCGGTCTTCTTTCCCCGAAGGAAGGGCACATGGCTGACCCATCGTGAGTTCAAACCGAAACTGATAAAAGCGTAGGAAACAGCGTGCAAAACAGAAGAGGACGAAGAAGAAACACATGTGAATTGCACTGCGCTCATCATGTGTGTTTCTTCTCCGTCCTCATCTGTTTTTTGCGCTGCTTCCTACGATGGATTGCCGCCAACTCGCCCAACTATCCATTCTTCTATGATAGCTGGAAAAGTTGCCGCCATCTATGAGCGACGGCGGCAACCAGGCTGGTTGTCTGGTTGCCGCCATCGCTTATAGATGGCGGTAGCAGGCCAGAGGCTTGTGTCGACATTTGTTTGGTACCGGACACGATCCTGGGGAACCTAGCCCTTAACAGCACCGCTGTAAAACCCAGTTTCATCATCTCTTTACAAACGCTCCGGCGCCTCCGACGAAACCGACACACCCACCTCGAAGCGAGGCAGGCAGCTGCACGCGTACTCTCGTGCTGGGGGCTCCCCTCCTAGCACGCAGGAGCCCCCATTGAGGCAGGGTTGGCTGCCACAGGCCCCGGGGTTGAAGAGAGTCTTGCAGGCAAACTGGACGTTGGCGAAGCGTCGCAGCTGGGCCACTGCCCCGCCCCCCGACACATGGAGCGGCAGCGGCCCGCCGTCCACGCGCACGTCGTCCAGGCAGCCGACCAGCCCCATGCGGACGTCGTCGTAGCGGGGCTCCTCGTGTCCGAGGCGCACCTCCGCGCCGAGGAAGAGGTCGTTGCCGTCCAGGTTGAGTACGTCGTGCACGCCGGGCGCGGCCCCCGAGGCCTCGTGGCGTCGGTCGACGGAAAGGCGGGCGAAGTTGCCCCTCCGCTCGAGGGTCACCTCGTGCCAGGCGCCGTCGCTCACCCGCACCTGCTCCACCCGCACCACGCCTTCGCCGCTGCCGCAGTCGAAGCGGTACTGCACGCAGCCGCTCACCACCTGGGCACCAGAGGGCACCACGATACGGGTTAACATGCCCGGGTGCCAGGAGTTCTGCACCAAAGCCACTATATCCTGGGGAAGTGGCGCCATTGCCTTCCCTGCCTGCTAGCAGGGCACAGGCACTGACATACAGACATGGCAGGAATCGATGAGTGAGGGTGTCAGCGGACCGCAGCTCAAAGCATGTGAAGCGAAAGCTTGCACAGCAGAACTCACACCTCGGCCCGTTTTTATCTGGATGAGCACCGTACCGGCATGCAGTCGTGTATCCCTAGTGCGTGGTGCACATTAAAGCCCCAAGAATATATCGGTTGTACTGCACCTGGCTAAATTTCTCGTCTACAGCCAAGATACCAGACGTCCATGGGGGGCTGAATAACTTTCAACTCTCTAAACATACATACATTTGCAACACAATTACTTTTAAAGGGGTACTGAACCAAAACTTATACTATGCTGCCGCCGCCTCTGCAGCGGCGGCATATCATCGCTGGCGTTTACAGCACCGACGAGGCAAAGCAGCGGTGTGGTAGACGAAAACGAACCACGTGGTGTGTCTGCTATTTTTTTGTCGTCAGCTCCGTTCGACCATCTTAGTTTGGATAACAACGGTGGGATGGCAGTTTGTGCGCCCACTTTCGTAATGAGCACAACGAGACGGAAGCGGTTGTCTTTATGAAACAAGTTCAAAAACCTTCAGCGTCTGGACAACGGTCAAAGGCAAGTGGACGCTGCGAAGGACTATGGGATTCCACCGTCAACGTTGTCAACGATAGTGAAGCAAAAATTAAAACTTGAAAGAGAAACTGCATTCAATCCCAACAGGAAACAACTTTGCATGGGATATTTCAAGTCAGTGGACGATGCCGTTGCGGTATGGCTTCGTCACAGCAACAAGCTGTGCCAGAGCAAGTGCAAAAAAACGTAGCCTCTCCGGACAGCTTCGTTACTTTGTGCGCTTTAAGAGCGCCAACGCAAAGAAAAATTAGATGTTTTTTTTTTTCGAAACGAGAAAGGCAGCAACAAAACTGTTATGCACTTCGTATATGTCGATGCAAATGACTCCATAAATTGCATTTCAGACTTTTGACTCAATGTATGCTGTGTCCTATGCTATTTCATATTCTAGTGATAATATGCAGTTTAGTGAACTGTCAGTTAAGTAACTGTTCAATTGGGTTGCTTGAAGTTCGCTCAAGTGAGAGGTCTCATTATGTTTACGCACATAGTATGGTTGTGTCGCAGTAGTAAGAGAGAAATGATTGTATTGTGGTACTGCTATAAAAGTTGTTGGTTCGTCATGGGAGGCCCATCCTGAGGAAGTAGGCGGTTAGATCTGAAAATTGTGAAAACTGCTTTTCAACTTGATGAAAGACTTTCTGGCTGTCGACTAAAACTATTTCTATCATTTTCGCCGAAGACCCTAAGCACTTTAATAAAAAAAATGTTTATGCGATACAAGACAATGCAAAATGCTCTCGCATTTTAAGGACAACCTGCACGGTGATTTTGGAAGCAATTTTTGTTTGCTCTCATTGCTTTATTGTGCATGCGAACGACCCACCACTTGAACTTGTTATCTTCCTGGTTGGTTCTTCTCTCCCTTCGTATAGCACCTTGCTACAAAAAGCGATTTGCAGCTGACAAGTGTTCACACTTGAAAAAGGGAGGTCTCTTCCCGAAAGACCTTCCCAATAAAGCTTTTGTTGCTGTTTGAATTAGTTCACAATTTCTCTGGCACAGACTACAGGGACGTAAAGGACCTCTGTCCTTGGTCCCTGTACTGCCAAGACCGGTCATAACGAAGTCGGTTATAACGAAATAGCGGCTATAGCGAAGCGATCACGAATTCCCATTTTCTTTTGCACCTTGCTAACCGAAGTCGGTTATAACAAAATAGCGGATAGAGCGAAGTGATTTCCGACTCCTGTTGACTTCGTTATAACCGGTCATGACAGTATTCTGTTGAGATGGCCAACGAAGAAGGGGCCTCCAGGCGGAGAAGATTGGGTACCTCGAGGATGCTGTAGTCCCTTGCCCCGGCCGAATACACAATGTTCCCTGTGGCCTGGACCGTGCGCAGCATCAGGGCCAGGGTCAGCCTCCGGTCCATAGGGGCCACCAGGGAGTAGTGGGCATAGCTCTTGCCCCCAAACGACATTGGGTGTTTCTCTGGGAGAGATTGGCACAGGAGTTGGGAATGGCACTGTTACCAGGAACGGCACTGACTGACCAAAGAATGGATACAGAGATTGGCACTGGGATTGATACCGAGATTAGCAGTGATCTTGCTGGATCAGCACTCGAATCGGTACCAGGATTGGCACTGTACCTCTCCCACACATGACAAATGCCCAAGCCCACGTTATGCCCGATTTGGTTTCCAATAAAACAGGACCCACAAGGGCACAAGGATTGAAAAAATATATTTGTGGCTGAAAATCCACCTTTTTCAAGCTTGAAAGCCACCGGCTGAGACCTTTTTCTCGGTCAAACTTTCAATCAATCAATCAATGGCACACAGTGATCACAGAGAGCTCGGTAGTATTTTTAAAAGTCGGAAGCTGTCTGAGGCATATCTTCGTTAGCAATATTAGAAGCCACAAAACATGGGCCGCTAAAACACAAAACAAAAATGTTTAGAGGCCTTTAAAAATAGCAAACAATAGCAAAACTGTTGATTTAAAAAAAGGTGCTTTGAAAGTCCGAAATGCATCCTTACAAAATATAATGCTCCACAAATACGCCAACCAACGGTGTCCCAGGCGTCGACGTCGGTATAACAGCAGGATCGAACACTAGAGCAAGACAAGACTCGATCCAGCGCACTACAGCTGCTTCTGTACACGTTCTATGTTCACGAAGCTACTAAGCTAGAATCCATGATAACTGACAAGAATGAACTGGAAACATCCAGTGAAGCAACGAGTGGTACAATGAAAACTTCACTGGAAGGACTTCGATCCAGCTCGACCCCGTGAAAGCCGCGTGCATTGCCAAACTAGGCCACGGACGTGGCAATATCTCTAGTAATGAAAGACCACATTAACGATCCATAAGGGGTCAACTAACTAGGCATGGTATGTTTTGCCATAACTGTTATTGGGACGAGGAGATTTCAAGCCTGACTGGAGATTCAAAATCAGCATTACAAAATACCACTTAAGAATTATACAGGGTGTTTCACGAAAAGTGGACAAATTCGATATTGCAAAAACTATGCGTCGCAACAAAAAAATGCTTGTGTCGTTTTGGTCCCGAGCCAGGGGCCCACTTAGGAAAATCATTAAAGTTAGGGATAATTAAGTTGTTAATTATTTTTGCATAATTAACTTCTTAAAATTGTGTTTAAGGGCACGATTTCAATTAGAAAATTGCTAAACATCATCAAAAAACACTAAATCAATAAATTGCACAATGATAGAGGGCACCCGCATCATTTTACGGCTTTCTGAAAAACCGCACATCTCAAAACCGCACTAAACTTGCCTAGCCAAATTTGCGTTCGTGCCACGCTAACCGAGCACATCTCAAAACACGCCAAGCATTCCGTCTTTTTCGACTTTACCTGTAGAAATAACACTCATTTCGTTCAGCTCGTCATGTGAACTAAATGTTTGTTTATTCCATGGATAAAGTCGAGAAACACAGAATGCGCTAGGTTAGTGCAGCACAAACGCAAATTTGGCTTGGCACATTTGGTGGTGTCATGCGACATGAAGTCGCGCGACGCTCCGACGTGACACTTCGACATCAGATGGTGCAGGGACGCGATTGCTGCGAGTACTACGAGCTTACTTCATCGCGTCTGCTCGCAATGTCACAAACCAAAAAGTAAAAGCAACGTACGCCCTAACCGGATGGATCTCTGTCGGACCTTCGCGTTCCAGACCGAAAAGAAGTGCGAACCGTGGTCACCTTCGTAGCAGTCCGGGTCCTGGCAGGTGATGACGAGGGTGCAGCCGGGGCCCGTCTTCCCCTCGGGGCACTGGCAGCTGTAGCCCAGGCTGGAGGAGTCCGGCACGCACAGCCGCTCCGGGGGACACGGCTTGCGTGAGCACTCGTTCACCGCCATCTCGCATTTGGGCCCTGCGAGGGAAGTGGGCCGAAAGTTTGCAGCTGCGTTCCGTATGCGGAGCTGCGTTTTATGAGGAGTGCGGTAAACGCCGCGCCTAGTTTCGCGTACTGACCGTGGCCGACGCCACAGTCCAGAGGAGCCGATCGAACCGAGTCAAAATTGCATCTACATGGCGCTCGCCGTCTTCGTGGGTTTTCTGTAGCTGGCAAGACTATTCAGGAGTGAACAAAAGCGCGGGATCACGGCACGATTGTCGTGCGTGATTGGCTTACTTGGTGACGGCAAACGTGCAAAAGCAACGAGTGCCGTGGCGACGCACTTTTGGAACCGATTGACTGGCTCCGTCGGATCGTAGCGCCAGCTGCAAGTGGACTTAAAGTGAAACGGAGCGAAACTATAGTGTCGGCCAGCGAGGAGGAAGCTGACGGAATGCTGGAAAGGAGTGGGGGAAGCCTCCTCCTCTCTCCAACATTTCGTCTGCTTCCTCCTTCCCGGCCTTCCTTTCCTGTGCCCTACCTTCTTGAGTTGCACCGGACTATAGAATGTTTCACGTATGCAACACAATTTCCTAGCAATTTGCCTTACATTTTTTTTTTGCCATTTGAGAAGCTTTTAGAGTAAGTGAAACCTCGTCGACGCGTCTCAAAGTCCTCCTCCCGCTTCTTCCCAATTTTTTCAGAATTCCGTCGTGTGGCCGGCGGACTTTGCGGCACGGGTGTTTGGCAGCTGGCAACGCTCCACTCTGTTTTTTAGAGGCTAAATCGGAGTTGGCTTCGGCGAGAGTTAGCTTCGGCGACAGTTGGGACGCCGCACACTGCTGCACAGTTATGCCGCTGCATTTAATTTTAGCAAATGATGTTCCCGACACTGAGGTGTCGCATGACGCCACAACATCACGTGACACTGTGACATCACGTGGTTCCAGTCACGCTCCTCATACGTCGTTCAAAAGACACGCTGTTCGCCACAGGCCCGGTGACAAAATTATCTATGTATGTAGGCTTTGAACGTGTCTGTGAAAAGCTTTTGTATGACCAATGCGATGGAACTGTCCTACAAGGAAGAAAAACACATCTGACAAAGTCTACAGAAAGTCTGCTGTAGAATGTATTAGCTGCGTGACTGCTGTTTAAGACACCTGGGTATGAGCGTCTGCAGGTCAGTTTATGTGTTTTTTGTAGCGGAGGCACAACTGAACGTAGAACATGATGAGCGGAACTCCAACCACAGACTCAAGCAGTAGGAAGCGTGTGCACCAGGGTCTTTAACAGGGATCTCACGAACGTTTGTTGAATCCAGAGATCAACTGGTTCGACAAACTTCCAAACTCTCGATAAAATTGGACCATGTCGAAGTTTTTCTTAAACGTGCTGCCTGATTTCTACGCAGACATTTTAAATTTTGGGTAGAAATAACTTGTACAGTAGTCTGGCTTAAACCATGCAGACAAATAACAATGTTTTACCCTCCTGTGACGTCAAATATAGATCCAATGAATGGCGATGCGATCCAATGAGGACGTGGCCCAACGGCGACCGGGAAAGCTGGGGGGGGGGGGGGTTCTGGTGCTCACCTCCAAAGCCGGGCTTGCACTGGCAGTCCAGCCGGCGGCTGTGCTGGGGCGACACGAAGCTGAACTGGTCCGTGGTTACGCTCACTGCAAACGTCCGGTCCAGCGCCATGTGGTCCAGGCACTCCCCGTGCACGCACTGAGTTGACGTGCACCGGTCCTCCGCCACCTGTCAGACAGACCTCCCTCTCATCCACCCCCTGTGGTACCAGAGGACCACCTAAAGTGGGGATTCTACTTTCCCTCGAGGACCCCCTCCCAATTTCGGCATTGATGGAACAGTGCCCCACTTTAGTGGATCAGAGCCACCCCATTGATGCATAGTGTGAGCAAAGTTTTGTCTCGTAATAACACCCGTTGACGGCATGCGGAAAGTTTTCTTTAGGGGACTTTCGTCTCGGTTTGCTCCTTTGTTGTTCGAGAAACGTGAACCTACGCCTTCCAATCTCATGCTTTATGGCAAACACCGAGATGTAAAAATTAGTAATAAACTAATTTACTAATAACTAAATAAGACAAGTCCCAGTTCTAAATTTAAAAAAAAAAAAATGTCGGTTAAAGCCACTTGAAAAAAAAAATTACTGTAGAGTTCGAGGTCAGGGTGCCATTTTGCATAGTCTCGAAAAGTATATTTTAAGCAAAATATATTACAGGCTCAAGGCATGCAGACATCAACTATCTCTATGCCAAAACATCAATGTGCCCTCGATGAATAAATATACTTCATAAAGCAGGCTTCATTTCTTCTGCCCAAGACCAAAATTTGTGTTCGACGTGCGGGAAAGAAACTGGGCACCCAAAAGGGTTAAATCACAAAATTATTATTACTGTCGAGACCAGTTATAATGAAGTCAACGGGAATCAAAAATCACTTATATCTGCTATTTTGTTATGACCGACTTCGGGTAACGAAGTGCAAAAGGGAATGGAAAATTGTGATCGCTTTGCTGTAGCCGCTATTTCGTTAGAACCAACTTCGTTATAACCAGTCTTGACAGTATGACTACCGTAATATTTCGGGAAATAGCCCACCTAAAATCGAAAGTAAATTGGTTGAAAATGAGGAGTAGGCTAACTTTCGGTGTTTTTAAAGAAATAGCGAGTCGTGTCGAAAATAGGGGTCAGGTTATCTTTCGGGGGCGTGGCATCTCTCAGAATTTTACGGTATTAAAAAGCAGGATTCCATATTTCACAAGGAAAATCAAACTTGCATATAAAGTTGGGAAACATAGAATGTGCAATGTGTTTTGAGCCCCATCGCATGTTTAGACATGCAAATAAAAGGTTAAAAGCGCGAACAAATAGGGACAACGAAGAAAAACATGGACGGCAGGACAGGCGCCCGTCCTGTGCACGTCTTTCTTTGTTCTCTTCGGATGTTCGTGCTTTTTAACCTTTTATTCAGTACATAATGGACTAACTAGCCCAAACCCAAGTTTTAATATATACATCTGCTTTCTGAGCTTCAGATTAATATTTAATTAACATCAATTATCACTAATTACTCTCATAATTAATTAAAGGGATCATTAATTACTCAACATTATTATCCCGTTGACAATTTTTTTTTTCTTTCAGAAATGGTTCTCCAGTGGTCAGGCTTTGTTTCGAAAGGAATAGTATAGAGAAAGGGTCAGTGCACAGAATTATCTAACAAGAGCAGGCACAGTTCTTGCAAGCTGTTCTGGTTTAGAAGCATCAGAAGAAAATATTGAAGGCAAAATGTTGTCCCCTTCGGTTTCATTTTGGCATGTCCGCCTGCACGACATACTGACGGTCTCGGAATCCGGATCGGAGTCTGTACTTAACGGAGTTTCTCCATCGGATGATAAGCTCCCATTTTCCGAATTCAATTCTGAGAAGCGTTAGAAGTCTAGATCGGAACAGGCAGCGCTCCCAATTGCCACTATCCCCTGAAAATCCGACATGCGAAGCGACCCTTTTGCACATATCTTCCACGTAGGGCATCTAATTTCGAAACTATAAATAACCCTAGAAAAGCGAAACACAATGCTAACATAATGTTTATAGTTTGCCAAAGACAAAGACAAAATGCTGCACCGCTTGCGTGGTTTAGCATGTCGTCTATAACACAATCTGTGTCCCACCTCAGAATGGAAACGTCCAAAGCTGGCAAAAAGAGCTGGCTGTTGGCTTGGGGAGGGTGGTGATGGTGTGCAATACCTGGACAATCCGCAGTCCGGACGCAGCCTCCACGAGTGGCAGGTTCTCCTTCAAGCGGGTCTTGAGGAACTTGGCGGAGTAGTAGCCGTGGGCCCCCTTGCGGACCGCAAACAGCACGTCCAGGTCCTGCCCCGCGCTCCGCCGGGACCTCTGTGCAGGCTGGCTCCCGCCACCCTCTTCCGCGGACGGCTGAATGCTGATCACCTGCAAGTCGGCGAGAATGCCGGGAGGTTGACGCACACTCTGTGTTGCTTCGCAGTGATGTCACGCAGGTAAACTGGTACGCGCTTTGTGCCTTGATGGCACAAACATTGTCGTGGGTGGTGTCCCTGAAGAAAAACCCTGCCAAAGCAAGCACTTGGGCGGGAGTGGAACACAAGCAAAAGCTCAAGAATGAAACTTGCCTAAACAATACGTGCTGTAAAACAGGTCTATATCATTCCATATACACATTCTATGTATTCATAAGCTATCACACAACCTTAAGAAAGCCAAGGCACATTTTGAAGTGCCAGGGGTGTATTCGGCCCCATCAAAATTTTCCAGCCTATGCTCGAAAATAGACAACGAAAAGGATGAAGACAATGTGTGTCAAAGGAAATGTTCTAAGCAGTACGTAGAATGTGCAACTTCAGTCGTTCATGAGATTGCAATGAGCTGCAGAAAAGCATGCATGGGCCAAACGAGAAGATGCGCAAACGATAAGGTGTGCGAGCATTCATCATCTGTAAAAAGAAATCAACCATGGGCAACCTGGCTATTCATTGTGATAAATGCCCATGCATTTATCACAATTCTAAAAAAATAAAAGGGTCGGAGGCCACTAGGAGGCTATGATTCAGCTGGGCTTTGATTGCGGGCGAGCTCGGGAGAATTGCCGACACGGTTTCGCTGGTGCATGTCTCTTCAGCTACCTGAACTTGGGATGTGTGCAAATAGAATGAAGAAAATTCCGAGGACACCTAAGCACTTCCTATGAGTTGTGAATTCGAAAGCATGAATGTCATTCTTGCGCTCCCTTAGTTAGTCTGTGGTGGAACGGCTCGGACAGCCAAGTTTCGGTATTGCCGAGGTTGCAGCTGGTGGCTGAGCGCGTGCTCTCGTGAAGCGACCGCAGCCCCCCCTTGCTCCAGCAACACCTGCCACAAGAGCGGCGGCCGAGCAATGGCTATCTAGGAGCCGTTTTGTTCAGCCAATGAGAGAATGGGCATTTCTTTCACATTTTTTTGTGGTTACAGATGCCGCCAGCTCCGCTCCATAAGATAGTTAATGCTCTCACATTAAAAAAAGTTCTTGGGACGCCTGAAAGCAAATTATGGCGAGAAGTGGTATGAATCATACAACATTAGCTTGCATCTTATGCATCTGCTTCAGCAGATGCATAAGATGCATAAATGACAACACTCTGTGTTGTGTCCCTCACCCTCTGTCCTTGATTTATGGCACATATTGTTTAAAGAATCATGTAAATCATGTACCAACTAGCCCATCTTTCCATTTTAATGCAAAACTTCCTAGTTTTCTACAATCCCGTATGTTGCCACACTTGTTACAAAAAATAAAGGAAAAAAAAGAACGCTGAACTTTTCAAAAACAAAAAATCTCCTGAAAGCCAGAGTAGCAGCCAACAGCCAACAGGCCTGCTCACACAATAGCATTTAACCGTATCTGGCTATGGTTTAAGATACAAAATCAAGTTAACAGGACATCCATACATAATAAGCTGCATGCCAAACCACACCTTGAACTGGTTGCCATTCTCGAAACGAATCACGAATGTCTCTGTGACTTTCGGTCGTACCTCAACTTAACAGGGTCAAAAACTACAGCATCTTGAGCACCTTAATGCAAAGTCTAACTTAAAACACTGTTTAAAAAATTAAACTTGTTTGAATTTGGCCAGGAGTTTGAAGGTATGCCGAACCAGTCGAAACCCAAGTTCGATGCAAGTTTACGACGTCCCTGTGCACTCTGTTTTACCTTACAGTGGACCACAGCAAGTGCTACAAGACAACCAGCCAATCCAGCAAAGTGAATGTATCACACGATTACATGCCCCGCACATCGCTGAGTCCATCATAAAGGTCACGTGACACTCACACAGCAATGGACTGACTCCAACGACTAGTAGCATAGTAACCTGGATCTGCAGAAGTAATATTTGCAATATGGCCTTAGAGAGTTGTTGGCTGGCATTTCGAGGCTTCCACCACGTTCCTTTCTCCCGTTCGAGAACCAGAGGGCGTCACTTGGCTTCGCCGATAAGCCCTCGCCACGACGCACCCTCCCCAAATGCCTCACCTGAATCTCCTTGAGCCGCACGTTGAGCAGCGACCGGAGGCCCTTCAGGAAGCCCTTCTTGTAGGTGAGGAGGAAGTCCTCAGGCGTCACGTCCGCCAGCGTCAGCCCGACGGCGTTCAGCAGTCCCTCCTCGCTCACCAGCACCACCTCCACCGACACGCCGGCGTACGTCGTGAACTTCCCGTCCGAGACACTCACGTTGACCGAGTACGTGCCCACGTCCAGCCCCGGCAGCGCTATCAGCGTCCCGTCCTCCCGGTCCACCGAGAAGAGGTGCTGGTGCGACGAGGCCAGCTCGAAGGCCAGCTGGTCGTAGGGGTCTCGGTCCGTGGCCCGGACGCGTCCCAGCACGCCGCCGGGGAAGTCGTCCAGGTACGAGGTCACCGACACGGCCATGGGCGATGCCTCGGGTGGGAACTGGCTGTCTTCGATGGCCTTGACGAAGACGCGGCACTCGGAGGACAGCGGCGGCGCTCCAGAGTCGGAAGCACGGACCACGAGCTCGTATTCGGATCGGAGCTTGGGGTCGAGCTTGGAGGCCGTGCGGAGCGTCGAGTCCGTCTGGACGAGGCGGAACGCGCCGTCTTCGTTGCCGGAGACGATTTCTAGCGCGAAGGGGGCCCCATTGGGGGACGAGTCGGGGTCGCTAACGGTGAACTTGAGCACAGTGAAGCCCACTGGCTTGCCTTCCTGCGAGGGAGGAGTTCAACAACTGTAGGGTTGTGCTCTTTTTTAAATACGTCGAGTAAATGAAACGCAGTTAGTATAAGATCGTAGTGAAAACTTAAAAAGGAGTCTTCTAGAAGCCTCCACAGTGATGCCGACATTTTGTTGAAGGAACAGCAAACTCTCATAGAAGATTTTTAGGTGCAGAGATGGACACAGGCGTCACAAAATAAATTTTCCCTTTAAACAATATATTTTTTACCGCAATATTTCTGTTGTGAGACACATATTGCAAAACCGAAACAAACTTCTATCTTAAAGTCAACATCTCAGAATAGAAATCAGGTTCGGGTTTGATCTTATCAAGATATGTTTCACGACAAAACTATCATACTAAAAATATCTTTCCAGTAACAACTTGTTTTGCAAAATACATGTCGGATGCAGGCATCAAAAAAAAAAATATTTGGGGAGTTTAATGCTTTTTAATTAAGAGAGAAGCTACCAAGTTTCTTTGCAAAAATGTTGGCACTAACTCTGAGACATCCAAGAGAGTCTTCTTCAAGCAAATCCTCTATATAAGACAAGTGCTGCTTGTTTTTTCTGATGTCTGCGCATTGACTTCTAAAAGGCATCCTACATTTTTACCAAACACCAAAAGTGTACATTGACCACTGCTCCAATTCTTCTAATGCAAAATTTTATTCTTAGCAAAGTCAACACACATTTTGCAGGCATCGATAGCATGCCCTGGTCCATCCTTTGTTTCACGTGAGTTGGCGAATTGCAAACGCAACGGCCTCCTCGAGCCAATCAGGATGCGAAGCAAGTCCTGGCCATTACCAGAGGTACTGGGGTGAGGGAGCAACCCAAGCAGATGGAGAAGAAGGGAGGGAGGAACTACTCTCTTCCCTGGGCCCTCTTTTGAGTGCCACAGAAGTTGCTTTTGTCCCCTTGGGGGATTCGCCTCTCACTTAAAAATATGTACAAGTGGCTTTCCTCTCTCCCCCGCCCGTGGCTCACTGCATGCAACTATCCATAAGGACACCCTCCCTCGAGAGATCACCCATCCCATTTTTCTGGCTTAATATCTGTAATATAAAACTTCCAAAACATTGCCCCCCCCCCCCCCGATTCTCGTCGGACGTCACGCGCAATCTGCGGTACCGCGCAAGCATACGGGTACCGCGCAATCTGCGGTACCCGTACGCTTGACAGGCGAGTTCATAACGGGTTCCCACGTTCCTGTTCGCGACATCCGTGCACGATGTTGGTCCCCTTGTTTACTGCACAGTGAAATGCGAATCTGCTGCAATTGCGATCTGCAGTGTCGGTTCCCACGGGATACACGAGTATGCAGCAGGTTCCCCACTGTCCTTTGTACCGCGAAAAACGAATCTGCTGCATCCGCAATCCACAGTGTCTTTTAAAAGGACACAGGAGTCCGTAAAAAATTTTCGAATTTTTATCGCATCGTGAAATGCAAATTTGCCGTGTCCGTGATTTGCGGCATCAGTTCCCGTTTCACGAGGTTTGCAGCGGATGCCTCAATGTTTTATAAAGTTCTGACGTCGCATCCCCAAAGATAGCCCACTTCGTGTGTTTTCACCATTTATCCCTTCATTTTGGGTGGGTGTCCTTGCGGGATTTTACGGTAGTAAGAGTATAGTCATGTGATTCCCTCTGACACGCTGAATGGCTCGCTGGGACCGTAGCCTTCACTGTTTGCCAAGTTTTACAGAGCATAGCACAGGGAAGCTAAGAGGGTTAACCAGCTGGCAAGCTCCAGTGCCGCCAACCAACTGCACGTGTTCACACGCGTCGTGTGTCAACACACCACAAGTCACTCCCAATGACCTTCCTCGCCTCAGTCTGTGCGTTCTCCTTGTCCTCACAGGAGGGAAAAGAAAAATAAAGAATGACGAGGCTGGTTTCGAGCGTTTGCTCGGTTTCTCGTAAGGTGCAGTTCTGCATACGACGGTGTAATCAATAAATCGAAAGTCAGCTGCAAATGTTTTGTGTAATGAGACGGTGCTTTTCCAAGTCTTGATCATTCTTTTGTCCACGATAAATAGTAGATGTTTGTTTATTGATTACCTCTAGGTTCATTCCAAGCACCAAAAAAAAAATTATAGCAAATTGCTAGGCAATGGTGTTGCATTGTTCGGGCAATGTTTAGCGATACTCCGAGTTTCCAGACGCCAGACACGTATGTTCACGGCGCTCTTCATCAGATAGTTTAACGCAAACCATGTGCTTGTTTCATTGTTGTTTGGTAAAATGAAGCGATACTACCACTAATCAGGCTGATAAGCCTGGCAATCTTCCAGAACTTTCCACATTTTTGAGCTCCACTCCCTTAGTGCGCACAGGTGGTCGAGCTACTCCTCGCCTACCCCTCTGGTCACATGATCTCCCCAATAACCAATCAGCGTCGAGCACCTCCCTCCTCCTCTCTCACCCATCAACCAATTAGTGTCAAGCCTTGTGGCTTCACTTTTATCCAGGCTTCACGGAATGCAAAATACACCGAAAGAATGTTTCACATTAAAATGTATTTTGGGAGTTTAGCGTCCCTTTAACCAAATCTCTACTGCCCTAGTTTTAGAGAAGCAGATTCTTCTCGGGTGGAGTGGCTAGTACCTGAACGATGGCTGAGTAGTTGGCCTGCGCAAAGTGGGGCGGGTTGTCGTTCACATCCGAGGCTTCGATGTTGACGAGCACCTTTGAAGACAGCGGTGGCGTGCCTCCATCTGTGCACTCCACTTCGAGGACGTAGTTGGATATCTAGATGGGGGGAAAAATTAAGAGTAAAGGTAAAGTGGGCAAGCCAACGAGAAACTAAGGTGGCATAACAAATCTTGTCCTGTACATCTGAGCTACTCCCACGAGTCGTATCGCATGATTTCTTGCCGATGCTGTTAGGTATTTTCTACTATCTTCCTATGTTGAACGTCGGTATGTGCTTCACCGTGATAAGCTATATTTTACTCTATTTCGGCGTGTGCATCATAATAGTACCAGATGTTTTATATCCAAAGGTAGTTTTTTGGCCCCCCTATGACTCGTGATGAGCCACACCTGCCTCAGCTTTTAACAGGGAGCCAGAAGCATCTCTGAATAAAAGAAAAAATAACAGATACAGTCGACTCTCGGTAAAGCTGCTTTATTGAAATTTTCTATTAGTTCGAAGCAGGGGTGCTGTCCTGGGAATTACACATTCGAGTCTATGACAAAAACACTCTGTGATTCGAAGTTTAACCACTGGGAGTGGCTAATTCGAAGAATTTTCTTACGTGATCGAGAAGTTCGGTAACTTTAGGAGCATGAAATGGTGTCGTGATTACGCAGATCAAGCTTAAATTGCATTTGTGCACACTTTGTCAATTTTATCTACCGTGTGCGCTGTCAAAAAAAAAAAAGAAAGCAAGCACAGCATGCGAACGAGCTGCCAGGTGGTTAAGGCGATTAAGAGGCCAAGCCATGCCAAGCCAAGCCAAGCCAGCATGGCTGCGAGCGCATGCATCGTGGCGTTGTTCCCACAAAAATTACGGAAGCGAGCACAGCCGCTCGGTGCGTACGGCCAACAAAGCTAGGTTTGAGGCATTACTCAGTCCTACGAGATGTTTTGTCCATTGAATATACCGTAAAGTTCCGAGAGAATGCCCACCCCCAAAAGATGGCCCCGACGCGTTTTTGGGCAAAATATTTACTTTACATAGACTCCCAGAAGTGGCGAAAGCGGAAAGCTGGAAAATTCCCTTCGAGAAAACCTCTGATCACCTGATTTCAAGCAAAACGGATTATTGTCAAAAAAACCACAGAGAAAAATGCAAATCTCCCGAAAACCATGAGGTCAAACACTTCAACTCACAAGCCCAACATGCGAGTTGAAGTGTTTGACCTCGCGGTTCTCTCTAGAGATTTGCTTTTTCTCCGTGGTGTTACCTTCCTGATTTTTTTTCTTTTTGTCCAAATAAGTGTTTTCATAAGCAAAATGAAGTTTCATTTTGCTATCTCCAAGGTATTCCTTTCGCATGCACGTACACCAATTTCAGGGTCACGTAAATCAGCGAGGAAATGCGTGAACAAAGTAAAATGTCGTTCCCTCCTTCGTTTTTCTTTGTCAGGGACATCCTGCAACCATAAGGTCCACGGCTGAGTCATTCGGGTAGGGTGAATGTTTTCGGATCGCGGAGTCCGCGTTAGGGTATTTGTAAAGGTGGGAAATCACTCGGTGTTATTTTGGAAGTCGATGTTCACCCAAAAAGTGGAGTGGGAGATGTCTCTGGATATTACGGTAAATATAATATATAAATACATATTATATATATATATATAATTTTTATTATGTATGCAGGGGAATGAGGTCTATATTTGTATACCGTAGAATACCGCGCTTCCGCCCATTCCACATTAAGCGCCCATACCCAAATTTGTAACATCTGAGAAAATATGCACAGTACATTTATATGTAGAATTGATGACCGGACAAGGGACCATCCCCCATTTTTTCATGATTATCTCGAAATTTTGAGAGGGCACTTGCCCGGTATTTTACGGTATATGGATATTTCTTCCTCAAATTCTTTAGCACGGTATATCACAAAGTCAAAATACCTCAGGAGCTGCGCTCTAATTTTGCATTAGAGAAATATGTAAATGTCTTTCAATTCTTTTTTTTCTTGTTTTTTTTCTGCTTATACGGATACTGTAGAAACTGAAGGAGAGGAGAAGACGAGAGTGCACGGGGAGGTCAGAGCACCAAGTTCTGTTTCAAATGATCAGTGGTTAGATGCAAAGCTAGCTGCCTCTCTCTCTACTCACTGTATAATGCGAATGCCAAATGCTAACGAGTAGAGAGGCTTGTTCCAAAGCAGTGAATGGAGAGGTCGTTTCCTCTCCGCAAGTCTTCCCTGTAGTGCAGCGGTAGAGAGCCGGGCTCGTAATTACGGGGTCGTAGGTTCGATCCTTGTTGAGGCTACTTCAAAATTTTGTTCTTTCTTCTGAATTAATTACCATTTCTTCTTAATTATGCATTATTTCGTAGACTGTCCTAGACACACAAGATACTTGTTTCGCAACTATCTCCGTGGTGTTATGTACCGCTTTCCTCAGCGACGTAGACACATTCTTTGTTAAAAAGGGACAGACAGCAACTGTCCCCTTTGAGACGCTGTCCGTCCGCCTTTTCCTGTCCTCATTCTCAGGGTTACCATCATGCTCAATAATGCCGGCTCACCTGCATCCTCTAAGCATTTTCCTGGTACTATTTTCAATTCCCTAATGTTCAAAAAACACAAATACATTGAAAAGTAAAAGTGAGCGGCAAATCAAACCAAATAGCAAACACTACCGTAATACCCCGAGAGGTAGCCCACCTAAAATCGATAGTAAATCATATCAAAATAGGGGGTCGGCTAACTTTCCGTGTGCCATAAAAAAAAGGTTGAAAAAATGCTAGTTTTAGATTTTGTCACCCTCGAAACCTGCGATTGCAGGAGGGGGCGATGAAGCAAAGACGACTCTCCTTCCCCGTCAGCAATGTTTGTTTATCCCCTGCCGTGGTTAAGTAACACAGTTTTTGCCAAGGTCAGCATTGGCCGGGGCCCCGCAATTACTAAAAGTAAACTATCTTTCGGTGTTTAAAAAAAAAAAAAAATTGCAAATCATACCAAAATAAGGGGCGGGCTATCTGTCGGGGGTGGCCATCTCTCAGGATACTATGGTATATTCGCGAATAATTTAGTCTTCACACACCAATAACCTATGGGCATGGAAGCGAGTCAACAAACGTTGTGCAGGCACAACGCGGACCAACCATTTCACGGTCCAGGGATGCGGCGACGCTGATGTAGCCCGTCTCTTTGTCGATGGCAAACTGGCCGTGACGGTCCCCCCGCACGATGGCGTACTGCAGTGCCGCGTTGGCCGCACTGTCCGCGTCGCTTGCTATCACCTGCAAGCGAGTGAGCAACGGAGGAGTGAACGACACGGTGTGATTGAAACAGTTAGAAGGTCGAGTCGATCTCCAAAAAGAAGAACAATTTTGTTCAGTAGACAGAAGAAGGGACGGATGGGAGGTTCCGTCGTAATGTCCTTGTCTTTAAAGGGGTTAGGACATGAAAATCAAGTGGGTAGGTTATTCTTGAATTGGAATGCTCAAAGGCTACTTGCTACAACACCAAGCTTTGCAATTTTTAGAGCTCTACTAATTGCAATAATCAATTAGGCTACAACACCAAGTTTCGCGATTTTTAGAGCTTTACTAATTGCAATAATCAACTTACAAATTTTTATCATTTTCATCTGGTGACCATGGGAACGCAGCCCAAGTGAGTCACATCATGGTGCCCATAAACCACGTGATAATGAATGCTCTCTCATTCTAGGCGCCCCATGATCGCCCAAGCTCGCCTCTCCGCAGTACGATCACAACTGCTAACTCAACTCGATTACCCCAACGCTATTCTCTCACTCGCTCCCAGCCCTTTGACCTTGCGGATCCTGCATGCACCTGCGAGATTGTCACGGATGACGGCAACCACAGCGAGTTCGTCCGTGACGCGTCGTCGCTGGAGCTGGTCGTCAGCGGGTCGCAGTCAAAATGACCAGCTTCCAACATCCCCGGATAACAATCACTTTCAACGCTGCTGCAATCAGTGTCGAAGACTTCGACGAAGTGAGCGATGCCATAGACATCAACCATGTGCTCGAAATGCGGAAGGTAAACGAGGAAGCTGAAACTCAAGACACCAAGAGAACCAAGTCTGAGTGCGTACAAGGCAATGTCACCAATGCGCCAACCACGGCAGCCTTTTCAAATGCGGCGGATCTGAGGGACCCGCATATAGACAGATTTATCTACAAAACTACCACACCATTTTCAAAACAAATTCACCAGAAATATAGAAACATACTACAACGGGTCCTTGCAGTATAGTTACCTGGTATTTTATTTTTTGCATGTCCTAACCCCTCTAAGCAGGTAAAAACAGCTCTTTGTGTTGGTCCAAAACCTGCACCTCTGACACTCTTTGCTGCTGCAAACCCCTAATGCACTCAAGGGTCATTTTCGGTGCTCCACTGAACATGGTGCTGACTACTATGACTACCGTAATAGAGCGAAGGGCAGGCAAGGACACAGAAGATGGAAGTAGCGCTACACTCTCGAGTGGCATTTTAATGCAATTGCGAGAAAGAGAGGTCCTGTCTACTACATTCTTGTCTGTCCTTCACGATATTTGTGTGTAATATGCTTAAAACCAGCCCACCTTAATATTTTATGACAATAACTACGGTCAACAGCAAACTCAGAATCATACATTTTATCTGCACAGACTGCATCATTTTATGTTTACGTAAACAAAACAAAAAAAGAAGCCATGGTGACACCAGAGAGTGGCATCGCTGTGAAGGGTCGTGCCTCAGACACCAAAAGAGTATTGAAGTCAACTCAAATCCAAGTCAGTTCAACAACAACAACAAAAAAACATATTTTGTTGCTTTTGATAGCATGCAAACAAGTGCAAGAAAAGCGGTCACAAAAAGCAAAGCACCACATTGTGCGAGTGCCAGCTGGAAAGCTAGCTCAACTTTTCCGACACTTGTCAGCGGGCGACACGCGTCAGGAGAAGTGACTCCCCCAATTTGTTTAATTCCCCTTTACATCGGGACGCGCCGTCTAAAGGCTGGTTCAGATATGTGGCGCGGAAGTGACAGGCGTCAGCACTGGCTCAGTGTTGAGCTAGGGCTGCATTGTGAGTGTAAATAATGACAGGTCGGGAATTTATCTGCCGTTTGGCATGGCTGATGACGTCGGCTCGCTCCATGGGACAGTTAATGCTTTCGCATTAAAAGCAATGCAGCCCTCTTCAGTATCACTTAGGAAGACCACCCACCAAATATTAGGATATACCGTAATATCCCGAGTCATCGCCCACCCCCCTACCGCCTGAAATTCAACAAAAAAGTGGGGTGGGCCATGTCTCGGTGGGTGAGCACAAACACTTGAAAAAAAGCGAAAAAACCGCCTATTTTTCTTTGCGTATCTAGCGCTGATGCACAAGAGATACATCAAACTCAAAACTCGATTTAGTTTCATTGTTTTATAGAAAAAAATGCTCACGAAAGAATATTTTACTATAGCGAAGTCCGTTGCTTGCATACGCGCTAGAAACACCGCCGATCTGCATATAGCGCGAACGTTTGTTCCGTGAAAGAATGTCACCACTATGTTCTCCTAGTTAGTAAAAAAAAGAGAAAATTCTGCAAGAAAATAGAAAAACCGACCAGGCGCAACGAGCGAGCGAGCGAGCGGACCAAAGAAGCGACCAAGAGCAATCCTGGGAAAGCGGGAAAGCCGGCGTTCGCGTTGGCAAATACTTTGGCGTCGGGCCAAGTCGGGCGCCTTGTCAATCGCAAGCTCTTGCACAACTTCCTTGTTTGGTGCGTACATACGTGCGTCCGTGCACGGTGGGCAGTCAATGCACGGTTGGGACGCTCTGCAAACGTCTGTGTAGGGCGTTCCAGCAAAGCTTTATTTACGCGATGGCTTTGCCTAAAATATTGCACAACCGCGGTCGCGACGGGCGGGAAGAAGGAGCGGGTTCGCGGTGACCTTACTTCGGCGGAGACAGACTTTGACTTAACACTCCGCGGTTACATTAACAAACTCTTATTTTGTTATCTCCATCGTTTTCTTTTCGCACGGATACACGACCACTTTGGGGTCGCTCACGGAGGAAATGCGTAAACAAAAAGAAGTGTCTTTCCTTCCTTCGTTTTACTTTGTCACGGACGTCCTCCAACTGTAAGGTCCGCGGCCGCGTCATTCGGGTAGGATGAGTGTTCGCGGATCGCAGAGTCCGCGCTGGGGTATCTGAAGGGGTGGGCGATGACTCGGTGTTTTTTCGGAAATCAATATTGGCCCAAAAAATGGGGTGGGCGATGGCTCGGGGATGGGCGATGACTCGGGATATTACGGTAGTTTCGTCTAAATGTTTCTCAAAGAGACACTGACATGTGCCTAAAAATTTTTTTTAATTTTTTGCCAGGCGATTTTTTTTAGGGTGTCAAAGACTAACCAATCAACATTTTGCTATAGCGTCACACATATTTTTAACAAAGTAAAAAAAAAGCAACTGCTTGAAACCGTTACCAAAACTTTACTAGGGAGGAAGAAGAAATGTAGAGGAGGTAGAGAGTTGGCTGGAGTCACATGGCTGCACTCGACCGTCCAAGCCCCAAAGTAAAACATCTTCCCTAATTTAAAGACCACCGTATTTACTCGCACGATGAACACACTTTTTTAAAGAAAAATTGAGCCATATTTAGAGGACTCGTCTATTAGGTGGGGTAAAATTTTGCGCATTTACGCATTTTGCGTAAATGTCATTTTCGGTGCCCATCTGACGGGGGCACTACTGTGGCATGCTTCCGGTGATGGAGGCGCACCCACAGCTGCTCGTGGGCGCACACCGTAACCATGCTCTAAAAATTGCAACTTTTCTTAAAAGCACCACCTGCATTTTTTGTTTCTTTTTTAAGAAAAAGCGTTGTACGAAGTTTGCTTAGCACAAAGAACAAAGCAAGCTTTCCTAGGCCTAACTGCTTTCTGAAAGCAGAACACGGATGACTGCTTATTTGGCATCAATGCATCGGATGGACGAAACATCTCCAGGGGCTGGGCAATTCCTCGACCTCAGCTTTTTTGGCTTTACAGGCCACTCAGTTACGCTGTTGATCACTTCTGAAACTTCCTTCTTGCAACCACAACCACAGAATTGAGAAGACAGAAAAAAAAAAATGCGTTCATTAAGCATGGGAAAAAAACATTCAAGTATAAATGACCGTTGTGGACGGCAAATTCATTATGCGAGTAAATACGATATTTTAGCAGATGTCAGCCGTCCATTGACGCATAACTATGAGCCAGGCACTCCCTAATTTGCACATTATTGTTTACAAGCTCCGCAGGCTTCTATGTTGCTTTCTTCAATATTAGGACAGGAGAGAATTCTTCGAGTTCAGAATGTTTGAGAGGCCCGCTCTAGATTATTACATATCTGTTTGCGTGGGCAACAGGAATCCAGCAAGCCTATCCAAAGAAAGGTCACCTGCCCCTTTATGGTATCAGAAGTCATTCCACTTACCTGGATGATGCGGTCTCCGACCCGGGCGTCCTCTCGGACCACGGCGTTGTAAACCGGCAGTCCAAACACGGGCGGGCAGTCGTTGTAGTCGGTCACCGAGACGTTGACAGAGGCCTGATTGCTGAGGGCCGGCAAGCCCCCGTCCCGCGCTAGCACCGTCAGGAAGTAGTCCCGCACGTCCTCATAGTCCAGGGGCTTGGCCACCTTGACGGAACCTTGGGGGGGACACCACAGGGAACGTGCACTGACGCAGGAGAAATAACTACATCGGTGCAGGAGATGTATATTGGCACAAGAAAGACACACTGACAGAATTGCATATTAGTGCAAGAAAGACGGCACGAAATACATATTGGTGCGAGACGTATGGGAACAAAGAAAAACGTCAGTGGGAGAAAACATATCGGTGCAGGAAAGACACATTAGTGATGAGCGACGTAACGGCACAAAAAAAAAAGAAACGACACGCAGGTAAAAGGAAGATAATCCAGGAAAGACATTCGCAAAAGAAAGATGTATTGGCTTGAGACACACTGCTGCAGGAGGGCATGTAGGCACAAGAAAGACATATGGAAGAGAGAAAGTCATGCTGGTGCAAGCTGAGGGGACAAGCAAGTAAGCTCGCGTGACAAATTTTTAAGCACGGGAGCACCGCATAAAGCAGGTTCAAACTGAGCTGCACGTTTGTAAAGAGAGTGATGTGTAGAGCACAGCAGTGCGAGCTGGCACGACGCATTCGAAATTGAGGTAAAATAATGTGGGGAGCCCCAAGAACACCCGGGACGAATCAATGTTAAAATGGAGTGCCGGTAAATTTTGTCATCGAAGTTTGGCAGGGCCAGTGTGCTGGGGCCACTCTGTGCGGCATCTCACGACGCTGCATTACGACTCTCGATGGGGCTGGTTGGTTCATACTGAAGGGTGACTAAATAGAGCGAACAAGACAAGGACATAAAAAGGCACACATATAGCAAAGGCTGGCCCTAGCTTCCAACGGATTTCATTGCAAGGCTAATCCAAACAATCCATATACTCATGCTTATGTGATTAGTACACAATATACTCAGTGAAAAAGAGAGAACAGCAAGACACCTTTTCCTAACGCCCGGCCCCCAGCACGCATTCGTGGCCTTGCACAGTGTCTTGGCAGTGCGTTTACATTCCAAGTGCACAAGAAGCCATTGTCAAAGGTAGGAAGCTCATGCTGGAGACGTGGCAACTGAAGCTCCTCCCTTCCGTACTACCCTCGTGACTATAACACCCCCGTGTAGACAAGTTAGCGCCCATTTTTGTCGCACGCCTGCCTTTTTCGCCCCTTGTCTCATTCGCGCTACCTAAAAAGAAGCACACTGCTTTTTAGGACAAAAAAGAAAAAAAAGTTGAAATCGTGTTTTTGAAGACTGCCAGGCAATTATCATTTTGTTTTGAAGTTCTTTTGTTAAAAAAAAAGTAGTATCTTTTTTTTTTTTTAAACATTGACTCGAAAACGCAGAAAAATGGGCCAGTGCACAGCTTTTTGCTATTATGTACTTTAGAATGAAGTAAATATGCACTTTGCTATTTTATAGAAGCCATATCACCACTTGTACCTATCCAATCTTCTTCATTTTTTCTTTCCCTGGTACGCATATGTGCAAGGTATACAATAAGGAGTATAAATATGTCAAATATGACATCAGGCTTGGGGTCTTTGTAATTCTTTTTTAATTTATACTTTCTTAAATAAATAATATTAAAGCTGGAAAACTCTGCCATAAAAAAAAACGTATAAATCATCCTACAGCTTTCATTTCAACCTTATTGGATTCCACAGGCCTTCCAGTTTCCTGAGATATGTTTATTTCCTGATATCTGTATATTTCAATCTGCCTTAATCCTTCCCATAGTCTTCTCAAACTAAATTTTCCATATCAACAAAACAAATTAAGCTACTATATCAAAACCAAGTACCATACATATTTGTAGTCAGATAGTAAAGGCAGATAATCTATGTAAATTTCATTTGTTGCAACTTATCTGTTAAGAAACCTGTAGAGTCTGCAGTGCCGCTGTTTAATTCATTATGATATTGGCTGGTACTCCATTGTAGCTCACAGATGCCAGTGAAAATCGGACACCTAATATTAGGCATGTGCAAATAGTGGATTGCAAGTTCAAAGCAGAGTCGAAGCGAATGGTGGTTTTGGCCAAATATCTTTCAATTGAATATTGAACAGTTTAGAAAGGTCTTTTGCTACAATGCACCCCACTTAAAAAAAAATTCGGCTAAACTCGTGAAGGTTGTCCCCAACCTTCTTCTTGTCTACTTCTAAGTTAATTTTAATGTAACTATATATGAACTGTGGCATGTAATTGAGAGATTTGTTGCAGCTATCCTTATCGAAGGGATTTATAAATCTGCTTGCTAAATGCGAAAATTGTTTCCCCTATTTCAAATCTGACGAAAAAAAAAAAAAAAATGACCGCATCTCCACGTGGTGAATGATGTTGATTGGGCCGAAGCTCTGGTGGTGCTTGTCTGCGTAGACGCTGAGCCGCAGCATGCCGAGCCTTTCGTTCGTTTTCATCCATGTCGGAAAGAGAATGTGTGGTATGGAACGTGGTTATATACTCATTTGAGCTTTTGACCGCAGCGCCCTCTCGTCTATAAACGTTGAGCCAATGCATGCAAAGTTTAACGCGATTATATATGCATTTGACCGCAGCGCCCTCTCCTGTATAGACGTTGAGCGGCTACATGCAACGTTTCATCCACGACATCCCCAGGTCTTGAGTTACTACCACATCTCAGAGCCCCCTACTCGTCCCGCAGTCGTAGCCGAGTGGTTAAGGCGATGGACTAGAAATCCATTGGGGTCTCCCCGCATAGCTTCGAATCCTGTCGACTGCGCAAACATTTGTTGTTTTTTTTATAATTTTTTTTTGCCCTACACGAGCACGATCACAAGCACGAGCACCAGCAAGATCGATCTGAGCACGGACGCCGGACGGACAAGGCTAGACCCTAAGGAGCTTCGCCCCTAAAAGAAGCACGAATGATGAATGTGGGCTGTCAGTGGCGGGTGAGCCACGTTGAGTGCGCTTCTCAATGAACACCTCTGCACTGCGGGAAAGCAATACCCGCGAAGCGTGCGAGCTTCGCGGGTATTGCTTTCCCGCAGTGCACAGGTGCTCGGTGAGAAGTGCACCCAACGGGGCTATCCCGTCGCAATCAACACTTCGAAAAGTATGAATATCGCAGTTCACTCCGAAACTAATATCGAATAACGTATTATTCGAAAACTCAAATATTCACACAACACTTCCAAATATACTGCCCGCCAATCATGTGATCCCAGATGAACAGCCATATGCCATTCAATAGCAAGCTCTCTATTAACGGTCTACTGATTTCTGAGGAGCGGTCAGAGGAGCACAGACCTGTCTTTGCGTCGATGCTGAAGTGGCCCAGCTCGTTGCCAGCGCTGAAGAAGTAGGTCACCTCCGCATTCAGCCCGCTGTCCCGGCTGGTCGCCAGCACCTTGAGCACCTCGACGCCCACGGCGGAAGCCTCCGAGACGACGGCGTGGTAGAACTTGCGCGAGAACTCGGGCGGGTTGTCGTTGACGTCTGGAGCAATGGACGGATGGATGGTATTAGCTATAACCTTTCCAATCGGGGGGGGTAACTTGTGCCACCTGGCCTAGAAACATTACCCACGCTGCGATGAATTCTGCTTGCTTTTAAATACTTTTAAATTGCCTGAGGCAGTATATCTCGGGGTACGCCTAACCGCTGATTTAAGATGGAATAATCATGTGAAGTTATTATGTTCTAAGGCCAGTGGCATGCTTCATTTTTTGTGTCGCAATTTCAGAAAAGTGTTCGCTCATTTGAAAAAATTCTCTACTTTTATTGCGTCCTCCCAATTATGGACTATGCTTGTATTCTTTGGGACCCACACACGCAAACATGTATAAAGCAAATCGAAAGAATTCAGAATCAGGCCGCGAGATATGTGGTAAATAACTATAATTTTCATGATAGTGTCTCTCAATTAAAGCTCCAACTCGAATGGAAACCTGTACAACTAAGAAGAAAGTACTACCTCCGTCTCAAGTTCATGTTTAATCTTTATCACGGTAGCATAAGTCGAGAGACCTTTTGGAACCTCATTATGTTTCTCTTAGAACTAGTAATAAAAAAAGTATCTGAGAATTTTGCACACAGACTGACGTTCTAAAATATTCTTTTTTTCCGTGGACAGTTAGTAATGACTAGAATGTGCTGCCCAACTCACTGGTAGAGCTTCCTAATGTACTATCATCTTTTGATGAAATTATGTTATTGTAGTCGGTTCGATGATTTTTTGTGTGACTTCTGCATGTTGTTAATCATTTTCTCATATTATTGCAGTATATATTGGCATGTTTCTCCTGTTCGACCTGATTATTTCACTGTTATTCATTTTCTCATATTATTGCAGTATATACAGGCATGTTTCTCCTGCTTGCCTTCTAATTTGTTGCTGTTGTTCTGCTGTGTGTCTGCTGTTGTTCTGCTGTGTGTCTGCTTTTGTTACTTTCTTTCATCCCCTCTACTGTAATGCCCACCGGGTGATGTAGGTACCAAATAAATAAAAAATAAATAAATGCACCTGTGAAACTTCCTAGGGACCGACTGCCTGGTTACGAAGGGGTTTTAGTGCAGCTAAATGTTGAATACTACCGAATACACAAATCCTTTTTAAGTTTTACTCTCAAAATCAGTCTCTCATTAAATCATCTGCCCCACCAACTTTGCGCCTTGTGAAACCTCTTGAGATCTTCTCCCCCACTCTTGTAACCTCCCTTTGTGATTGTAATTTTTTGTGACACCATTCATTTAACTTCGCCAGCAAAAACCCGGCACTCCCACCAAAATCCGTTACCCTTTCAGAGAGGGCAGGTCAAAACCCTAGACACTTCTAAGCCACGTGTTCTAGCGCATCGCTCTCGGCATATGGCACGTGATGCGTCTATCCCACACCTTGCACCACGACGAGCAGGGTTGCCAGGCTGGAGAGCTGTGGTGTCCCATGGTCGCTTGCCTGCACCGTCAGGTTGAAGGTGGCGCGCTCCTCGCGGTCCAGCGGCCGGTTCAGCATCACGATGCCGGACGTCTCGTCAATGCTGAAGTGGCCCCTAGCCGAATCCACAAACGAGTAGCTGACTCTGCGGTTGAAGCCTGCATAGCGGTCGGAATCCGAGGCTTTCAGAGGACCGTTCACACTGCCCAGTTTTTTTAAGTCACGTTAAGGAAGCTTTAGTCCGGTTGTGACGAGATCGTCAGCGAGTTTCCGTGGCAACCAAGCGATGTAAGGCTCGACGTAGCATGAGGAGTTAAGCTCGACTCTTACACTTCGTTCAGAAAACGTTATGTGGAGTCTGTTCACGGGCAGGCTTTTATAAAGAAATGTCCCCAAAAACAGTGTAATGCAAAAGTGTGACACACACACTTTAATGAAACTTACGTCCCACTAAGTTCAGCAGAGAACTCCAAATAATGTCTACCATATTTTCAGGACTATAGTCCACACCCAGTAAATAGACAACAGATGCAAATTTTGGTTTGAAAGATCCTTACATAGTTATGACCCGGTACATACAAGTCCGAACCTGATCCCTGGTCTGCACGTAAGCACTTCTCATACGCATCAGACCTTAACAAATCTCAGCATTCTGTAACACGTAAATCCTCATTAACACACTCTGTCATTTTCGAAATTCGTAACATTTCGTCATAATGAACGATCTAGAAAAAGAACATTCTCAAAACCCCTTTTCTCCCTGGTGCAAGCCAGCAGTGTGTTTCTTTCTCTCTTCGTCGCTTTTCCTAACGTTCAGCTGGTAATCAGTAAGCATGGATAACCAACCGGCTCAGCTACAGGCCATCACCACAAGCAAATCAGTTCACATAAAGTGTGCATGGAGGACGCGCGCACGATGCATGTAAAACGACAAAGCCTTTTCATTGCGTGCTTCTATTCACAGCGAACGTGCATTTAATCATGCGGTGGATAGTCGGCAGTTTCGTGCAAACAGCATCGTCGGTCCTCTTGGGCCTTACTTTGCTGTGTAAATTGTGTATACAGGGTCGACGACACCCTGTGCTTACGGCCCGGTGACGCGGCAAGAGGACCGCGCATGAAGCACAGCATGGCAGGCAAGGCAGGTCGAAGCATGCGCCCGCACCCCACCCGTCACCTGTCGAAGGTGTTTGCTAACCAGTCTCCGCAGCCAGTGGCGCTGTGTTACTATACCGTGTCGACGTTGCAAATTTTGTTTAGTCCAAACCGGACGATGGTTGGCGCGTGTGCCAGGACAATAACGCTAAAGTATTAATACAAATCCTTATATGGGTCGGCATGCGGCTCCGAGGTCCCGATGCCACAATGGCGCTGCTGTCTGCACGGTACATGCGCGGACGCTTCTTCTCATGCGAATCTGGTTTATGTGTGCACAAACAGTGCCTACACCTGGTGTGGGAAAACACAGGCTTCGTTTGTAAATAGTATGTTGACCTCTAGCTAGGGTTATAAATTTTAAATTTCAACCGAAAAAAAATTAAAAAATAAAACTATGCCAAATTAATTTTTTTAAATTCGGTTTCAACTGAAAGAGGTCAGTATCCTTGAAAAGTATGACCTGTGTTCCTTTTGTTTGTTTTGCAATAGCCATTTGTGTTTGGGAATGGTGGTTTTTCAACAATGCTGCTGTCAGTGACTAATCAGTGACCTCGCAACCACTTTCTTATCAAGTTGCCAGTTGCCATCTGCAAAAGGGTTCAACATTGAATAATAACTTGTCCAGGGGAAGAGCGAAAGCTGTGTTTTTTTTCTTATTGGGTTTTGTGCACTACATGTCCTGGTCTGCAAGAAAACGGTTTGGAATTGAATTATTCTGATATCCAAAGTCAACAATAAAACCCATATCTTTTTTATTTTTTTTTTTACTTTTCACAAGCTTGAAGTTTCCCCCTGGTTTAGGAGGGTGTAAATACAATCGATTTATCGCGCTTCCATAGTCTGCAAACTAAACTAACCAACCTTGACAGTTGTGTGCATAAAAGACAAGGGACAAAAGGGAGTTCTCTTGAAGACGAACAAGGGACAAAAAGGAAGTTCTTTCAAAAGACGAAAGTTTGTCTTTTGCATATCCCTTTCATTCCTTCTCTTTTGTGAGCTATTTTTACACAGCTTGTATAGTACTACACGTTGGGAGCGGAAAGGGGTCGTCCACGCACCGAGGTCCCTGTCCGTGGCGTGGACCTTGGCGACCAGAGTGCCCACGTCGACGTCCTCGGCCACGGTGGCAGTGTAGGCGTCCTGGCCGAAGGCGGGGGCGTTGTCGTTCACGTCGCTCAGCAGGATCTCCACCGCGCTGGTGCACTCCCAGTCCCACTGGCCCCAGTCCTGCACGTGGGCAGTGAGGCGGAAGCGCGGCTGCCGCTCCCGGTCTAGCAGGCGGCTTGTCCGAAGCACTCCTGCAGGCAGGCATTGGAAGAAGCGGGCGTTGCAGACGGCGTCTACGGCCAAGGACGAGCCTCGGCAAGACGTTGCCTGGGGCCGTCAGGACGGGACACAGCAAATGTCGTCCACGGCAGATGTTGCAGACAGGACGTCGCAAGTGCCGCTCACAACAGATGTCAGATGAGTCTCAGCAAAAAATCGTCTGGCTTTCTGTGCGACGCTAGCATCCACAGGAACTATTTGGCTCACTTCCTGAAAAAAACCCTGAATATTGCTTAGTCGAGGGTAGAAGTTTTGGCCAGTTATCATGGAACCACCATTTTTTCGTATACCGTTATCGCTGTATTAAATCTGTCAAAAGCCGACGTACATTTTGCACTTTCACTTCTGCCCGCCTCCTCCTTTCCTATGTCGTCTCCACTGTTAACTGTGTCCCAACATGGCCCACCCTCATATTTTAAAAGAAAAGGACGCTAAGAGGACCATCTTTCCTGCATAAAATTGGGGCTGTAATTCAGCCTTTAAGGACTGCCCAAACAGGACAGAGCAAATGCCATGCACGGTCAAGAAAATGAGCGCTCTTCTCAAAAAGTGTGAAAAGTATGGCACGCGCACACACTTTTGGTGAGAACATCAACTACGCAAACGGCACAACTTTCGTCCTCGCTTTCGGCTCTCCCCTTTCTTGTTTTCTAGAGATGGGGGAGGGGCTAATGATAACGGCCTTGACGACAGCCAGCAGGGCGTACGTGTGAGTGGCTGTCCGGACCCACGTGACGAGCAGGCTCCAAGTCTTTGCCGACTGCCACGGCACCGACCCAGGTTCAAGCCCTGCCGTGGGGCTCCAATTTTATAGATAACCTTAACGTCTGCAACGCCCCCAACCTGCCGCTCGTTAATGACACTCATTATGACGCACGTTCGTAACAATTCTCTACCGATGCGGTTGTGCAGGCAAGTTATATGCTCAGGAGGACATAATATAGGCAGTTAATTCTCACAATAAGTCAAACAATTAACAAACGCATGTTCGTGACAAGACGACCCATAAATTGAATCCTATGTTACAAGGCACAGCTAATCTGCCAAGCGTTGCTTTGCGGCGATGTTGCACAGGTGAACTTAGTGTGCACTTTGCGCCCCGACGGTCGTCATGCGTAGCTTGTGTTAAATTTGGAGAGCCCTGCCAAAGCTAGTGCTCGAGTGGAGTGGAACACGAAGCTTGCGTCCCTTGCGGCAGCAGACTTTAACCCTGCTATATAGCACGTCTTCCTGTTTCCTCTTGAAAAAAATGTTTGCCCTCTTCCACTCCCAAAAAGCGTGCGAGGATGTTTGCCACCTCATGACATACTTGCTTTTCATACTTGCTTTAACCGTGTGCACTGTCGCCACAGTCGTTTCGGCATCTGATTCACGACCGGAAGCGCCCTGGTTCCATACCGAGTGCTTCCATGCTTTCCCTGGTGCTTTTTTATACCCGCACATTTTTGTGCAACGTTCTTCCGCCACAGGGGTGCGTTACAGGAAGCGCGTTACAGAAAGCTACTAGTAGCCGGCCACATAACACAAACCATGTTAAAAACAAGGGAGCAAAGCCCAGTTTTAAAACAGGGCGTCTAGGAACCCGGGGGCTCTCCAGAGTACCCTCAGGAGAGGTTCCCCAAATTCCCTGTAAGGAAGTTTTTTTGTTTTGTTTTTTTGTGTTTTTGTTTTTGTTTTTTTTCAGTTTAATTACTATCTTAGAAGACACAAGCCAATCAGCAACAGATCACAATTTGCCAGACACCTCCTAGTATGTGCATTATTGTTTACAAGGACTGTAAGCTTCGGCACTGCTTTACTACATCAACGCTGAGACTGGGGAGATATATACTAATAGAACACATGCCAAATGCACAGCGCCATCTAGTGGGGCACCAAAGAACATGCTCCATCTCGCCAGTTTATTTATTTATTTATTTGAGAATTCTGCTGGCCAACTTTTGAGGGCCGCCAGAATTTGAGAATACCTACTGCTGGCAACTTTTGGCTTCGGCACTGGCAAAGGCAAGGACACGAAAGCGTAGCTCGGAAGAATCCTTCGCTTCGCTGTTCAAGATATCTGACATGTCGATCATGATACATTAGCAGCATATCTCAGAAGATCCCCAACCAGCCTACATGCTAGCACAATACTACAGGTGTAGAAGTGGCCTTGCAAGAGAGGTGCGAGGTGATTCCCTCTACTTGACGGACAGTTTCCCATACCGGCAACCACACCTAGGAGCAATATGACCCCCCAAAGATGCCTATCAGCACCCCAGCAAGACTTTTCAAGTGTTCGCAACAGCTCACAGCGACTTTCTATTCCCTTCCTCAAAACCCCTAATCCCACACTTCGGCTTCAGCCATCCCCTCCCCATGTGGTGAAATAAATAAAATATTAGCAAACTTTATATATATTCCTAATTTGCCACACACTTTCTGGGCAAAGATTTTTCAAATGCCTTCTACAAGCCAAAGAAGAAGCCAAAGCAGATACCAAAGCAGAAGCCAAAGCAGAAGCCAAAGATGAGACGTAGCCTGACTCGACTTGCCTGTGGTTGAGTTGATGAAGAAGTCGTCCGAGCCCTTGCCAGAGAGGTAGTAGCGCAGTTGAGCATTCCTGTTCTCGTCTGCATCCGTCGCTTCCACCGTCAGGATGTATGTGTTCACCGCAATGCTCTCCGACACAAGCTCCGTGTACTTGGACTGAAAAGGCAGCACCGGTGACACTACCGTTACTGCCACTGATGTACAATCCACACCATGGACACCAACAAGGCAACAAAAGCAGGGAGAAGCTTCAGTTGTCCCACCCCTAGCGCAAGCTTCCTACATTCAACAATGCTTCGACATCTCGTGCACCATGAACGCGTGCACAGCAGAAGCGCAGCAAAAGGCATGGAGCACGTGCTAGGGGCGAGGGGTGCTATGTTGTGCTTTTTGCACTCCCAGGGACTTGGAAGAGGGAAGTGACGTCAACGACTAGAGCAAATGCAGATTGAATGTTGACAGAAGAAAACAAAATCGACATCCAATCTGCATTTTCTGCGTTGTTGACGTCACTTCCCTCTCCCTAGTCTCCTGGGAGTGCAAAAAGCGCAACATAGCCCCCCAGGCCTTCGAAGGATGCACCCTGTCATGCCCATTCCGTCGGCAGCTACATTGCGCGCTTGTGTTTCGGCCAGTGTCCCTGCAAATGTCTACTTCCTGCATTCCGACAGCGCAAAGCAGAAGTTTCGACAAATTGCCGAGTTTGTGTTTCGGTGAACAACTCTGACAAAAAGACCTGTAGAGTATTTACGAGAGCTGGCCACTCAAACTTCGACACAAAATTTGCCATTGCCTTTGATGCAGTACCATCGCATCAAAGGCAATGCTACCGCAGAACGTATTGTATGCCGAGACGAACTCGGCATGTGCTTCGTGCCCCGAAGGTGCGAACGTCGCCCTGCACTGTGTGTCGGAAAGAACGCCCTGCCAAAGCTAGCACTTTAACGGAAGTGGAACGCAAAGTTTACGCCACTGCCTGAGCTTAGGGAGGGGACCCACCTTGAGGCACACAGGCGGGTTGTCGTTGGCGTCCAGCACGTCGATGGCCAACTGGGTGGTGGCCACGAACACACCGTCAGTGGCCACCACCTCCAGGAAGTAGGAGGCCGTTGCCTCCCGGTCCAGCGGCCGCCCCACGAACACCTCGCCCGTGCTGCGAACCCCGAAGCGCTCTTCTGGGTCCCCGCTCACCACGTACAGGTCCAGCCCGGCCCCGACCCCGTCGGGGTCACTCGTCTCCAGTGTCACGATCACGGTGCCCGGCACCGCGTCCTCCAGGATAGCGGCGTCATAGCGCGGTCGCGCAAACGCCGGCGCGTTGTCGTTGACGTCCACGACCTCGACGAACACCCACGTCGTCGCGGAGCGCGGCGGCAGCCCGTCGTCGCGCGCGGACACCGTGAAGTTGTAGGACGGCACCGCTTCGCGGTCGAGCGCCACCAGCGTCGTCACGGTCCCGGTGATCGCGTCGACGCGGAAGATGTCAGCGGCCGGGTCGTTGCCCTCATAGAACTCGTACGTGATCTTCTGCAGCCTGTCGGCATCATGCGCCGTCAGCTTGGCCACCGCGCAGCCCTCCTCCGCGTTCTCCGCGACGGAGGCGCGATAGGACGCCGAGTCGAACATGGGTGCGTTGTCATTCTCGTCGTTCACCAGCACGGTTACGTCCACCGTCGCAACGAGAGAGAGCTCCGTCTCTGCGCGGATCGCGAGGTAGTACTCCGCCTGGCGCTCGCGGTCCAGCTCCCCCACAAGGATCATGCGGCCCCGCTCGTCGAGGCTGAAGGTCGAGGCATCGAGCTCGTGGTCTGAGCCCGCCGGGGCAGGCACGAAGGTGTACGTCAGCTGATGGCTGGAGGGGTCGCCATGGTGCTCGTGCGGCTGGGAGGCATTCAGCGTGAGCACGACTGTGCCCACGGGGTCGCTCTCCCGCAGGAAGTAGTGCGACGTGGCGAGGTCGACGCGGGGTCCCAGCTCCCCGGGGTGCATCACGACCACGGTGACCGGGACGACGTTTTCCAGGGGCTTGGGCGTGCCGTGGTCGCGCACACGCACAAAGAACTGGTAGGCGTTGTTTTCTGACAGGAATGAGAAGAAAGTCGAACGTTAGTCTACTACGAACCCAACTTTGATACACTATTCGAGTTACTCCATAGCCAGTGGCGAGTTAATAGTGAAGCGGAAGCTCCTTCCACCTCGTTCCAGTTTAGCAGAGCAAATGCTGGAGAGGAGGCGACCTCCTCTCCAGCGTTCGCTCTGCTAAAGGGGAAAGAAGGTGGGAGGAGTTTCACTTTACTTTTAACCTGTCACCGATTATAGCTTGAATACTTTTGGGAGCAACTCGGTACCTTAGAAAATAGATTCGAAAGTTGGTGTTTAGTACTCCAACCTAGATATTTTTTGCAAGGTTATTCTACCTTAAATACTTTTGAGGCCAACTTGACATCTTACGCAACACTTTTGAAAGTTGGCCTGTAGTACCCAAACTTAAACCCGTCTGGTGAGAAACTTTAGTACTCGTAAATGTTTCTTACTTAGTATCTAATTCGTGCAAGTGTCGTCTACTGCAGCATGCAGAGAGAATGCTTCTGCTCCTGACCCAGACATCAATAATTAATCGCAACTCTGCGTAGCGTGCTTAAAATCACACTAGCAACTTGAGTTAAGGTGAAATAACTTTGTGCTGTATAATCGCTCACATAGCAAGTTTGACCTCGGCGTGCATGTATGGCCAGCTCAATAAGTTAAAATTATTGTTGCAAAGCAGGCCTGAGCATTTGTTGTTTCCGGGTAAAACATGCAGATGTCACCTTTCAACAGTTACTTGCGTACAAAAGGATCAATGTCTCTCGGCGTGTACCTTGAGGACGACAAACATCTCTGAGGCACACGCTGTTCCTCACATTGCTGCGCTCATGACACAGGACTTTCTTTTTCTTATTTGTGGGTTATCGCTTGCCCGCATGCAATGATGCAATTTCTTTTTTTTTCGATTGCTGTTTGTTGGTTAATTATTGTTTGGGCCACCAGTTCATTATGTGCCGCACCCTGTACATCCTTTTTTAAATTTTTGTTTACAAGATTTCGAGATATCCAAAGTCAGTCTTGAAAACTTTTTGAGACAAGCGAAAGGTAAAGATAATCTTTAGACCTAAGTGACATTTCAAAATAGATGAGTTCAAGTTAATGAAAGAATGAGCGAATAGGGGTTTTGGCTAAATATTTTTTTATCGAATATTGAATAGTTCTTTTCCAAACCTTTCGCTACTACTGCATCTAACTGAAATGAAAACCCAGCTAAACTCCTAAATGTTGTGTCCGAGCTTCCACTTCTCCATGCATAAGCTAATTTTAATCTAACAGTATTTATGGATTGTGACCTCAGAGTCAGGTGCTTGGGGATGGCAAGTAAGCGACAGATTTGACATAAAATTAAACCTTTAGAGGTGCCTGATTTAGTGGACTTACAAATCTTGATATGTCCAAATATACTTTTTTCAATCTCAAATTAAAAAAAAAAACATCTTGATTGACAAGCGCAGGTTGTCAGGGCATTTCTGCCTAACATATATTGTAAACAACTCGAATTTTTGCAGGCTCCGATTTTCGCAAAGCTGAACATTTGAAATTATTTTTAGGCTCTCTTTTTTTGCAAATCTGTATGCTATGTATTTGCTACCATATAGAAACATATTTGTGGGGTCTATTTTTTGTGAATCGTAGGCGATTTGAAAAAATTAGGTTGTTTGCAAATATTTTTGTACCACCCCTTTGAAAGCAAAAAGTTCTTTAGGAGTCGAGTATTTCCTGCCTCTTTTACCTTTCCCCTCGAGTGGAGCTCTGAGATAGACCTCTCCGGAGTCGTGGGTCACGTTGAACAAGGAAGTGATGTTGGACAGAGACCCACTGTCGTGGATGCTGTATTGGGGTGTGGCAGCCATTCCCTTGTCCTTGTCAAAGGCACGCACCTAGAAGGACAACAGAAGCAAGCAGAAAAAGAACACTGTAAACAACTCAATCTTTGTGAACCTAAATAATTTCGGGAAAAATTGAGCATGCGAATATATCGGCCCGTGGTAAATAATACTACATAGCATACATATCACTGCAGATTGTGAAATTTTGTTACCCATGTATTATTCTCCAAACTCACACTTTGAAAAATTTGAGAAATATTAAGCTCGCGAAAATAAACTCATTAGAGTACCTCAGAATAAGCACTGGCATGTGCACAAAGTATAAACGTTCCAGTATATTGCTCCTACTATAGTACTTGGGGCACACTTTCCCAGTGCTGCCCAAACAACGTAGACAGATGATTCCATCTGTCAAATTCAGTCTGGACAAGTCGGTAAAACTACCAGTGAAGCCCCTTGGTTGATCACCTCACACATATGCTTTTTTATATTAAGAGCAGCGTTGTGTCAGTTACCAGAAATAAGCAATGAAATATGTCGCACGTCGGTTTATTAGTACATTCCTCAATTTCGTTACTTTTGGGCATGTGTGACAAATTTCATTTATTGTTACCTTCCAAAAGCATCCGACATTATCTTTGCATCAGTACTTTATTCTTTTGTATTTTAGCACTATTATTATGCAGTGCCTTATAACAATTGGCAGCTACAAGCTCCAAAAACGATACACATATCTGTTATGGTTTCACAATGTTTATTATCCATTGTTAAACAAATTTGGCTAATTATATGCGTGCCATTGAATTAGTGATACCGCTGTTGGTCTAATAAGAGAGGCACTAGAACAAAAAATGTTGGCCCCAATATTGTGTCATTATGACAAAGGCAGTGATAACACAGAATGTAGTGTGCATTGATTCGCGATGATGTTCTGCAGGGGAGCCTGTGCAACATCGCCATAAATTCCAAGTTTCCAAATATAAATAGAATATTCCTAATATTGAATTCATGCCTGAAAAGGTCTCTACTCATACACCCCTCGTTTTTAGATTTCAGCGGAAAGGGTGCATTTTCCATTCCACCACCATCTTATTGCCTTGAGGATAGAAGCTTTCCAAGATCAGGAAGTTGGAAAATCTTGTACGAGCAAAGATTTAAAGTTTTCAGGTACAAATCGAACACACCTAATATTCTATACATATCTGAAAATTTTGATACATATTAAACAACAACCTAGGCACTTGTTTCAGGTTTCAGCAGAAAATGGTACCTTTTTCACATCACTTTTTTCTTTGAGATGGAAACTTCCCAGGATTAGAAAGTTTGAAAATCTTTAATGTGCAGATTAAGTTTTTTTAAATATAAACTGAATATTCTACTAAATATTCTATTCATATCTGAAAATTTTCGTAAATATTCTAAAAAATTCCTAGTTTTTCAGTTTCAACAAAAAATGATGCCTTGGGAGGCAGCTGCCTTGAGATGAAAACCTCCCAGGATCAGAAAGCTTTTAAAAAGCTTATACACTCAAAGATGAAACATTTTCATATATAAACAGAATATACCTAATATTTTATTCATATTTGAAAATTCAGACATTCAAAAACTCCTAGTTTCGAGGTTTCAAGAGAAAAAATCACAACATCTCCCTGTGGTGAATGATGTTGATTGGGGCAAAGCTCTGGTGGTGCTGATGATACTGATTTTATTGTTCATAGGTAGTGCTGATGATGCTGATTTTTTTTTTTATTGCTCATAGGTAGTGCTGAGTTCCGGGTTGCGTTTCAACTTCATTATTACTGCTTTAGGGTCGGTGAAATGCAGAGCCAGTGGTTCTTCTAGCGGATCAGCTTGGATCCGCTAGAAGCCGCGGGAACGCATCTCCACCGCTTAAGTCAACGGTCCATGTCGGAAAGAGAATGTGTGGTATGGAATGTGGTTATACATGCATTTGAGCATTTGACCGCAGTGCCCTATCGTCTATAAACGTTGAACCAATGGATGCAAAGTTTAACGCGATTCTATACGTATTTGACCGCAACGCCTTCTCCTGTATAGACGTTGAGCGGCTACATGCAACGTTTCATCCATGACAGACAGATGGGATGGCAATCGATGTGAGCACGGACGCCGGACGGATGGACAAGGCTAGACCCTAAGGAGCTTCGCCCCTAAAATGCTTTGGGAGGCACCCGCCTTGAGTATGGTGGTGCCCACGGTGGTGTTGACCTGGATGTTCACCCGGTACTCGGAGACAGCGAACTGAGGCTCATTGTCGTTGACGTCTGTCACGGTCACCCGGACCATGGTGAAGGCGAGGCGGCCACCCCCGTCTGTTGCAGACACTGGGATCAGGTACAGGTGCCTGGTTTCCCGGTCCAGGGGCTTGGTCGTGAAGATCTCACCTGTGCAGGGAGCACCTCCTCTCAGCTCGCTGTGCTTTAGTCCACCCAAAATAGTCTAAGTTAAGGTAGCCTAAAGTAATCCAAGATAACCACAACCTAAGCTAACCAAACTAAGAAACATGTGATAGAAAAGCCTAAGACAATTAAACCTAAGATAATCTAATTTAACCCAAGATAACCTAACCTAAGGTAATGTGACCAAGCCTGAGATAAATTAACCTAACCTAAAATGACCTGAACTAAGATAACCTTACATGAGTTCAATTAACCTGATCTAAGATAGACCTAGTGAAGAAAACCCAACGTCAGACTGAAGTAATTTCAAGTTTATTTGGATTTTAGCGGGCCAAGCCTGGTGGAGAGCTAGAGACAAAAGGCACATAGGCCTCTGCCCCTCTTAGATGCAGCAAGTACACAAAGTTGTAGAAGACAAAAATAGACATACTACATAGATACACACAGAGAAAAAAAATTGTAGAGCCCTTCCACCTCACGTGAAGATGGAGGACCAGTGAAGCTGTTATCTTCATGACGTCTAGGACAATGCCTAGAGGACGACATCAAGGACGACTTCTAGGACGACCTCGAGGATGACGCCTAGAGGACGATATCTAGGACGACCTCGAGGACATCAAGGACGACCTTAGGGACGACTTCTAGGATGAGCTCAAGGATGACGCTTAGAACGACCTCGGACGACCTCAAGAACAACCTCTAGGACGACTTCTAGGACGACCTCGAGGACAATGTCTAGGACAACCCCAAAGACGACTTCTAGGATGACCTCGAGGACGCCGCCTAGAGGACGACCTTTCGGACGACCTCAAGGACGACTTCTAGGATGACCTTGAGGACAACTCCTAGAGGACGACCTCTCGGACGACCTCGAGAATGACTTCGAGGACGATGCTTAGAGATGATAACAAGAGATCAGGACCTCACTATCTCATAGTGCCAAGGAAGGCTGACTCACGCTGGTTGCCCCCTCTTTTTGTTTTTATTTATTCATACTTGACCTTTCCTTTTGTCTTTATTTATTCATATTTGCCACAACCAATGGGGAGTTTGCTGTCGACACGTGAGGACGCATTTTTTTCCCAGACCCTAGCGCATAACAGCTTCGCTGTAAAAACATTTTCCACATTCATGCATACTAAATATACAAATTTCTCTAAAATAATCCATACAAATGTTAAAACGTGCTCTTAGATTAAGTTGGTTAAGATAGCCTATACAGGGTGTGCGGAGGTAAACCAAAACAAATAACGGCCGAACTTCCAAGGGGTGTATGCTTCTGGTCGGCTATTGTTTTTGCATGTTTTTAAAGCCCACAGTGAGTTGCACATACTTTAATAGTCTCACAGCCGAGGACTAACTGCAGTACCTCCAGAAATTTACTTATACGCTCCGTGCGGGAACTATAGGGGTCGCTCTGAAAAACGCACGTAGCGCCGCTAGCGGAGGAGGTGGCATTTGACAGTGAGGCGTGTTCGTGTTCAGGAGCCTGCGGCACCTTTTCGCATTTGAAGCTGTGGCGGCGGAAGCGAGCGCGGACGGAACTTTTGCTTTTTGAGCCGACATGTTGAGGGTGACATTGCGATGAGGGCTGGGGCAGACCTAAGAAGGGCATCTAGCTGTTCTCCACTTGATATATTGAATGATTCGTTAATAGGGGTCATTTCTCTAGCTGCGGTCAAAATAGGGGTTGGAGCAATTTTCTGAAAAGCAAGATGGCCACCCCCATAACTGCTCTCAGTGGAAAATTTGTTTGGCTCGTCGCTGTAAACGTAGAACTGCTGGGACGAGGATATTGGGAGGTGAGTGAGATGTTCACTAAAGGAAAGTGTGTGCACCACTGCCTCAGAAGAAAATTTGTTTCGCTTGTCGCTAGAACAGTAGGAATGCTTGGACAATGATATTTGGGGGCGAGTGAGATGTTCACTAAGTTTGTGCACTAAGTGTGCCAAGTTTCATAAAGACAGTAGGTGTGAAATTTATGTTTCAAACGAATAAAGAAATACAGCTGTACGGTATATCCAATATTCGACCCAAAATGTTGTGTTCTAACCGGGCTGTGTGAAGTGCAGTGCTCATCTCGGTGCCGAGGAAACATGGCAGCGCCTGAGCCTGAGGCGTCTATATCGTCGGCGGCCGCAACCTCAGTAGTAGAGAAACGTGGCCATTTATGCCACTACACTGCAGACAAACTAAGGGAGTGCAAGAGCGACATTCATGCTTTCCAATTCACAACTCATAAAAAGTGCTTAGGTGTCCTCGGAATTTTTTTTCTCTCCCCGTCATAGCGGCCGTTAAGTGGCACAAACACCCTCTAAACTAAAAGTGCCCAACCTAAGATAACCTAAACAAAAATGGCTTACCTAAGATAAAGAAAAACAAAACTAAGATAAAAGACACCAAACCAGCAAAAAAAAGGATCTCCTAGAAACCATCCTGGTATTTGAAGACAAACAAGCCCCGCAAAAACAGAATCTCAATCATAGCTTTTCCCAGCGAGAACCCGAAAGAGTACAGACCCGTGGCGTTGTCTATCCTGAAGTGTGCGGCGCAGTCGTCGCTGCGGATGGCGTAGGTGACGTGCCCGAAATGGCCACGGTCCTTGTCGGTGGCAGTGACTGTGGCCACGGGGAAGCCGGCATCCCGGTTCTCAGGCAGGGCGGCCTCGTACACGGTGTGCGTAAAGGCCGGCGAATGGCGGTTGGAGGGTAGCACCACCACCTTCACCTTGGCGTGGCTCAGGTAGACGCCGTCCGTCACAGACACGTTTAGCAGGTACGTTGGCTGCTGCGGGAACTGGTGCAGGTTGGACAGTGTCACGATGCCTGCGCGGGGGGTCCACCAAGTGAGTCCAGGGGAAAGAGTCCACCACCTTCTTGTGCATTTTTGCCACACCGGAAGCATAGCGTACGCAGAGAAACGGAAGCTGAACTTCCCCGACTGATGCCAATTAGGGTAGCTTGCAGCTCGCATGCAGCTTGCCGCAAAAGTATGGCGGCAAGCTGCATGCACGCGAGCCCTTTTGAACTTGGCTGAACCGGACCTTCTCTTTCACACGTATTCAACTTTTGCGGGGAGCAGGGAGGGGCAACTGAAACGACCTGGTTTTAATGCGCTGACGCCACCAAGTGGCGATGCTCACAACCATGCCAGAAATTAAAACGTGACGTCAAGAACGCGAGGCCTCTCGGGAGCTCCTGCGACGCATTACAACCTGGCCGTTTCAGTTGCCCCTCCCTGCTCCCCGCAGGAGTTGAACAGGCGCGAGAGAAAAGGGAAATCCGGTTCGGCCAGGTTCAACAGGGCTCGCGCGCACGCAGCTTGCTGCCGTACTTTTGCGGAGCTGCGCCGCATTTTAGGTTCAGAATGACGTAACAATGTTCCATTTATAACTATTAAATAACATTTCAGTATCTTTTCGAGCAAAAACTTGGCGTCTCCGTGGTGTGGCCTGAGTGTTGCTGACATTTAGAGGATAAAATAGGTGCTAGAATTTCCATTGCAGTACCACTTTAAAACAAACAAAGAAGCCACAAAACATCACTCTGAAGGTCTGCACCTAGTTGTTTTCTAGCTTTATTTTGCATAAAAACACCGGTGTCGTGCATTGTAAGAAAAAGATTATATCAAGGACTCGAACAACTCAACTTGTAGCAGCCGACCAAGCACACTTAATCTTTCGTCCGCTTTCTTTCCCCTTTTTTCTGTCACTCCCTTTCTCGTTCTTTCTCTCTGGACCACTGATGTCAGCGCTTACTTTTAGTGCATTCTGCTCCCATCTTTACTCTCTGTGCATGGTATCCATGCACAGAGAGTATAGTCAGGCGGTGACAAGAGAGCGGTTGGTTGCTTGGACGAGCCTGTAGCTTCCACCACACTGTCAGCTCGGCGGTAAACGAAGCATAGGCACGGAATGAGCCAGTTGGGGGATCATCTTTGCACCACGCGACTGCTGCGTCAATACTCACATTTCGCAAAGGGCGTAAGTAAGGACACATAGTCCCTAAAAAAAAATTCAGTGCTTTTTTTTTAGCACAAAAATGGACCCTTTGCTGAAAGCTTAGGCTCCATCTAAACACAATGCTAGCGGTTCGGACCAGATTTCATAATTTCAGAATGTTGGTTGAGGTTGACTTTTGGTTGCTGGCTGACTTCTCCAAATTTTTTGCTTTCACCCTCACATATAACGCATGCATGTAATGCGTGCCTTCGAGGTAAAAGAAATTAAATGAAATAAAATGAAATTTCCCCATTTTTCTGCACCCGTTCAATTCCCATACGACTCCCGGTCTTCCGGGCTGGTGGACACCGCGTAAACAGAAGCTCGGGGCGGCTCACCGGTCTTGCGGTCAATGGCGAAGGCCTGCGCCTCGTTGCCACCCACGATGGAGTAGGCCAGGCGGTCCCGGTCCGAAGAGTCCGGGTCCGAGGCCGCCACCCTCATCACGAACTGCCCCCTGGGGGCCAGCTCGCTCACTGCGCAGCTGTAGGACAGCTGTGGGAAGGCTGGTGGGTTGTCGTTCATGTCCAGCACCGTCACCCACACGTGGGCGGTCGAGCTGAGCGCCGAGGGGGAGCCCGCGTCCGTGGCCGTCACCACCAGGTGGTACAAAGGCTGCGCCTCGTGGTCCAGCGGAACGCGCAGGTCGATGACCCCCTCCACCGGGTCGATGTGGAACGTGGACAGGGCAGAAGCCTCCAGGCTGTACTGGACACGCGCATTGGCACCCGTGTCCCTGTCGCTGGCGTGCACCTGCGGCGTTTGGCCGGTCTCAAAGCTGTGCTTCTCGGTTTTAGTGCTAAATTTGTTTAAAAAAATGAAAGCCATTTACAACTCCCTGCATTGCCGGATTAGAGCGCAGCTCTCGAGGAGGAGGATGGATGGGTACTGAGGGATAAGTGACTCCCAGAGGTCACATGACCTGAGGGGGGTCACATGACCTCAGGGAGGGGTCAAGTGACCTCAGAGGGGTGACGTGAGGGTAACCCTATTGAGGGTAACTAACCCTCGCAACCCTCGTGAAGGTAACGCTCGTGACCCTCATGGAGTAACCCTTGTGAGTGTAACCCTCGTAACCCTTGTGAGAGTAACCCTCGTAACCCTCACGAGGGTAACCCTCGTGACGTTATTAAATAATTATTAAATTGAATTTGGTAAAGCTACGAATTGCATATATCAGCTGCGGTATAACAAGCTGCATGTCAACAAAAAGTGCTACATGTACAACGCGACTACTGATAATGTTTTTGAGTTCGGTTCCGCCCCCGATATGCGCGCGAGAGATAACACAGAGATTGTTCCAACTAACCTAACATCTGCATCATCATAACGAGTTGCGAGGGGTGAGGGTCGTACTGATAAAAACAAACATTTGTCAGTACTTTTTTGTAATATAAGGAGTGTGTTGCGTCATAGGGATGACTTGTGCTCTGCTATAGACTCATCCAGTGCTGATATTGTGGTTTTAACCGAAACGTGGCTTTCCTCTTCTGTTAAAAATTCCGAAATATTTTGTTGTGAAAAAAGTTTCAAGGTTTATCGTTACGATAGAGGTGAAAGGACTGGTGGCGGTGTGTTAATCGCAATTGCAAGTCATATTGAATCGTTTTGCGTGCGCCTGAATAGCGAATTGGAAATAACATGGGTTTGTTTGCATTTGAATAACCAGAAACTTATTTTGGGTGTATGCTATCGCCCGCCATCTAACAATCATTCCTTCGTTACCAGTCTTCATGACGCAATAAACTCATTAATAATACGCTTTCCTTCCGTTCCGATCATTCTTTTAGGTGACTTCAACTACCCAAATATAGTCTGGACTGGCTTGCATGCTTACAGTCACCCATTTTCATCAGACGCGACTGACTTCATAAACATGTGTAGCGATTTCAGCTTCAGTCAATTGATGACTCTTCCTACTAGAATTACCCATACAACAGCCAACATATTGGATCTAATTTTAACAACGTCATCTTCTTTAATATCTTCAATTAGCACCATGCAGGGCATAAGTGATCATTCATTAATACATTTTGTCATCGATGTTCCTGTTAGAAATGCTCCAAAGATTCAGAAAAAAATATGCGACTATGCTAAAGGTAACTTCGAGGCCATTAACAGTGAACTTTCTTTTTTTCTTGATGATTACTTGCCGCTCTTTTCGGAACGCTCAATTCAGGAAAATTGGGATTTATTTAAAACGCAGGTTGTGCATCTTACTAATACATATATACCTTTGCGCAATATTTCCGTTAACCCGCAATCACCATGGTTTAACACCACATTAAAAAGGCTTTCTAACAAGAAAAAACAAAAATTTCGAGCAGCTAAATTTTCAAATGTTGATTCTAAATGGTCTGCATACCATATTGCAGCCAATAATTATAAAAGTGCTATTGAAAATGCGAAGGCTACTTATTTTAATGTAACTCTACCATCACTTTTAACAAGCAACCCAAAGCAGTTTTGGAATGTAATTAATCGAAATGAAAAATCGTCAATATCATTGTTTAGTTCCTCTGGAAATGCTGTGCCTTTTAGTGAGTGTGCCCTTGTTTTGAACTCCGCCTTTGTGGCTTCATTTTCAGACGTTAACGTGTCATCTTTACCTCCATTTCAACATACTGGATTTGTTCCTATGTACCCGGTCGCTATTGATGCTTGTGGAATTGTTAATGTAATCGATAATTTAAAAATATCGTGTTCCGCGGGAGTAGATGATATTAATTCAAAATTCCTAAAAAGTACCAAAGAATATTCTTCAATAATACTTTCTAAACTATTTAATCAGTCTCTTAATTGTGGGTATTTGCCGGACGACTGGAAGGTGGGAAAGGTGGTGCCGATACACAAAACGGGTGATCAACATTCTCCTTCTAATTACCGTCCCATATCGCTAACAAGCATCCCATGCAAAATTCTTGAGCACGTCATTTTTTCACATTTAGTAAACTTTTTGGAGTCTAATAACTTCTTTTCTCCCGCCCAACACGGTTTTCGTAAGTCATTTTCGTGTGAAACCCAGCTACTAACCTTCACTAACGACCTTCACCTTATTCTTGATCGAAGTTCCCAAGCTGACTGCATATTCCTCGATTTCGCTAAAGCATTTGATAAGGTATCACATAGTCTACTACTTCATAAGCTAAGCAAACTCAGCATTGATTCCGCTACACTATCTTGGATTCACGCCTTCCTAACTAACCGGTCTCAGTTTGTATTTGCGAATGACACGTCTTCTCCTTCAGCTTCTGTGACGTCCGGAGTGCCGCAGGGGTCTGTACTGGGTCCTCTTCTTTTCCTTATATATGTCAATGACTTACCCTCCTGTGTTTCATCTTCGATTAGCTTGTTTGCTGACGACTGTGTTATATATCGTGAAGTGACTAACAAATCCGATGTTTCTTCTCTTCAGTGTGACCTTGACCGTGTATCTGAATGGTGTGACTTATGGCATATGCAGCTTAACACTAACAAATGTAAGGTAATAAGGGTTTCTCGGCTTCAGAGTGATGTCTCTTGTTATTACCTAAACCACACTCCTTTACAACAAGTAACAACCTACAAATATTTGGGGGTTCATATTTCATCCAATCTGTCCTGGGAAACTCATATTCAATACGTAACAAGTAACGCCAATCGTATGCTGGGTTTCATAAAACGAAATTTTTCAGCAGCTCCCTTATCACTTAAACTACTTCTTTACAAAACACTTGTTCGCACCAAACTAGAATATGCCTCTTCAATTTGGGACCCCGGTACTGACGTATTAACATCTGCAGTTGAAGCAATTCAAAATAGATCCGCCCGATTCATACTTACTAATTATCACCGCACTGCCAGCGTAACATCCATGAAATCAAGTTTGAACCTGCCTAATCTTGCATCGCGTAGAGAAGTTTTTCGTTTGTGCCTGTTTCACAAAATCTACTACCACAATCATACTTTGCGTGACAAGTTATTAGCACCTCCTTTTTACATATCACAGCGTCTTGATCACCGACACAAGATGGGCGTACCTTCATGTAACACTACTACTTTTCACAATTCATTCATACCCCGAACTACAGTGTTGTGGAACCACCTTCCAGCGTCTGTGGTATCAATATCTGACAGCGTTGCTTTCAAAAATTGCCTTAACAATGTTCACATTTCAGCGTTTCACTAATATGTACATTTGTTTTACATTCATAGGTTGTTAATCATTGTATGTTGTTGAATTCTATTGATGTAACCCGCTCCCCTCTGTAATGCCTTCGGGCCTTGAGGGAACTTTTAAATAAATAAATAAATAAATAAATAATGCAACGCGCAGTTACGCCGACGGCGACGGCGACGCCGCTCAAGCCGGAAACAGGCGCCTAAGAGCTGCGCTCTAAAACACTATATTTAAAAAAAATATATTTTTTTTAGTGCTTGAATAAAACACATTTGTTGCAAATTAAAGAAAAAAATGTTTATCTCTAAAAAGATAGAAATTGAGAAAGAGGAGGAGACGAGAGTGCACGGGGACATCGGAGCACCGAGCTCCGGTTGGGATGGTTCGTGGGTAGACGCGCGGCAGGGGGAGCCCGCGTCCGTGGCCGTGCTCCGTACCTTTGTCCCTACTCGCTGTTTCCGAAGGCTCTAGTCTCCTCCTCTCCAAAGCCACGAGGCTCATTTTATGTACCTTGACATGATTATAGTCCGTGCTTCTATTTCAAGACAATGCGCCAAAGTAGAACCATATGTTTCAGAATCGCCACCAACCCTCCCACCTATCACTAATCAATCACCACCACAGGGTTTGTAAAAAAAATAATGCACCAAAAAATGTTTGTTTTAAAGGAGGGGGAAAAGTTTTTTTTCATGTCCATGCGTTTATCTAAGTACCAATTACTATATGCTCATCTTCACTTCCAAAATCTTAGAAGAAAAAGTTACGGCTCCTCACAACGCTTTACCAATTTTCCTCTTCAAGAGGTGAATTAAGATACTCACATGTGCACTCCAGATCAGAAATTTCTTATTTGATCAAAATGCAGAGGTTCCAAATGCAAAAGGCCTCGTTTCTTTAATCTGACAACCAAATCTTGTAAAAACTACTTTGCACAGCACATATGCCATGCGTAAACCTTGTTTTTTTTTCTTGAGGTGACATTGATCATTACGGTTACTGCAGCTTTCTAAATATGTCTTACCTTGAGGATGGACGTCGTGTACGGAGTCGCCTCTGAAACACTGGTGTTGTATGAGGGCTGACTGAACATGGGCGGGAAATCGTTGATGTCCTCGACCGTGATGCCCACGAGGACGTCGGAGAAGGCTCCGGTCACAGAGTCCGTGGCCCGAAGGGTAAGCTGGTACTTCTGGTGGGTCTCGTAGTCCAGCTGCTCTACGACGTACACGACACCTGGGAGGAGAATGGAAGACCTTATGTGGCAGCAAGGGTTCGGCAGTTCAATCCCATCATACCCACGGTTCTCATTCGGCAGCTCAATCCCATCATACCCGCGGTTCTCATCTGAGAACAGGTACATCCTCGAATGAAGACATGTTCAGTCTTCAGCTGTAGACTGGATAAAGACAGCGCCATTCAAAGGTGTCCAGATGCCCTTGCAAAGAACATCTGGATGTTCTCCGAGAATGAAGATGTCCAGCACTTTAAAAATCTTCATTTGGATGTCCTCTATAAGGATTATTCAGACATTCTCTCCTAAGATCATTCAGATGTCCTTTGCTAAGATCATTCATAAGTCCTGAAAATGTCAGAATCGTTGGATATCCTTGGATGGAAACACCTTCAGTCTTCAGCTGTAGACTGTAGAAGCTTTATAATAGACACCTTAATTCAAAGGTGCCCAGATGTCCTTGCAGAGCTCATCCAGATATTCTTAGTTAGAATCTGGATACTTTCTGCTAGGATCGTCCAGATGTCCTGTGCAATGACATTTGAATAATGTCCATTGTAACTGCGAGATGTAAGAACCATAAAAAAAATTTGTAGAGCCCTCTGACTTCACGTTAAAATGGAAGACCAGCGAAGCTGTTTTTTTACGACGTCTAGGACAACCTCAAGGACGACTTCTAGGACAACTTCGAGGATGACCTCGAGGACAACGCCTAGAGGACGACCACAAAGACGACCTCAAAGACGACCTCAAGAACGACTTCTAGAATGACCCGAAGACAATGCGTAGAAGACGACCTCAAGGACGACGCTTAGGACGACCTCAAGGACGACGCCTAGGACGACCTCAAGGACAACGCCTAGGATGACCTCTAGGATGATTTCATAGACGACTTCTAGAATGACCTCGAGGATGATGCCTAGAGATGATAACAAAGGATCAGGACCTCACTATCTAATAATGAAAAGGAAGGCTAACTCATGCAGGTTGCCTCCTCTTTCTTTTTTTATTTATTCATACTTGCCACGACCAAGGGGAGTTTTCTGTCAACATCCGTGGACACATTTTTCCCAGATCCTAGTGCATAACAGCTTCGCTGTAAAAACGGACAGAACAACGAAGTCTCTAACACAGCTTCTTAGTTGTTCTGTCCATTTTTTTATTGTTCCTACGTCTCAGGGTTACTACGGATGTCATTCACCAGCTCGCCTGCGTTTTTACCTTTCTTCACATCTGAATAAAGATGTCCAGATCTTTGGACATCTTCATCAGATGTCCTCTGCTAAGATCACTCAGATTTCCTCTGCTAGGATCATCCACATGTCTTCATAAGGATATCTGGATGATGTCAGGAACTTTGAACATCTTCGGATAAAGACATCTTCAGATGAAGACAATACGCCTTCAATGAAGTCTGTTATTCCATAAATAAAACTCCACCTATTAGTATTATACTATCATGCTCTTTTACCTCCATCTATGTAACATCTTCAGGTCTCTTGAAGCTTTCACAAGTGTGCAGCTGTTACCGATGCGACACGGGGTTGCTTCTAATGCTAGAACCTTTGCAGGACACTTGAGGACACTTCCCTCTTTGTACCTGCTCCCCAGCCTCTGATCCCCTACCCTTGAAGCCAAGAGCACACAAAAGTATGTCATTCTTTGTTGGTAAATTACTTTCTGTTGCTGATTTCTCAATGTCAGAGGAGAAGGATACTCGAGAAAGCTTCTGCCTTGCAGAAAATCAAGGTCGTACAATGTGCGACACAGTTAATACGAGCGGAACATCATCACTTTTTTGCTTCTAACTCAGACAAGCTACTGACGAGCATCAAATTTTACAGCTTAGGTGGATTCCCCAGATCAGAACTTTCCACCACCCTAAATGCTTTGACGAAGAGCTTTTAAACATAACAATGATACTGAAAAAAAAAAAAAGGTAATTGCTTGTTTATTCGAAGCAATAAGGAAACTAGATGCTTGTGTTAAGACAGCATAAGGTAAGTCGGCCTATCAGGTACTGTCTCGCTTGCTTATAACGAAGTCTGTTATAATGAAAAACTTTCAGCCTTTCCACTCTGGTGAAGAAGAAAGAGCAGTGGAGCTGAAGCTTCTGTTTTTGACAGTGGCTTTCCAGGTGAGCTATCTGCTCTTCTTTCGCAAGGGAATCTCAAGCGCTCGACGCAGTGGAAATTAAGCCGATAGCGGCGTCGCGGCGGTTGCGGAACCCTTCACGCTGCTGCGCACATCGCAGCTCGTTCTGCTCCCGTTCTTCTTCCTCCGAAGAAAGGTTGCCGCCATCTATAAGCGACGGCGGCAACCAATTGTCTGGTTGCCGCTGTCACTCATAGATGGCGGTAGCTGTCCAGAGTTCGGTGTCATCATTTTTTTTGCTGGTAGACACGATCCTGGGGAACCTAGCCCTTGACAGCTCCACTGTAATAGCGGCTATAACAAAGAGATTATGATTTTCATTCCCATTGCACTTTTTGAAGGTATTTGTGTCTGTCTTTAGCGAAGAGATAGAGTGGCTCCTGCAGTTATAGTGATGAGAAAGTTTGTGATAATTTTAAAAATATTCAAACTCACAAAGTTTACCAAGTTGCAGACCGCCACACTTTGCTGCCGCAACCGAGCAGCCGCCAAGAATGAGCAGCAGACGATGCTGCCTCACAATGGGCAGCATCGTCTGGGCACAAAGTAATCACATTATAAAGCATAGGGCACAATAAAATTACAATAGATATGAAGTTGCTAGGGGAATATGGAAAGGAGTAATGGTGCCGGGGTCATCTTTTGGCAATGCGGTGCGCATGGTAAGAATTCGTTTGCATGCTTCTTGGTGCACGTGGGTTTTGTGGTACCCTCAGCATGCGCATTCACTCTATTGCAAATTTGGCTCATTTTTTGTGGTGCTGAAAAGACCACTCTGACCCCATAGCGGCTTGCAACGTTTTTTAAATTATGGGACATCCTGTGCAGGTACGGTATTACAACTGGCCTTGTTTGCTTGACACTGGTCTTGTTGGTTTGGAAGCCTTTTGCCTTCTTCACCAGAGCGTTTGCCACATCCACCAGTAGGCCTGACAAATAGCCGGCTTTTGTTAGCCTCTCTACATGCATGGTGAAGCTGGCTGACATAGTATGAAGACAAGAGTTCCTTAGTGCCGAGCCCAGACACGTTAGAGCTATGCCCCTTTATGATATATACGACGCCATGCGCTTCGGGCGTCGTATATAAGATAGCTCTTTCGTGTGGCAACAGCTACATAGGCCAAACGGGCAGATGCCTCAATGACCGACTCCGGGAGCATGATTACTCCTTGAAGGCTACAGTGGGCGGAAATCTTCCTCTCCATTGCAGGGAATGCGCGTGCAGACCATTATTCCGTGAGACCAACATCTTGGCGAAGAACAAAGACAAATTGACCCGCGAGGTATTGGAGGCCTTCTACATCCTTCGTGAGGACAGGAACTGCATTAGCGTTGAATCCGTAACACTAACAAACAAGGAAAGGAAATTCCTTGAACAAAAAATGAAGGGCCTGAACGAGCCTGGATGAACTAGCCGCTATCATTCACGGGGCTGTGGCAGATGCACAAGTCCGCGGCGGATTCTTTCTCTTCCCTTCTTATCAGTAAACGTAGTTGTGAGTAGCGCTCTTTTCTGTCCTGTCCTTCTTCTTCTCTCTACCTTGTGCGCTAAATACCTCAATATGTTAAAAAAGAAACTAATGAGCACTGCTTATGGTGTGCCAAACAAACACAGGGAAACATAAAGGGGACACCATCGGCACAACGTAAACACAAACAAAAAAAACGAGGAAACTGCAACAAAAAAAGAAAATGTTGAAATGAACATAAAGCCCACATTGGCATACTCACATGGACCATTACTATGGGCCGGGTCTGAAAAACAAGGCAACGGAAAAGAAGGGAGGGGGAAACAAACGGCTGTTAAATAATAAGTTACGATTAACGACCCGGACAGGGGCAAACAAAGACAGAAAAAAGGTTGCACACAATCAAAGAGAAGATGCCCCCCCCCCCCCACTTCCCCCATGCATCGTTGCAAAACCCGTTTCCTCATTATTTATCTGGTAGTTAGAGCAGTTAACGGATGGGAACCTCGTTTTGTCTTGTCAATATGCAGCCAACGAATTTGTCCCGAAGGATAAGTTACTGCTACATCATTGTCACCAGAAATGAAATTGGTGTAGGGCAGTTTGTTCAAATTGTAGCACTGACGTTGACATCAACACTACAATTTGAGCACGCTACTCGTAGAATCAACAATTCTCGACTGCTCATCCACTGCGTGTGCTTTGCCGTTGTCTGCGTCCAATGTGCGCACACTTCAAGATTCGGTGCTAATCTCGTCTGATTTGCCTGTGAGAACTTGTAAACAGTGAAGGAACATAGGTACCATTGGGCGATAAAGGGTCTCCAAAGTGATTTTCAAACCAATATGTACTGATTGAGTTATTTTGAAGTCCTTGATAAGTAATGATGCCACCTTTTAGAAGTTCATTACCGCTTTCCTTTAAAAAAATTAGATGCTTCCATTTTATCCTACATCAAAAACCAACGGTGGTGATGCAAATGGAACAAGGTCACACTGAGTGTCATTTGTTTGCTATTCCCTCAATGTATCTAAACACTCATGTCAAAACTCTTTTTTTAAATAAGCATGCTCCTAAGACCAGATGTGAGGAAGTTCACAAAAAGATATCCTCTATGCTGCATGCCTCAAATGGACGCTAAAGTCAGACAAACTTTAGTAAGTGCCATAGCATTCTGAATCTGCGAAACTGGCTAGCATTGCCGACGTTGAGTGTTGGCTCAACCATCAAGTTCCTATATTTAAATCCACTCGAAGGGTATGTGACCTCTTCTTTAAAAGAAGCTACTGCCATATTATGCGCTTCAAGAATTATAAAAGAATGCAAACGATTTTCATGTGGGCACCGTTTCCACCTAAAAGCGTGGCTGATGTTCCCGACCTGACTGATTTCTACTAGACTGAGCGCTTGTCACCTGACCATGCGCCATGGGCCAGGGTAGGCTATATCAATTGTTGCAATCGAACAGTTGTCTACCTCCCTGCCACACACTCTTGCTTGTGTTCCATCCTAGTGCAAAATTAGCTAGTCCAAAGAACAGTGAGGTCAATAACAAACACTAGAACCAACTTAAAGTATGTGTCAACCGCATACAAATCCTCACACCCCCCAATCGCAAAACCGGCCTAAAAAATGTTCTACATTTTATTTTAGCTTACCAAACTAGTTACTGTTCCTGGCTAATTTCCTTTCGTTAATATTCCACACTACAACCTTGTCGGCTTCTAAATCACTTTGAAAACAAAGACATCATTCTAAATTGGGACATGCTGCAGCTATCTGGGATCCCGGCCACACTCGTGACCGTCTGCAGAACCGGTCACGATTGTGGCATACATTTCCTGTTCTGCAACTATTGTCGTGCAGCTATAGTGTCTTGGAAAGCAAACATATCTTCACCTCTTATTTTCTTGAGACCTAGCAGAGGCCACCTTGCTTTGTTACTCATTAAAAAGCTGTGCATAGAAACGTGATATGGCGGATTGTTCAATGATGTTGAGAAGTGTCAACATTAGAGGTTTGTCGTAATGTAGGACAAAGCCTGAAAATCATTTAGCGGACTCTTCAAAATCCTTCTCCGTAATAGTAAGAGCCATGTATTTCTCATTCGAGGCTGTTCTTCTTTTCACACTCAAATAAACAAAAACTTATGAGATGATGATGCAATTGTTCACAAGCTTCATGCATGGATTAGAGTATTAATTGCTTCACTGGCACCTTTACAGCATTAGGTTCAATTATTTTCTCTACAGTAGCATGATTCAATGCATACCAAGATTGCAGAAGTTAGTCAAATAGCATTTAAAAACACACAAGCTATGCAAGGAACATGAGCTCCCAAAAGCAACTTTCACATAAAAAGTTAATTTGTGTGATGTTAACTATAAAACTCACTTTTAACAAGCCCCCCAAAAATTGGTTTTGTTAGGTAACACATTGCAATATGCAAAATAGACTTTCAAAATATAAAATATTTTGTAATACTTCCCTATAATCTCCAGGTTCACTGGGGCTGACTGTTTAAGTGCAGCAAGATACAAAAAGATGAGCGTGTCTTGTTTTCAGGAAAGTCTTTGCTATAACAATGCTACACTGAAGCTTCTCTACTTTTTATATCTCAATTTACTACCTACTACTACTAGTATAAACATAAAAGCATTAAAACAATTTTGTATTCAAAAAGCACATACCTGGAATTCAATAAATCCAATTGAAATATGGTTGCATGTTTTAGGTTACAAATACTTTTGATGATTCTGAGCACCTCTTTAAGAGAACTTTAAACATTTACTTATGAAAATAACATAGCCACATAGTCTACGTGCACAAGAAGTTTTCATTGTGTACCTCATTCAGAATGGCATCTTTTTCCCAACAGTACCTGCTTTAAAGTTTGCAAAAATATCCTGCTCTTAACAGTTAAAACTATCTATGCAATAAAAAAAAAACAAAAAAAAACTACAATAATGCCTCATAGTGATGCAGGTTTCTTTGTAAATAAATAAATGAATGAGTATGTGAATCAAATTTGATTAGTGCTCAAGTGGTTATTTAATGTTGTTTTTTTTTCCTCCAATGTTCTTATTGTACATACTAGGTGCTGTTCAGGGATATATGGATATTGCACATAGTGTTCTGTTGATCTGCAAAGAATGAGTCTGCACTAATTCATTTTTGTATATATATTTATAATTTTTTCCAATGCAAATTTTTTTGCAAGACCATATGATGATACCTAATAGGCTTCTGAGAAATTTTTAATAAACAAACAAATAAAGACTGCTGTTTCTAAAAATAACTACACAATCTTTTTCTTTTATTTTTTTTTTACTGCTGAAATTTAGCGGGTCTAAGGAGCAAATGGTGTTAGTGTTAGAGCAACATGCCGAAAGCAGGCACGGTTCGCATCGAGACGGGTGCATTGTTTAGTAAAAAGCAAGACGTTGCCTTGTTTCACACACGGAGGGAGGCACCAGCAATTGCAGCCAACACACTTCATATGTGCAGCGCAATTCGTTTCGTTGCACCCTCAATGGAGGAAAAAGTGCAAAGAGGTATCTGGACGGGGAACATCAAAATCTCTTACACAGGTACAGTTAGGCGTGAGAACCACATACCATATTTTCGGGTCTATAAGTCGTAGCCTTTTATAAAAAGGCTGTTTTCAGAAAAGATTGATACATAACTCACACCTTTACATTTGTATGGTCGATGCGGCGGAGCTGCACATTGAAAAACGTGCAAATATGTATGAAGATAACAATATATGTGCAAGTGAGAGCAAGTTCAATATTCTAGTTGACGAATTGATGAGAAATTGCACCCCATGACAAAATTTTCATAGTTATATACTTACAGAAAGGGATGCATATACTTTATATGTTGCACCATTGTATAATGCAAAAATACTCCAAAAGCCGGGAGACGTCATAATTAAAATAAGAACGCCGACTTGACATAACAGAAAAAACAACTTCATTAGACGTTTCGCCTCCCATGCGGGAGGCATCATCAGTAGTTACACAGCAAATGCAGGGTTCAACCTAAACTCAACGCTATTTATCACGAATGTCCGTGTAAGCTTCGTGGAGAGGGCCGCGGTTTTTGTTGCACACGGATGTGTCCCTGCGAAGAAACCACGATTCTAGAAGCTTTCGGGGCCCCCATCTGTCCTCTCTCGCCAAGGTCGTCACGGCCGGAAAGTCGAAAGAATGCCCCATTGTCCACGCATGGTCCACCAGTTTAGTCTTCAGTCGCGTCGCGTGGGATGCGTACGTGACGTCACGCTTGTGTTCTTTGAGTCTGGTATCTCTCCTCCGTCCGGTTTCACCAATGTAGGACGCTGGGCAGTCACTGCAGAGGATCTTGTAGATAACGCCTCTTTGGACGTTCGCCGGGGTTGGGTCCTTTGGTTTGGAAACGGAATTTCCAGTAGTTCTGTATGGCTTGAAAACAGTTCGGATGCCAAGGGGCCTCAAAGCGCGACTAGTGTGCATCCCCTATGTCAAAGGAGTCTCCGAACCTCTTAGTCGCGCTTTGAGGCCCCTTGGCATCCGAACTGTTTTCAAGCCATACAGAACTATTGGAAATTCCGTTTCCAAACCAAAGGACCCAACCCCGGCGAACGTCCAAAGAGGCGTTATCTACAAGATCCCCTGCAGTGACTGCCCAGCGTCCTACATTGGTGAAACCGGACGGAGGAGAGATACCAGACTCAAAGAACACAAGCATGACGTCACGTACGCATCCCACGCGACGCGACTGAAGACTGAACTGGTGGACCATGCGTGGACAATGGGGCATTCTTTCGACTTTCCGGCCGCGACGACCTTGGCGAGAGAGGACAGATGGGGGCCCCAAAAGCTTCTAGAATCGTGGTTTCTTCGCAGGGACACATCCGTGTGCAACAAAAACCGTGGCCCTCTCCACGAAGCTTACACGGACATTCGTGATAAATAGCGTTGAGTTTAGGTTGAACCCTGCATTTGCTGTGTAACTACTGATGATGCCTCCCGCATGGGAGGCGAAACGTCTAATGAAGTTGTTTTTTCTGTTATGTCAAGTCGGCGTTCTTATTTTAATTACCATTGTATAAGGCACACTGAAGGAAATTTTGGGCAAATATTGCGACTACATACCCGGGAAATATGGTACTCAAATTGCCAGAGTCACATCAACCCGTGCCTCAAGTTGAAAAACTTTGAACAGAAGATATTCTGCCATCACAAGTGTTGTGTAGAGCCTTGTGAAGGAGACAGGCATGAGAGTGTAGCCATGCCATGTTTCCCTTCTGGATAATACTAGCTTGAAACAGCTATAGTACCTAACCTAGATTAGATTTGGAGGATGTTTGGTTGCATTTGACTTTGTTTCTTTACTAAGCACCGTGGCAATAGGTGAGTGCTCAATGAAGGAAAGCTAATGGTTTCTGGAGCTGCCACACTTATTAAATATGTTGTCCCTCTAGACCATTAGAACAGCAATGGGACTGGAGTGTGTAAATGAAAACAAGACACATGCACTATACTATTACTGGCTGTCAGCCATAACTTAGAAATATTGCATACATATTTCAAGTATCACTGGCATAAATTTGCACATAGTTGAAGTGCAATATCTTTACAAACTGGTTTGTAGTGCTCATTTAAGATCTTACTGGTTGCTTTCTGAGCAGCTGTGAGAAGATGTAGCATGGGTGTACAAAACAAAATTCAAAGTATGTTTTTGCAGTTGCCAAAAATAACCTTGTATGTGAAAAACGACCCTCTATAAAAATAAACGCAGGTTCCACTCACTCCAGACTGTTACGAAGACGTAAGCATGATAAGGTCACACCAGCGCATAAACAAACAGTGCACAAACAACAAGACAGATGGTATGACCAACACAGTGAGATTTCACAAATGCCAAGATTGCACTCCTGCCTTACAGTTCATTTGTGAGAAGCAAATTGTTTTTATTGTAACATTAACTTTCTTCAGCACCCAGTCTCACTCATATGATGTTTTTGTCAAAAGGGATAAAGAAAATATGGCACACTAGCAAGATAGCCTCTAAAAAGGTTCAATATTTCATTAATGTACAGTTTAAATTGGTTATAACAGACCTTGGTAGTGATCAAGATTTCAGTCTGCTGTACAAGGAATAAGCTGTATGCAGACAGAAAAACAAACCGAACTTGACAAGGCAGTAAGTTATATCCAAATGATGTTGTAACCAGGTCTGTTGCAACGAGTTTATACTGTACTGCTGCATATATTATCTGACTATAAACCTACTGATCACACCTGCTTAAGGTGCAGCAACATTAGAACTGTGTGCATGCACATTCTAAAGGTATGACTATCAATCTAAATGGCAAATTTGATTTACATATGAGGTAGTTTGTGTGGATGGGGCTAGCTCACGCAAAACAAGTGGTCAAGCATACAAGAGTGCCACTGTGATGGGTTCTTTGTTCACAGCAGTCTCAATGGCACTGGAAACACTGGACACACCCTTAGCAAATTAGATCTCTTGGCATTTGTGAAAGTGCAGGAAACAACAAACCATCTCTGCAGAGAGAAGCAATAGCTTGGAAAGGCACAGAAGCATGCAACTGAGTACAAGTGCACAATGGGGGCACAATGGCATGCCACAATGGGTCAATTTGTGCAGGTGCAATGGGGCCAATGAGTGCAGTTGGGTGCATAAGAACTCAGCATATCCTGTTACCTACTTTCCCATAACCTCAGTGTGAGACCATTTTCTGCACACACAATGGTGAAATGTTGAAACATATGTGATAGTTGCCACAGAGAATGAACAAATTAAGTGGCAGATATGGTACTGCAAATGATGAAAACCATTAAAGCCAGAAGACTATATTTGTTACGAAAAAATCTATTTTCAAACATTCTGTGAAACTTGCAATGTTTGCAAACCTCTCATTTTTGTGAATTCTGTGAATTGGAAAAATCACAAACTCTAATTAAGGGCATGTGAATATTTCTACTGTCCAGAGAGGCAAATTCCACCCTTAGAATTCGCTAAATTTATTGGTCATGAATATGACCCTTCTGCCCCATTAAAAAAAATTGGGTTTGCAAAAATAAAGGGTTTTACAGTTAGTACCTATATTAATTTAACAAAAGAGATACAAAAGACTGCAATCGATGTGGTCAACATTGAAGGAATTACTGAAAATACTCAACATTGATAGTATGCATAAGCAATGCAAATACTGAAAAACAGCGAACAATGTTTTAACACTATCATCACCATTGACAAATGGCAGAACCACTTACGACAGCACGCTACGAAATTTGGTTCGCTCGGGTGTGTGAGGACAGAAATGAGAAAGAGATGGAAGATGATTGTAATAGATTTTGCAACAAGTGCACATAAATTTCAGAAATACTCCAAGCTAGGTGGTAGCACTCTCTTCCCTTTGACTGACAGTTAGGCTGTACACATGACTCAACTGAAGCAGATGTCAAGCCCACTCTTGGCATATTTTCGTCATTTGCTATGTGCTCATTTATGGTTTTGCCCTAATGAAGAGTTGTCTTTTTTGCATCCAGCTGCATCTACATAGAATACACATCTGGTTCTTATATATATGCACGAGCGCTGCTGTGCTTTAGGTTTTTCTGCCTTAAACCCACGATAAGTAGGATTCAGTGCTCCATCCCGCCTAAGATGTTGGGAATTCGGCTGTTTTCATTTCAAATTTAGTAGGCATTTCCCATGCATCACCAAAGAATTTTACAAATATTTTTTTTTAGTAGCCTGCAAACTGAGGCATTTAATAAAACAACAATTCAGAAATCTCCTCATCCTTAACAGATGCCTCTACTGAAATTCAACCTTCATGCCTCTACTGAAATTCCACAGTGGAGACTGAAAAGTTGCTTGTGGGCACAGAAAATAAAGAATTATTATTATTATCACTCCATTCGTCATGACTACGTTGTGACCCTTACTTAAAGCACACACATTAAATCGACTGGCTGTACCAGCCTCTGACTGACTACCGCGGTGATTTTGGTCCGAAAACAAGCCAAGAGAATGGGGTCTTGCAAAACAACACTGCCTAGTTTTTTGTCATTGCCTGTACCAGAACGGTTCAAAACATAGAAAAAAGTTAAACCAAAACATAGCAACTATATTTCGCTAGACTCGTTAGATCTTAAAAACAAAAAATGGTTCAGGCAAGCTAGTGAGACCGCTGAGCAGCCGAAATAAAACCCACAGCCTGCCGAGAAAACACTAAGTAAATATGAGCAAAAATGTAGCAGTTTAAGTCACATAAAAATGACCTACTTAAAGGGGCAGTGCAACGATTTTCACGTCGAAAGAATTTGCAGCTCGTATGTTTTATATTGTTTACCTTGGCACAAGCGAGAGAAAAAGAGCCCCCTTCCTCCAAAATACGGCAATTTCTTCGCATAAGCGCAAAGGATAAAATTTTTTTTCCCCGATCCGCAGTTACGTGCGGCAGTCATTGAAACTACGGCGCAACGTCTATCGGGCTACGCAAATTTTTGTGGTGCCATCTATCGAAAGCCAAAAAAATCATTTCCTCTGTGTCATGACTACATTGCGGCCAAAGTACACAGATTAAATTGAATGGTCTCTCATCTTTTTCGTGGCGAACCATCTCTTGCCTCAATCACTCGTCACGACCTTGGACGAAACTAAGCGGGTGCCATACTTTGTTGTAGACAAGTCGGACATTGAAAAGCAGACAATTAAGGAGGGAAATCGACAAGATGATACAACCGAATATGATACTCCAAGTGATGTCCCTGCTCGCCTCACTCAAAAGACCGTGCGAGTCAAAGGGTACCCTGACCCACGATTTGTTTACTTTTTTTTTTTAATGAAAACTAGTGCTTGCAAGAAAGAAATATTTTCTGTTCTTTATTCTATAGGTGACATAGAACAATTCCCGCAATCGATCGGCCAAAGTCTGAAAATCGTTGCACAGCTCCTTTGTCCGGAGACTCGTAGTCAGAGATCAGAAACAGTGTTAGCACAAGCTGTGCTGCAAGTCACGAGAGCCGCTACGATAGACGCAGCGCAGCGACTTTGGTCCACTCACCTGCGTTGAAGTCAACGGCAAATTCCTCGTTGGTGTTGCCGGACACGATGCTGAAGTTGAAAAGAATCCAGTGTGAGCGTGTGTTTCATGGCCAATACAAAATCTGTCAAGGAAAGCGGGGGAGAGCGCCTAGCACTTCCTCGAGGTTGTCATTGTCTACGAGCGAGGCTACTAAGACGTGTCCCATCGCACACGGAACGGGAAGCACGGAAAAGTGAAAGGAACTGATCCTGTGTACGACAAAGCTCCACCCCCAGCAGGTGCTATCCTCTTCAATGGGTAAGCAAACAATGTCTCAACCACAAGCTCTTCATTCCCTGTAGCCTGTAGCGAGTCTGGTAGCTGTTAGCCGACAAGTATATACCCTTCAAACTACCGTAAAAACCCGCATATAATACGAGGTTTTTTTTCAAATTTTGCCATGTAAAATTTGCGGTTCGTATTATACGTGGGTCCCAACAATTTTCAGCTTCTATGAGGCGCGATCTGACGCAGTTTGACGTGGTTTCGGTTTCGTAGCAATATGGCGTTCAAAACAGCTATCATCATCATCATTAAAATCACAATGTCCGAGAAGCCACCATGTATCCACGGTCAGGCTAGGCAATGGCGTCGGCGCGAATCGCCGAAAACGATGCTCAGCCGCCTTCAAAAAGAAAAGTAATTTTGGTTGCGGAAGACATCGGCAACAGCGCTGCCGGGCGACAATTCGCCGAAAATGAAGGCGGCATCCGCGGATGGAGACGACGAAAGCAAGCTCTGTTCCCGTGCAACGGAACGAGAAGAAGCTTTGGAGGCCCAAAAAATGGCGTGCTCGCCGACGTCGAGGCAAGTCTCGGCGACTTTGTAAAAGAGGAACGTGAACGGCACGTCGCCGTAGACATCAAGCTGATGCAAGAGAGGGCCAGAAAACTTTGATGAGCCGACATTGGGTACAATGGGTTGTTCGCATTATACGCCGCGCCGGGCTTTCACTGCGTCGGTGCACGCCCGTCGCTCGCTCTTTCAAGAAGTACGGAATTTCAAATGTGCTCGACGGCACTAAAGACGACTGCCTGGGGGAGGAGGCATCGGACAAGGAGTCTGATGGAAGTGATGACAGTGATTAAGGTTCAATTACGACGCAAATATACGTTTTTCTTAAGACTTCCTGGGTTGCATTTTACGCGGAATATTTTCGCGGTCCTTAAATTGTTTCATATTATACGCGGATAAAACTTTTTTTTTTTTCTTCGCGGTCCTCAAATCATGCCTCGTATTATACGCGGGTTCGTATTATATGCGGGTTTTTACGGTACTTCATCTTCTCTTTCTAGAAGGCCTAGTTTGTAAAAAATTAAGCATCTCTAGTCCTGGCTCTTAAAGAACCGGTGGATTTCACGCTGCTTTACTGCATTGATGCCAAGACTGGGAAGGGTTCCTCAACGTTTTATACTATAAAACCCTTTATCTTTGCAGCTCCTATTTTTCTAAATCGGTCACAAAGGATATAATTGCAGCCACAAATTTCGCGAATTCCAGACATCTGCATTGAAGCTCGTTTAAGAACCGAAATTTTCGCGTGCCCTTAAATTTTGCGAATGTTTGAATTTGCGAAATCCGTGAAAATTGAGGGCTCACAAACATTAAGGGTTTTAAAGTATGTTGCAATTGTCATAGCACCGTTAGTGTACGCTGGCTTGGCGGTCTGCCAACCCCGCAACGCGAGCTATGTGCTCGCCGCGGGCGCAATCCGACCGTGGGAGAAGAGACGAACCGCCAAGTGTCCCCGCCATGGAAGTTCGATACAGAAAAACAACGCTCCTATACAATTCCATGTGATTTTCAAGGGGATGTTTGGACTGTTCGATATAAACTATAATTTGAAATACCCGGGAGTGATACAACCAAGCTCAACTGTAGTATACGACTGCCACCGTACCGACCCAGGTTCAAGCCTCGCTCAGGCGCTCTAACTTTATATATGTAAACTGTATATATAACCTAATGTGTGTAACGCTACCAGCGTGTCACTTGCTCATGATGCCCATTATGATACTTGCTACAATACTCCATCATGACAACTGTGTCGTAGAAAACGACTCATAAAACAGAATGTGCATCAAAACTAACTGGGCTGTCACTCTGTTACCAAAAAAAGTAACTAGGTGCGAGTAACTAGGTATGAGTGACACATTGCTCGTAATGCGCTGCGTGCAAGTCTGCAGCTGGCCACATTATCGCATCTTCGTGACAACACGTTGCAATGCTCTAGACAGGGAAACCAGCCCCACAGCAGACTGTGCGCCAAAGGCCCCCACCTGTAGATGAGCTGGCGTCCCTTGGGGCTGTCGGCCTGCACGGTGATGACGGGCACATCCGGGGGCAGGTTCTCCGGCACAGAGACAGAGTAGAACTGGCGCGGGAACACCGGCATCGCCCGGTTCACCACTTTGATGGGCACCACGGCCTCCGTCTCCAGCGAGGGGATGCCTGCAGCGTCGCATCGCGAGTGAGTGCAGTCGTCGCAGAACGCGATTCACTCCGGGGCTTTTGTTGCAATTGGTTCCGCACCCCATGGGAGCGCATACGGATCTCCTTTTTGGATGGCAATCCACTCTTCGTGCAGCCTATGGAGCGCAAAAACCTTCGTGACCAATGTCAGAGGGACTCGTGTTCCTCGAGGACACCGCTTGAACAAGCTAAACTAAAAATTGCGTTCCTAAAAAAACGTTTAACGTTACTTGAGGTATTCTTTTTTTTTTTTGCTCGATATAGTACAACAGCTTTCACTTCCCTTATATTTATTTACTTAGTAGTTCACTAACATTCTGCCAGTCGCGAGTTAAATACACGGGGAAAATACACGTGGTACAAACGCAAGATCTGAATGCATGATTCTACGGGAGATATCATTGTTAAAATAGTGGTCATAACACCGAATTTCAACCCTCGCTAACTTGGTCGGCTGAGCCGTCTTCCACCGTTGACCGTGTCAGTGCCGTTATTAACATTTTTCGCAGTGACGGAAATATGCCTCGAAATTTAGTTAAAACGCACCACTAAAATTACACCTCCAGTGGTGTATTTTTGTAAGTGGGGGTATTTAAACACCCTATAGCTTACGCGGTGCTTCCCACTCCCTACCCGAGCACCCACCATTGTCCACGGCAGCCACGACGAGGGTGTACTCGGTGTTGTGGGTCCCGAGAGGCTGCCTGAGGGTGATCTCCCCTGACACCGCGTTGACGTGGAACAGCTCGGAGTTGCCCTCTCGAAGCTGGTAGCGCACCCGCCCGTTCTCTCCCAGGTCGAGGTCGTTGGCTTCGACCTACGGGGAATGCAGAAACATCAAACGCAAGTCCCTCGCCAGTGTCCTAGCTGCTTCCGGTCGCTGAAGAGCTGTGCAGCTAGGACGGAGACACATCACTACACCGCATCTCATTATAGTCGGCGACAGGTTCAGAGTTCAGGAGAAGCTCCTCCCACTCTGTTTACATTTTAGCACAGTGAACGCTAGAGAGGAGGTCGACTCCTCTCAAGCATTGGCTTTGCTAAAATAGAAAGAAGTGGGAGGAGCTTTCCCCGAACTCTTAACTTGTCAATGTCTATAGTTGAGCGCAGTGCCGTCGAAGCCGCAGGCGTGAAAGAGGAAAGCCGTCTTTGAAGAAATTTTGAGTTACAAAATAACCTCCGCAGGGGACAAAAGCGACCTCTGCGACGCACAACTGACAGCTGCTTGCCATGAAATACCGAGCAAGCGCCCAAACGAAATTTGGAGGTTCCTTTGAAAAACCGGGGGGTGGGAACTTCTCGGGTCGGGGAACGAAGATGCAGGAGGGGCACATCACAAGGTGGGCTTGTTCCGATTACACAAGCACACGCGCGCGTCGTGCTTCATTGCCCTATTCCAGCGCGTGTGTGTAAGGCTTCTCTGCTATGCAGCGGAGCGCTCGGGAGAGCGAAGAAGTATCTCGGTTAGCAATACCCCGTTTCATACTCAGTGTACACTGTGTGACACAGTTAGTGTGAACCTGACATTGGAACATTTTTGCATACTACTTCGAAAGGTTTTTGGTGGGCAAAAGGAAGAATTAGAGCACTTAGTAAAGTGCCCTAATTACTACTTTCCAACACGCTAGTACTTTTGATGATGGCCCTTTGATTCTTGGATAAAAAGAAAAAAAACAACTGGCGATCGTTTATTCGCATTAACAGCGTCGCACAGTGCACACCGCTGTCAAAGCTATTGGCGCGAGTGCGTGGCTTCGTATACAGTGTCTAATTTGCATGAGAGCGCAAAATTTCTAAATATGAGGGAACTGCAATCGAGGCAATGACAAAAGCAACATAGAACACAAGGAAAGTATTTTGCTGGGGATGTGAGGTGTGCCATCTGTGTTTCACCAATATAAGCATTCTTTCGTTGAAAAGCACACATTACGGAGGCTAACTCTACGACGAACCGAAAATAGACAGTGTCAGTTAGAGCACACAGACTTTGAGAAGCAATAGCCGCGGGTGTGGGGGCACATTTTTAATATTCAGAATTTTTCTTATTTGTCATTTAATTTGACATAGCTGTAGAAGTTTCGGCATTTACATGCCTTCTGCAGGTACACTGTATTTTCAAGAAAAGTAAAATTTGAAAATATTATCCTCCACATTGATTCTTTTGGTAGAACAACTAGTAATTTGACACATTCTGATCTGTCATATTACTTAATACGCAAGTTAGTTAGGAAAATAAAAGCATTTGCACGGATCCTTCGAAAATTGCCACTTTTCCTGTGGTCAGGAAAGAGTTAAGTATGCCCGTATAACAAGTGTGTTAGCAACGATGCTCGATACCAAAACCGTCTAGCAGGTACCGTGGCCGCAATAACGACGGCCAATGCGCGCAGTCACCTTGCGCACGAGGTCTCCCGCCTTGGCCTCCACCGGAACCACGGAGTAGTACGGCAGGTTGACGAAGATGGGGGCATTGTCGTTCACGTCCAGGACTCCCACGTCCAGCACCGCGTGGGCCGCATTATGGGGTCCGCCGGCCTCGCTCCGCGCCTCCACCACCAGCCGATACGCACTGACCAGCTCCCGGTCAAACGGCCTTCCGACGGTGCGGACCACGCCCGACGTCGGGCCGATCTCGAACATGTCGCTCGGGTTGAGGATGCGGAAGGAGACATGCTCGTTAAGCGATGTGCCCAGCACGCTGACGACGGTGACGACGCGCGCCTCCGTCGCATTCTCAGAGATGAAGGCCTCGTAGGAGTCCCGGGCGAACCGGACGTTGCCGTTGCCCGAGTGGGCCACCGTGACGATGACGAAGGTGGCCGTCTCCGACTGGCCGTCGTTGGCCGACACGACCAGGCGGTACAGGTCCTGGAGGCCTTCTGGGTTGCGCACCAGCACTTCCCCAGTGTCCTGGAGGACCTGCAAGGGTGCGGGACGGTTGGGACAGTCGGGGCGTTCTACAGACTGGACCGGCTCCTTCTCCGGTCTTTAGACGGACGACAAGGCCAGAGGTGACTGCGCTCGTGCCAACGTTACTAGATTACCTCAGTTGTGGAACTCCCGTGGAAGGAGGGGGTACTTTCCTCACTCGCTTCAGTCTGCCTCTCATTGTTCAAAATGCCATCTCGATTTTTGTTAACAAACTGTGTGTTCCATAAAGTATGGTAGAACACCATCTAGACGCTGCACTTCGAAACGTACATACATATTCCATAAAATACACTGCAGTTACCATAGCAGCCGTCCAGCGTGTCGAACAACGGGAGGCGAGTGGTGGTGAGTGGGGGGGGGGAAGTACTGCTCGTGCATGCAGGGTCTATGAGTGGTTCCGTAACTGAGTTAATCTAATAACGTTGGCTCGTGCCAGCTAGATTCCAGAGTTGTCGTCTTTGCCTTTTTCCGGCTCGAGTTACTTTAGCTTTTCGAGCTGGACTTTAAAATTTAAGAAAAAAGGTTAGGAGTATTCAAAGAGAAGAAAGGTGTATAATTGCCATAGATATTAAAAACAATGGTGTGCCACTGCAGGTTAGGGGCTCCCGTGTTCTAAGGAGTCTGGATTATTGTTAGGCACTGCAGCTGAAAGAGACAAACTCCCCCCAAAACATTTTTTTTACTCGCTAAATAGCAAACATCACCAAAAGAAAGAATTCTTATAAAAAATGAAAGTTAGCACAACATTTATGTTGGGAGTTGGTTAGAAGTTATTTCTAAACAAGGTGATATTTCTAGGTCCACACCTCAAAATGGAAGCATGTTTCGAAATCATTCCCAACTGCAAATTGTCTCGTTCTGGCAACTTAAGTATGGACTATAAACCTTTTTCTTTCTTTCGGGAAAAGATAATTCTATGCCGCACTTATAAAAAAAGGTTGGGAATTCAGCTTAGGAAGGCAAGCGCCCTGGGTGGGCCCCCCAGGGGCAGGACCGACCTCGAAATGTCCCTCGTGGTCCCCCGCCACCAGGGTGTAGCGGACCCCGAACGGGGACTCCAGGTCCGGGTCCGAAGCCCGAACCCTGGCCACCCGGACGCCTTGGTAGGTGGGCAGCAGCAGGCTGGCGTTGTAGTACTGGTGCTCAAACACGGGTGGGCTGTCGTTGACATCTGTCACGTTCACCAAGATGGTCGCCGGGCGCCGGGCACACAGCCGGGGCTTGCCCGAGTCCCACACCTGCACCTGGAAGCTGTACTGGGCCCTGGCCTCACGGTCGAGCTTGTGCACAATGCTGAGTGCACCTGCACAAGGGGGAGGGGGGGGGAAGGGCAAGAATTAATGATTGATTGATTGACTGATTACATTTTAATCTCACAAAGGCCAAACTTGGCCAAAGAGGGCCTATAAGAGGTAAGAAAAGAAGATTATTAAATGCATAAATAATGACTATATACTACTGAATTATTTATGTTGAATACGAGGCCACTGAATCTTACCAAGGTCCTTGATGATCTAAATACATTTAAAAAAATTAGATATGTTTTTAAGAGAAGCAGAGGATCCATGCCCAATGAGGAGTGAAGGGCAATGAGGTATCTGCTGCTCATAAAAGATATGAAAGTGCCGTTTCCAACATCTTTCATATCCTCCAAGTGAGATTACGGCGTGTAAAGCTGTCAGAGGTTCACTACACTTTGTATATCTACGAGCATCTGTTCCGTTAAGATGATTACTAAGTCCGGCGTGTATCGCCTCCCCTGCAATGGGGGTACAAGAACATGAAAAAAGCTGTAACAGTGCAGATTAATTAACGGGGCCCAGCCCCTTACATTTGGCAACAGGCTGAACGGGAAAGTAACGAAAATAGTTCAAAGAGGATTATCGAGTTAAAAAAAAGAAAATAATGCACATAGAAAAAAGAGATCGGTACAACACCTTTCTGCTGGCCACCTCGATGTGAACGCCTCACATGTTCGCAGAATTCAATAGTGCGAGCGGCGTTTGCTGGAGCACTCATAACCTGTAGTTTTTTCAAAGATGTGGCACTCCCCAGGAGCCGGTGCTGCACACTCTACACGCAATATTTCTTTCCAATTTGTTTGGCAGTCTTTCACGGCAAACGATTGGCAAATGTGGGACGTACCTTATATACTGTAGCGAGCGTATATAGCACTCGCAATATTTCTTTATTGGCGCAACTTTATGTCTACGAAAGAGCGGTTGAGAGTGCAAGTGATGTGGTGCATCGTCGTTTATTGAACCTGTGCTGCATTCCCATACTTAATCGGGCATATCCGAGCGACGTCCTAGATAACAATGCCATAGTGCAGAATTTTTAATATCACGCAGGTTTGACGAGCAAGGACGCAAGTACCCGTTGATAACTGACACGGCACTCGTGAGCAATTGATTTTCGTGCGACCCTCTCTTGTCGAAGGAAGCGTGTTACAGGGCACCGCATAAGAGCCGGTTGTACGACGCGTTCCGCGTTAAAAGGACGACCAGCGGTTAGTACAAAGCTGAACACCGATGAAACATATTTTGGTTTCATTGTTTCCCAAAGTCCATCCGTATACGGCAGTAATTGGCCGGGGAACGCCACGCACAAAAAAAGGTGCACAGGCATTTTTTTTTTTTAGGTGAGGACATAGCGCAAGCGTATCGCAATGAAACGTGGTCATGTGCCTTAGAATAAGAGACTTCCTTATGTCGTAAACTCCGTAGCACAAAGGCTTCCGCAATTTAGCGGCACAGTCGTCTTCCGGTAACGCTTTTTCGTTACGGGAAGCAAGTTACAGGACGCCGCAAGGAGTCAGCCATAAGGCGAGTTCACACACCCCCGACTACTTACAACCAAGAGCGGTAAAACCTCACTTCTTACGACGAGGGAACAAATTGCCCCATCTACCGGGTGGCTGTGGAACATGAGCGGTTTCCGAAATCTTCAACCTTTTCAGTGCATCGTTCTTTTTTTCTTTTTTTTTTCTCAAATACCTTTGACAATTTTAGAAATTACCATTTCTCATTGGTAATACGCACATTTGGTCCGCCAAATACTGCAAAACCATGGAGGTGAGATGTTTCTGGTGGCGACATGGCACGTCGCCTTCAGAAGCTTCTTACCTCCATGTCCAAAACCTTCGCACTAGTGAAGCGCAGTTTCAGGCCAACCTCACGGAAGGTGCCAGCAGGTTCTCTCTTTATAAAAGGTTGCAAGAATTCGGTCATAAGCGAACGCAAGTGTGTCGACCGGCCTATAAGACGCATCTTCCGTCGGGAGACGAGCCTCTTACCAAAACACTTTGAGCCGCGGGATGTGCGCCCACTCACCCGTGCTCGTGTCGACGTGGAAGAATTTGCGGGCCCACTTCTCGACAATCTCGAAGACGAGCAGGGCGTTGGCCTCCGAGTCGGCATCCTCGGCGGTCACCACCAGCGGGGCGTCACCCTGTGCCGCCAATACTACGCTGCCGGCCTCAGCGGCCTCGCTGACCAGGCCCCGGTAACGGTCCCGCAGGAAGCGCGGCGCATTGTCGTTCCTGTCGAGCACGTGCACCGCCACGTGCGCCGAGGCGTTGGCGCCTACCATGTTGGTGGCCACCACCGTCAGGTTGTAGAACCGGCAGCCCTCGTAGTCGAGGACCCTGTCAGTGAACAGCGACAGTGCACGCATTCGTATTGTCGACCGATCGTTTCGTTGACGGTTCGTATTACTGAAAGGGCATTAGTTCCGCCGCCAGATCTCGCGACGTTTCGTCGACATCTTCTATGCATGCACATTGCCTCGGCTGCCAAAATTCAGACAAATCCGGAGCCCCTAAATAGGTTATGATACGCGTAGACTACTGACACTCCATTCCTCAAGTAGAGCAGTGCGAGGGGTGAGGCGACCACGCATATTTGAAAGCATCAGATTATACTCTATTTCACTTTAAGTGCGAGCGTAGGAGAAGTTACGAGAGAGCTGGGGGCTTTTAGCATCCCTGCCAAGCATGCGTCGTTCATGCATTGTGAGCATCACTTGGGGAAGCATGCTCAGGTCGTGGTTTCGACTTCGCTCGTACATAAAAAGAAAAAAAAAACTATAGGGCCCGAGGATTTGTCTTTACTGTGTCAGAGCCACCTGGGTGGCTCTACTACAGTTATGGTATACTTCCAGCAAACAAAATGAAGACAGTTATTTCATCCAATCTTCTAGTAAAAAAAATATGCTTTCAATAAAACGTTGCAAGAGTTCATAAACGAATTTTCACAAAATGTCACGGTGTTGATAAAACGCATGTCCACGATATGCATATCCATGACATAATGAAAAACAGTGCAAAGAGGACAGGACAACAGGAGAAAGAACACACCAACTCACAACTGATATTTATCTCAGAAATATCAGTTGCGAGGCTAGCGCTCGTGTGTTCTATGTGTCTCTCTCCTGTTGTCTTGTCCATGGTGCACTGTTTTTTATTACGTCCCCTTGATACCGACTGGCCTTACTCACCAAAATGTCCGTGAGAACTTGTACATAAAACATTCTTTAGGAAAGGTGTTTCCACAAAATGTGTATCCACCAAAATGTGCTTCCGCAAAACATACTTCCACGAAAGGTGTTTCCACGAAATATACTTCCAGAAAATGTGTTCCCACCAAAATATATTTCAACAAAGGGTGATTCTACGAAGTATGTTCACACAAAAAATGTTTCCACAAAAACATTTACAAGAGGTTTTTCCACAAAATGTGTTACTGACGAAACATGCTTCCACAAGAAGTGGTTCTACAGAAACGTGCTTCAACAAAACGAGCTTAGACGAAACCATTCGGACCTGTTGGTGAAGACGACGCCGGACGTGGGGTCGACGCGGAAACTGTCGCCGTCGTTGCCGTCGGCGATCTCGAAGTAGAGCGATGTCTGGCTGACCATGGTCAGAGTGGCCACAAACGTGCCAGAAGGCTCGTTCTCGAACAGCTCGACGCCGCGCCTGGACGGTGCGAAGCGTGGCGGGGCGTTGCTGGCAACAGTCACCACGACGTGGACGGTGGTGGTCGAGTTGAGGGGCGGCTCGCCGTGGTCCGTGGCGCGGACGGAGAGGAAATATTCCGGAAGGGCCTGCTGGGAGAGCTCTTTGGCCACCGTGATGGCGCCCAGCTGAGGATGGATGGAGAAGCTGCCACCCACGTTGCCTGCGGGGGTTGGCGCGTGCTTAGGTCGCATTTGGGTGCAGCCCTTAAAGGGATACTGAACCAAAGAATTTAGTGCGCATAATAAGTGGCGCACGTTCATTCCACGAGCCAGCAGCCGCCGGTGTGCGTGAGCACACGCAACGAAAATGACGTCAAAGACCTCCATTCATGCTTAAGAGGACAGTGAAATGCATGGACTTCGGGTCAAAGGAGAATAAAGACAGGCTTTTTAACTCTACAAGTGAAAGCTATGTGCTTGTTAGACCAATTAATCGCTTACCTTTTACACCAGACACCACTGTGTAGATGAAAAACTTGTCTTTATTCTCCTTTGGCCCGAAGCCCATACATTTCACTCTCATCTTAACCGCGAATGGAGGTCTTTGACGTCATTTTTGTTGCGTGTGCTCGCGCACACCGGCGGCTGCTGGCTCATGGAAAGAACATGCGCCACTTCCCAGGCGAAAATCAGTCCAATTCCAGCTGGATTATGGAACTGGAAATGAGGCAGTCAAGCTGGATTCCAGCTGGACCCAGCTGGACCCAGCTGGGATTCAGCTGGACTGCCTCATTTCCAGTTCCATAATCCAGCTGGAGGTAGACTGGTTCAGTTCAGTATCCCTTTAAAGGGAGGCACTGGTCCCTATCATTTTTCTCTAAGTTCCCATTTAAATTCTTTTATTGGATTCTCACGACTACTACGATTTTCTTGTGTGAAGCACAAGCATATAAGCCTATTGTTTTCCTATCAATTATGGTGTGCAAGGAAATCTCAAATTTATTACATAGTATATTTTTCCCCAACTATTTAATGTGCCCCCCCCCCCAAAAAGAAAAAATCATAGTAAAATATTGAGCATCCACCCATTCTACAACAAGCGCCCACCCCTCAATTTTGTAACACTAGGAAATTACATAAAGAACATATCTTTACACTCACGAATTTAAGGTAGAGTTTATTCTCACCACAAAAATAAATACTGCATCTCTGAATGCTCGTTCTTTGCCCCAATGTAGCGCTAGCAGTCCAAACTAGATGTCATTCTCTTATCGTGCTCTTTTCGGGCAATGCAGGCGGAGACTCACCCGACGCGATGGAGAAGGTGATCTGAGCGTTGCGTCCCCGGTCGCGGTCGAGACACCGCACCTGGAGCACGCCAGTGCCCAGGGCGGCCGTCTCGAAGACGCGCACCTCGCTGATGGCCGACAGGAACTCGGGTGGGTGGTCATTGTGGTCCGACACCTCGACGACGACGCGCGCAAAGTTGCGCATGTTGACCGGCGTGCCTGTGTCCCACACCACGACGGTGAGCAGGTGGCGGCGAGCCTCTTCGTGGTCCAGCGCCTCCCGCGTGGACAGCACGCCCGTCAACGAGTCCACCTGGAACTTCTTCACGCTCTCGGGGCTGGCACTAAAGGGAGAATGGAAGCGTGTCTCGATCGGTGTCCGACTAACTCAAAACCACACAAAATGTGCTACGAATGAGCTGGGCATGTATGTGTGTTTGTGTGTGACGCAAAGTTGTTTTAATGGACAGAAGGAGGCATCTGTATGGAAGAAAGTGTAAGGGAAGTAGGCAGGGCAGTTCAGAGCAGATAGCTATGGAGCTATATTTCTATATTATACCATCTTTCATGACAGAAAAGCCACGTAAACACAAATACCGCTTTTTAGATTTCCATCCTTTGTCCAAAATTTCGGTTCTTGAGTATGAAAAATGACAAAAATAAAAAATACAAGCTCAGAGCTATCTTCCCCTTAAAGGGGTTATGACATGCCAAACATAAAATATGAGATAACAATACTGCTAGGACCCATTGTATGTTCCTATATTCCTGCTAAATTTGTTATGAAAATGGCGCGATAGTTTTCTGGATAAAATAATTTATGTGCGGGTCCCTCGGAGGGGCGGATCCGGGCGGAGCAGGAGGCTGGTGAGGTAGCCAGCCTCCCGTGCGGTGCCCCTTGCACGCACTCACAGATTTGGCTCTCTTAGCTCCTTGAGCTTCAGCTTCCTCGTTTACCTTCCGCGTTTCGAGCACCCAGTCCATGATGATTACATCTACGGCATCGCTCGCCCTGTCAAAGTGCTCGACATTGATCGCAGCAGCGATGAGAGTGATGGCTGTCAAGAGATGTTGGAAGCTGTTCATTTTGACTGCGACCCGCTGGAGCCCAGCTCCAGCGACGGCAAGTTACGGACGGAACTAGCCGTGGTCACCGTCTTTCGGGAATATCTCGCAGGCGTATGCAGGGTGGAAGGTCAACGGGTCGGGGGCGAGAGCAAGCTCATAGCTATCTTCCCCTTAAAGGGGTTATGACACGCCAAAAATAAAACATGAGATAACAATACTGCTAGAACCCATTGTATGCAAGCAAAAAATAATGTTTGGGTTGCTGAGTTGCGTGAGCGATTTCGATCGTACAGCAGCGAGAGCTTGGTTGATCATGGGTGTGCCTAGAATGAGGGAGCGTTCATGATCACGTGGTTTATGGACACCATGGTGTGACTAACTTGGGCAGTATTGCCTGGTCACCAGATGAAAATGATAAAAATGCGTAAATTGATTATTGCAATTACCAGAGCTCTAAAAATCGTGTAACTTGGTGTATGGTATACTAAGTAACCTATAAGCATTCCATTTCAAGAATAATCTATCAGTTCAATTTCGTGTCATAACCCCTTTAAAATTTCAACCCAGAAAAACTCATAAAAATTAATCCAAGTTACGTAATAACAAAACAATGGTTTTCCTAAAGTGAAATTTACGCCAAAAAGTGGAACGGAGAAGACTGTGTTCAAAGTGCTCCAACCTCTAACTTTTCTTTATCATCGGTGGACCGAAAATAGTTTATAAAAAATTAACTATGCAGTGTAAACTAGTGGAACTTTCTGGGAATACTCCCTAGATGTTGGTGGATGTAAATATGACATTTTTCAAAATCAACTTTTTTTGCACAAATTGTTTTTTCTGGGTAGTATCCCCCCCTCAAGACACGACAAAATAGTGCGAGACACAAAAGAGTAATTTCATTTTGAGTATCAAGAGGAATAAACATTTCTTTACGAGCATCCTTTCACTTTATGGCTGTTTCGTTCTGTTTTTACTGTGTCACGGCAATCTGAATATCCCAGCCTGCTATTTTAGCCGCTTCTGCTGAGCTCAACATACTCTCAAAGTCCCTTCATATTCATTGTAACGGGAGTTTACGCAAGGTTGTGGGAGTTTGTGGAATGTTGTGGGGGATGTGGGAGTTTGGTGGAATGTCGCGGCGGAATGTTGCGTCACGGCTGTACTTCGACACAAGCTCCCACAAAGTAGTCAAAAGGCTGGTTCGCACATTTGTGTTTGACTGCAATCAACTGCATCAATGCCACCGGGGACGGCTCAGAGCGCACTGCACCTTTTATCGGGCAGCCTCGAAACACTTTCGACCCAAAAGACCGAAACATTTTGCTGCAAGTCTGAGATCAAATCTACGCACTATCTAAAAAAATTGAGGCAGATCCATTGGTGAATTCTTAGCGAATATGTTAGCATGACTTTTAAAAATGCCACAGACTGACCCTTTCACTTTTCTCTTTTGGCTCTTGCTTCCTCTATTTCTTGCTGCCTCTTTTTGGCATTGTTACGGGGTCAGTGTTAGCGTTTCCCAAAAAGGGACGTGAGTGGCGTTTCCCAAGGGTTATGCTAACAAATTCCCCAAAAATCCACTAACGGACCTCCCTGTCATTTTTTTTTCTTCCCTTTACTGAAATCTGCCTGTAAGAGCTACATGACGCCCTTGGATATGGATGGGCACTATATCACTCGTGGAAAGAACCACATTCATTGTTTGAACTACACACACACATCAGAGCCCACGCACTGCTACTAGAGGAACCCAGAGCGAAGAACAACCGCCGATGGCAGAGTGGCAACTGAGCGCGCCCACATTCCATCGCGCCATGGCAGAACATCTCCTAGATAACAAAGCTGTAGTGCTGAATAAGATGGCGTCGTCAAAGAAAGCCAACTCTGGGCACAGATTGGACACAATGATTGCATTAACGTTCGACTCAATCTTGATTTAAAGCCGAGCGCTGGTGCAGCACTCGTTTCCGATCTGTGTCCAGCGTTGGCCTTCTCTGATGACACCATCTCATTCAGCACTACAGCTTTGTTATCTAGGAGTTGTTGAGCAGTGCCCCCTCCTCTCTGGCTCCGCGCCAGCTGTGCATGTTACTTCCCCGAAAACAAAAGGACTTGTTTTGAAGAAAACCCGGAGGTGTCTGTCAGTTCGTCAGCGCCAGGGAGAGAGGAAGAGGTTGACGCATGCTGACGTCAGTGCTTCGGACCAATGGAAGCATCGCTTAGACAGCCTCTCTCCCTCCTTCTCCTTCTCTCTCCAGCACTGACAAACGAAAGACACCGCCGTTTTTTGTCAAAACAAGCGTTTCAATGCTAAGGCATTAAAAAAATGGTCTCTTACAACGTTGTCAGAATTGTTTCGAACTCGCGGTAAAGAGTATTACCCAAGATATACGTAGACCAGAAGTCCCAGGCCTACATGACAGACGGTTCCGGCGTGTTATCCCATTGTTAGAACACCTGGATTTAAGACGCCTCCTGGCCAAATTGGTCACAAGCGTGCATGCGTCACGTATCACATGGCGAGGAGGCAAGCGGGTGGAAAGGCGGAAACACTCACTGACGATCGACACTCCTGCCTCCTCCTCGCGGCCTGTGTTGCAAACATGGCCCGTAAATCACGTGACCGCTGTCTAGCAGTCAAAAACACTCCGAGACCTAGGCATACTACCGAGTCCCGCAAAAAGCGGCGCCACCTGCCTGTTGTAGAGGGAGTAGAAGAGGCGGCGGCCCCCGTCTGAGTCGGTGGTGCTCAGCTGCAGGACATCCGTGCCCGGCGGGATGTTCTCCGAGATCTCCACCCGGAAGGTGCTCTTGGTGAACTCGGGCCACTGATCGTTGGCGTCCACAATGCTCACCAGCACCTGGAGCGACAGGGCCGATTTGACAGAGCCGCAGGGGCCATGGGGCGATTTTTGTACTCTCGGTAAATACCACCACCCCGTACGATGCCCAGCGTTGTCCAGGTGCAACAACTCAAAAATGCTTTATTGCAGTGGAGGATTGAAATACATCCTTAAGACAGATCACTCGGTCTTCAGAACAAAAGCTGACAGTGGATATGAGGTATGATGGCGTGCACCCCTGGCCTCAAAACTGAGAGAAGAAAGAGTGGTGTAAACAAATTCGAAATGCGCCCGGGCATTTTTTTAAGTCGTAACTTCTTTCATTTGTTCGATGTAAAGTAGTGCCGCAAATGGCCAATGTTGCTCACAAGCACCATTTCGAAAACACGCTTTTGAAAGAAGTTAATTTTTTTCGGAGACCAGATCTTTGTTATTTTGTGAGTTCTAAAACTATGTCAGGGTTTGTACGTAGGTCTCTAGTATTTAAAGGAAAGTTTTGGGCATGAAAGGATTAGAATTTATCCTTGACATTCGTAACCTATGAAAGGTGTGTTAGTTGTTTTTGTTTTTTTTTCCACGCAATGGCAGTTGCAGAAAAACATATGTGGAAGATGAGCAGCGTTCATCTCCTCAACTTGCAGCTAGAACAAGTGGCCATGGGTACACTGCAGAGAAGAAACACCCGCAAGAGCGACCTCTGTGGGTATTGCTTTTCCACAGTGCACCGGTGCTCGGTAAGAAGTGCACTTAACAGGGTAATCAACCCCAACAATCAACATTTTGAAAAGTATGAACATGTATCTCAAGTTTGTGCTCAGGAATAAGGCATGCTTTTCAAAGCTGGATGGTGCTTGTGCGCGCCTGGTGTATTTAGAAAGAAACAGAAACTTTGTAAATGTTTATATCTACATTGCAGCTAAATTTTCTAAATTAAACTGTGGTTGCTATGCAAGAGTATATGTTAGGCAAGGGTGTCTGACAACCTGCATTCATCATTCTTCTTTTTTTTTTTCTTCAATTTGAGATTGATGAAATTTTAATTGCATGTAGCAAGATTTGTAAATCCACTCATTTAGTTATAGCTGGGCATCTCTACAGGTTTAATTTTATGATGAATTTGTCGTTTACTCGCCATCCAAGACATCAGATTTTCTGAGGTCAAAGTTCATAAATACGGCTCGATTAAAAATAGCTTATAAACAAACAAGTGCGAGGTTGAGGACAACCTTTAGGAGTTTAGCTGGGTTTTCGTTTAAGCATGGTGCAACAGTAATGAAAGGCTTGGAGAAACTATTCAATATTTGACTCAAAAATAATCGTCCAAAACCATCATTCCCCTCGAACACAAAATCCACTATTCCCACACGGCTAATTAATCGTTGCGAGCCCAAATCATGGGCTCGCACAGTCCTCCCGTCCACTCTAAATGTCATCACCGTGGGGACCGCAAAGCGTAGCGACGAAATACTGAGAAATGCAATGCTAACAACGCACAACTTCGTCACCATGTTCTGCAAAGGACGGAGTGAAAGAAAACGTCAGCTTTTGTTTCTGAAATTACGCGACGGCAAAGAAGCTTCTTGGTCAGTGGCTTTGCGCGCGAGCATACTTGGGCCCCACTAGTGCCAGCAAGCAAGTGTAAAATGAGAAACATTCCTACTTAATATCCCTGCACGGCACCCTTAACCGTTTGACGGCCACTACACTTTTGAAAGTGCCCGCCTAAACACAAAACCGTGCACATCGCAGGAGGTGCTGTCATTTGTCTTGTCTTTGGTAAACTGTAGACGTTATATTTGCACGGTGTTCTGCTTTGCTGGGCCCATTTATACTGCGGGGTCCCGAATCTTGGGGCAGCCTTTAAAGTGAGCGCATAAATCTGCTTGGAACGTATCGTGCTGCAATTTACCAGGGGTGCTCCAGGGAGGTGGAAGTATATCGCATCAAAATTACAAAGAGCAAACTTACCCAAATTAAAAGTAAAAAGTAAACCACTTTAGCTGCTAATCGAGCACCCTCAGACTAATACAATAGGTGCACGTCACTCCCAGAGCAAAAAGAAAAACTCGTATCTCGTCGATACTAGGTTCACAAAAGACTAAAGCATGTAAACAAAAACTGACGCCCATTCTATGCTTTACAAAAACAAAAAAGACCAAACAACAAGCCTCAAAATTCTTTCAAGGTCCCTGTAAGCTTCCTGTTTGGCCACGTTCCTTCACGTAATCCACCGCGAGGACACAGAAATGTTCCTCTCGTGTAGAAAACAGCGTAGCTGTGGCGTCGGGTTACCTGCGTGGTGACCTTGTCCACGCCGTCGGTGACCTCCACTGAGAGGTTGTAGTTCTGGGTAGTCTCCCAGTCCAGGGGGCTGGCCAGCTTGATGACTCCTATCTTGTCAATCATGAACTTCCCCTCTTGATTACCGTCTGTTAGTGGACAAGGGTGAGAAAAAAAACGCGGAAAACGGCCGTTACTCAACGAAAGACCAACCAAGCACAAGCTGTCCACAAGGTGTCTTGTCTACCATGAGTGCACTTCTAAATTCAGTTCGAACCAAAATTTGCTCGTGACTGGATCGTCAATAATGAGAACGCTTTGCCATTGCTTATTCATTTAATCATTTATAATAAATACCCTTGAGGTCAAAGCATTACAGAGGGGGTGGGAATTTAAAAACGCAAGCACAATTCAAAGTTGTTAAATAGGTTCAAGAAGAGAATAATGATTAGCTAGTAGTGCAGCCTTAAACCCGTCAAAGTCTCCGATTGTCGCTGTGGGAGGCAAAAGCCTCCCACAGCGACAATCGTAACAGCATCTAGCAGCATGAACCCATTGGCACAATTGGTGCAGCAATTGCGTCACTGCGATAAACGTGAGGGAACTTGCGGCAAACACGGTCCTCGCTCGTACCGGCACTGCAGACTGCGCGGTTCACGTGATTCCTGTCGGACATCAAGTGATCGATATCCGGCGGGCGTCGGGGGGATGTGCGATGGTTCAGAATTTTTATGTTACGGACATTCAGCCAAGAAAAACAGTATGGACGATCTCTCGGGCGCAGGCGTTCTGTCGGAACTTTACGGTAGTTCTTTTCTTGTAATATCCATTCACATTTCGTCAGTCTCACTGGTTGGTTATAATTAAGGTTCCGTGTTTTTGAATAAGTCCGAAAAAAATTCGAAAAAAACACTTCTCGGTAAATTTTCCATGGACTCAAATTTATTTAAAAAAAAAACTAAAAATTTCAAGGTCGAGAACAAAATACAAGCAAAGAAGACGGTGTTTCACAAATAAACTTTATAAGAGTACAGGGTCAGTGGTCTTAACGACATGTCACTTTAGTTTCCTTCGAAATCTGGAACTACCGACAAAAGGGGTTTCTCTCTTAGCTCGTGAAGGTTTCTTCAGGACAACAGGTCATCATACCCAAACTTTAATCACTTCATTTTAGAATTTTTTTAAATTAGGAACACGGTAAAATAAACTCTGAATTTTAAAGCAATGGGGATCTAACAAGAATAAACTCCGATAAACCACAAAATTTTCAGCAAAAAATTAACTCCGAAAAACGCCTTCCGAATTTTACAAGAAATAAACCTCAAAAACACTGAGTCATAGTCATAACGCACTCGCAGTCCACATCAAAGTCTGTAGAAGGAGTATCTGCGTTCCGCATAGTACTTCCTTTTACAACAGACCAAAATCACTATCACTATCAAGGTCTGTTGTAACGAGTCTGTACCGTATGTGCCTAGAAGGCAGGCATCACGGTTTGGGGGGGGGGGGGGGGGGGGGGGGTCCTCACCAACAATGTTGTACCAGACAAGGTCCCCGTCCGAGTCGCCGGCCCTGACCGTGGCCACCACGTGGCCCACTTTGTCGCTCTCGATTGTGGGAAACACCTCCACCTCCTGGATCTGGGGAGGGTGCAGCGAGTTCTCCGGCCGAGACACCACGTTCAGCAGCACCTTGGAGGTGGCATACAGCGGGGGCTCCCCCTGGTCGGACACCTTCACCTGCGCAGGTCGCATGGGGAGTTTGCTGTCTGTGGGCGTCGACGATTTTGGCACAATCTTAAACCGACGTGCATTGTTGGGCTCCTCGATCGAGCATAGCAGGAGCACAAACGGCGCAATGGACAGAAAAAAGTACAGTAAAACCTCGTTATAACAAAGTTGAAGGAGCGGTCGTAATTATTTCGTTATAACCATTAGTTTGTTATAGCCAATGTCCATTTCTTCCCACTATTAGCAAGCAAGGGGAATTATGATTGCTTTGTTATATCCATTAGTTTGTTATATCCCGTTTTGTTATAACGAGGTTTTACTGTAGAAGCGAAGAGGACAAGTGCTAACTAGCAGCTCACCTTTTCATAGGCATGAAAAAGACGAGAAAGATGTGGTCAGTAGTGCGAAATTAAGGATGATTAGAAAAAGTTCAGGAATGTATGGTTAGTTAAACAAACATCAGAAAAAATTCCTAATTATTTTTAGAATTTCACGTTATTTTACAAAGTGAGAAAGAAATAAAACTGAACTAAAATGTGGAAGAAAAAAAAGATAAAAAGAAATTGTATATAAACTCGGCGTTAAGAACTACAGTTAACGCTTGTCCCGCTCACTTCCACTCGTCCTCAATCGTCGCAAAAGTTGTGTTCTTACTAGTGAAACCTTCTAGTAAACACGACAGTGAATAACGAGAGGGCCGCACAATTGCGCTATTCAATATTCAATTTGAGACAAGCTGTAATATCTACACTTTTCAAAGTCCCGGCAGAGCTGCAGTGGTGGAGGTCTCGCGTCTCGTCACGGGCAAAGCATTGCCAAGACCTATTTTGCTGACATTTTACCAAAAGCTATGTTTCTTCTTAAAAACAGCCGGTGTATGCAATTTTTCTCATAAAAGAGTCACCCTTGGGAAACTTGGAACTGGGGAAAGGTGGGTGAGGGGACCCTTTAAATGTGCCCCTGGTTCGGTGCTCGCCCGCGCAGCTTGTGCACCCACTCACCAGCAGCTCGTGGCTGACCCCGTTGACGAGGGCGGACCGGGTGTAGATGGCGCCCGTGGCAGGATCCATGTGGAACATCTGGCCGTCCCCTTCTACGATACTGTACCTCAGCTCCCTGTTGACGCCCTCGTCCAGGTCGGTGGCCAGCACCTGCCACCGGAGGGCGCCAGGGAGGCCAGTCAGACAAGTGTGCCTAGATTTGAGAGTGCTTCCAACTGTTCCAAAGGGATCACGTGGCTTAGGGGTTATATTTTCACATGCATCTGCAGAGCGGTGTTCAGTCATGTTTGCAAGCTTTTCTAAGCTTGTTGCGTTTGCTTCGTGCCTTGCTTCAGGTAGCATGCGGTTCATATTTTATCTCACGTTTGCCCCTCCCCTACTGTAATGCTCTCACGGGCAGAGTGGGGTATCCAAAAACAAATAAATAAATATTTTTGTTTTTTTATTTTGCAATGCAAGTTGCGAGGGAGAGGTGAAAGCGCCAGCGGCTCGAAGGCGTCTCCAAGCTTGACTTAGCCTTTCAACCCGTTGTCCTCCTCGCCATTCCAAAAAGCGCGCCTGCGCACATACAACACACCTGCACCGGAGGTGTCCGCCACTAAATTGCAAATGCCTTCCACGGTGGGAGTTCCCTCCCTGAAATCTAGGCTCTCCATCAGACAGATGGTACGCAGATGCTCACGACACCAACGAGACACAGGAAAAAAACAATAAAGGCAACCAGAAAAAAAAGACAGGAACGTGGAAAGAAATGAACGCATCTCCACGTGGTGAATGATGTTGATTGGGGCGAAGCTCTGGTGGTGCTGAAGATACTGATTTTGTTCATATGTAGTGCTGATGGTGCTGACTTTTTTATTTTTTTGACACCTTACAGCAGATTCTTGCGCCCTAGTCTCCGGAGCAGCTTGCTGTCTGCGTAGACGCTGAGCCGCAGCATGTCGAGCCTTTCGTTCGTTTTCATCCATGTCAGAAAGAGAATGTGTGGTATGGAACGTGGTTATATACGCATTTGAGCATTTGACCGCAGCGCCCTCTCGTCTATAGACGTTAAGCCAATGCCTGCAAAGTTTAACGCGATTATGTATATACGCATTTGACCGCAGCGCCCTCTCCTGTATAGACGTTGAGCGGCTACATGCAACGTTTCATCCATGAAATCCCCAGCTCTTGAGCCCCCACTCGTCCCGCAGTCGTGGCCAAGTGGTTAAGGCGATGGACCAGAAATCCATTGGGGTCTCCCCGCACGTGTTCGAATCCTGTCGACTGCGCAAACTTTTTTTCTTTTTTTAAGAATACAGATGGGAATCGGGATGGCAATCGATGTGAGCATGGACGCCGGACTGACAAGGAGCTTCGCCCCTAAAAGGAAATTGCGTAAGGGAGTGAGCGAGAAAACCCCACCAACTCTACATCACAAGGGCATGTAGATTCGGAGTTGAGAAATCCCGGCGGCAGCAATCGGGATCAAAGTATCGAGCGTTTTTCCTTCAATGTATGAAGTGTTGTAATACACACGAAAGAAACCCCATTTTGATCATGAGACTTGTCCTCGAGTCTCACGATCGACGTGGGCGGTTGTGAAAAACTGGTTCTGAAGCGGTTGGCTAAGATGCGGACCAACCCCATGACATTCCACGCAGAGAGCTTTCCCTTTTCCAGGAAATTTGGGGCCTCGTTTTTGGGCAGCGGGGTGAGTTGCCGTCAAATGTTTGACAGGAAGTATGTGAGAATGCTCCAATTAAGATAGTGCTAAAAAAAATGCCCACTTTGCAGCTCTGTTTGTGAAGGCATTGACAAGCATGCTAAAGCAGAATGATACGCTACAGCTCTTTGCTAACCCTTTTGGAAGTGTTCAAACACGTGTTCCTCGTCACTGCCTTTCAGCACATAAAATGCGAACCCATTCCCGATGCCTATCATTCGATACACTGTTGCGTGAGCTGTTCTCTTTTACTTTTGGTAAAGATTAGACGTCGTAGATGGTATGCGTAAGCTTTGCATTACTAGCGGGAGCTTTTGCCGTTATGTTGAGCACAGATTGAGCTGGCGATCAAAGGATCTGAAATATGCAGCGTATGATCAATGAAAAGTACCTAATGAAAGGAGACAATGCGATCGTTTCGTACAACCTGTTGCAAAGCGGGCAACAGCAATTCCTATATTAATGCACTTGCTTTTTCTGCGAAAACTGCATAATGCACGTACACGTTGATCAGAAGAGTACCAAGGCCAACAGTCCCTGCCAACGTCTCCGCCGCCGTCCCCGCTCCTCTGGTTCTTCGTTCGTCCGCGAGAGTGCAAGCCGCCAACTACAGGGGGCTATCATGATCATTGTTTGTGACATAGTGGCAGTGTTGTACGGAACGGAGTTCCAAGGAACAACATTCCTGGAATGTGTTCCTTTTAGAACACGAAAAGGGCATGACGTCAGTCACATAGCTTTCCCAAGCCCTCCTCCATCCTTCTCGACAATTTCCCTTTGAAATATAAACCATACCACCACTGAATGGTGCAAGGTTGCATCTACAAACTGAGTGGCACCAGCTTTCACCATGGTTCTGTTCATGATCGTGGCAGCTGACTGCACCTGCTGTTTCTCATTTAATTGTGCAACGATAAACTGAAAAAAAAAAAAGTTACTGTACACTCTGTTAACCATTGCGCAAGTGGATACCAGGGTTCTAACGATGTGTGTAACTTTATTTAGCTCGAAAAATGTATTTTGCTTTGAAAATACTTGAGAATTTCGACGGCAATTATTTTCGGCACGTGCCCGTGCGAAATATAGTGTGGAGTGTTCACACAACTTCAAAATACAGTTGGGGATGTTCTTGGTATGCATTGCAACCAACATTGAACCATGCAGTTAAGTTTGACTAGGGTTTTCTTTTTTTTTTTAAATGTATCGTGACCAACGAACTCATTTTGAAATTAACACGCGGTTTTTTCGCCGGGGTGTTGCCAGATGACCTTGTTGGTTGGCTTGTAAAACCCTAAGATCTGAATATTTGCTTCGCCTTGCCTTAGCTCAGAGCGCAGCCATTGCTACGGGCTGATGAAGCCACTGAAGCAGTGCCAAGAGATCCAAGGACGCACGTAGCACGACTGTCGAAGTCACCAGATTTGAAGCACGCGAAAATTCACTTCAATAAAGTCCACTCAGTGCTGCAACAAAGGGCTAAAAACCATTGTTTGAGCAGCTCGGTGACTCTCAGAAATCTAAGAAAACACAAGTTTACATTACTGTGAAGTTCAATACGTAATCCAACGGGGCCGTGCCGGTGAACGAAACTCATCGCAAAAGGTTTTTGCAGTCGCTCACACTGCAAAGCCCCGATTCGTTCTCAGCAACGCCATACACTTTCGTTTACTCAACCAGCTCAACGGGTCGGCTCGTCCTCGTCATGGTTCATCGTCCACCCATCAAGATCTCGCATGTCTCGCTGGTGTTGCCTTCACGCTGTTCTCATTAAACCTACCAGACGGAGCAAGCGCAGTACTTTGGCATGCACAGCTGACACACTGCAGCGCATCACGTCCGTCGTCTGCCTCCTTGGGGCCTCACCCACCTCGACTTCACTTTGCTCACGTACACCCTACCAGAGGAAGCGAGTGCAACACTACCGCCACATCCCCTACAACCAACCACCCAACTCGCAAGTGACAGGATCACGTGCACCCCGCGTGGGCGCAAGTAGGGTTTAAACTTTTTTATGCCTGGGCATAAAAAAAGTCACGTGATCTATTCCCCATGCTGTGCATGACCAACTAATGGCAGCCGCAGATATTCTATGCGTAATTTCGAAAGGGTCTATTTTTGCGAGGTCGTTAGGGACGACACAATTAACACGGCACATCGGTGTAGTGTACTGCACATTTGAGTAGTTATTTTGATGCAGCAATAAATAAAACATCAAAAACGCCGATGGTGTAATTAAGCAGTTCTTGCGCACCATTACCGCAGGCTACTGTAGGCATGGCAACAGTCCTAGTATGCGGTGAAATTCATGCTTCAACGTTTCAGCACGAACTTCTGGTCACACTGCCCCACCATACGGCAGCCTGCAGTTACGCTCTGCTAAAACTGCCTATTAGTAAACATGGCGCACGTTGATATCATGTGTTGCAATTCACTAAAACCGCAGTAGTGAGCAGTGAGCTGCGAGCCTCTGACACAGAGACATCGATACTGTGAACGCTGCTCTACCAGAGCCTGACGGTCACCCTGCGCGGCTTACGTTTTAGAGCGCTGGTGGCCAGGCACAGTGCAAATGCCACAATACTTTGACCACCCACAAAAATATTTTGCCACACACAATGACGTGACTGCCAACCAAAACGTGCTCGCACTCCACACATTTTCAAAAGTTTTGTGATGCGTCCACAACCCCCCCCCATGGGGAAGAAAACAAAACAAAAAAAAGCAGGTTTGTTTTCCTAACGCACGTCAATATTTCCATGACCCGTGATATACTCCTGCCCTGACTGTTTCACATTTTTAATCAAACAAATTAATCAATCAAACAATTAATTTAAGCACGCTGACCAGCGTCAGCAATCAGGCGCATGAAAAACCTGTCCCCGTCTCTTCCGCCATCTTGGAACTATTGCTCCACCATCTGTAGGGCACTCGAGTTTCGAATAGCCAGTGGACCTGGGACAGCAATGAAAGGCACTCACCTGGCATAGCTGAACAGGCTCCAGCTTGTCCTCCATCTCGAGCACCTTGAAGCGGTGGGATGACTCTAGGAACCACGGCCGGTTGTCGTTGACGTCGGTCACCGTCACGATCACCTGAGTGGTCGACGACAGTGGGGGGCTGCCGCCGTCTGACACCGTCACCTGCGCGATCGGTCACACCTTCGTTTTGGGAACGGGAGATCTCGTGTTTTCGAAGCAACTTTGTTACTACCAAAACATGCACCCTCTTTCTTTCTTCATTTCTTTCTTTCACACCATATCATCCCTCGCTTACACATACCCAGTACACATACATAAGCACCAACTGTCGATTTCCTTGGCTTACTTTTTGAATGTCACTCTTCCTCCTTGTCTTAGGAGGCAACACGAGGAAACATAAATATAAAGCTAAGGTAGGGGCCGCATGACTTTTTACAGCCTACGATAGAGCAGCACCACTGAACAGCCTTTGTCGGTTCTTGAAAATGTCATGTCGGAGCCAACGTTGTGAGGCAAATCTTCTATAAGGAAGAAAGGCTAGCTTAATCTAAGTAAAAGTTTCTTGTCGTTTTTTTTTTTGGAGGTTACTCAATGTTTTTCCATCACAAATTATATCAAAATACTGCAAACAATTTTTTAAAAAATTGAGATTTTTTAAATTTTGACGTGCACTTTTGACATTTTTAGAGAAATCAGTCGCATTTCTGCATCAATAACACAAAAACAATAGTGGCTAAGCGTATAAATTTTATGTATTCGTAAAATTCATTAAATATGCTGATTTTTATATATCTTGCACAATTTTATCGGCAGTAGTTTATTGCAAAATAATTTGTGAATGTGAATCTGAAACGTTTTTACACGACGTTTAGTAGCTTTCTTTTACATCGAAATGTTTTATTGTAAATTCTTATTATTCTGTGTACATGCATTGTACACCTTTAATAGAATAAATAGAAAAACTTACTACTATGTGCATGCTTTGGTGTAATATTGACGGCTGTGCAAAGTACCATAGGTAAATGTTGGCAATCTGCATGCCTCGAGCTTCAAAGTTTTATATATCCGAAATAAAATTAGCTAGAACGTTCATGTATAGTTTAAATGGTCCTGATAAGCACATGGCTTTCACATATATTTTTAACATAACTATAAAAAAGATATGACCCTGAGCATCATCGTGCATGGAAACATCGTCCCTTAGTTTGTGTGACTTTGCTTTCGTTTATTTACAATGTTGTTGCTTTTCATTGATCTTAAATGCTGGGCTAACCTCTGATTGCTAACTAGCCCTTGATTACCAAGATGTCCCTTTGAGAGTTTTTTTCAAAAACTTTGAAGCCCCTGCCTGAATAAATATCTTATGAAGGGACAACTTGTTTGAAAATAAATGCATATTTTGAATCGATTTTTTCTTCAAAGCCTTTCTCGACAAACAAACAAATTAGTCGTTAGTTGTTTATAAAGCCGGAGTTTAGTCTGCCAGAATGGCAACGTTGTTACCCACGTACTGTAGATAAGCAATTTAGCCAGTGCAGTATGACTGCTAGCCTGGGGTCTTTAACGTGCACCACGCAGTAGTGATACACGACCGCAAGCCGGTACGATGCTCATCCAGATCGGAATGGGCAGGAGTGGGGATGGGGATTGAACCCAGGAATCCCTGGGTTCTGCAGTGCACGCTTTCGCTCCATGTGCTTTGAGCTGGTGTGCACTGGCCCACTCGGCCACTGATCCCCCACCTCTCTTCAGAAGCGTCGTCGATGGCGCTAGCGTCATAGAACGCCTGGCAGCCTTTGACGTCGCGGAAAATTAGGTGAACACAAGGCTTCATTATGTGTCGTATCGTTTGTGCGCAACATAAGCAGAACTGTATCTATGTTTTATCATTAACAGGTTAATCATGCAAAAATAATTAATCAGTTAATTAGTGACCAATACGGCACAAATCTATTATTCTGCCCCTGCGTAGCTTCTAGAGGAAACATTTTACCTTACGGAAGCTGAAATATCCTGTTTGTCTGAAGTTTCGCTTTACCATTTCATCTAGCTGCTGTTTATTGCTATGTGACTTACATGAAAAAGTATATCACCAGGCATTGGGTTAAGGTATATAGACGAAATTGTGATGAGGTCTGTCCAAAACATTCAACATTTACATATACCAAATAGAAATGCATCATTGTAGTTTTTATACTAATTCCTGTTATGTCTCCATATAAAAAAATAAAGTTACATAAGCACTTTGCTAACAAAAATATTTACAAAGATGCAAACAGCGATTGTTTGATTCTCTGTACGGTAATGCAAGAGTCTAGAAGAATCATTGCTATTTATTTGGGAGTTTTAGTATAACGTACGCAATTTTAGCGCATGCTAGCGTTAAATTTAGCGCTTGTGTTAGCGCATGTTATGCAAGTGTGTTTAAGAATAGCGTTTCTCTGCCGCAGCGCACAAGCCCAAGCATCTCGCGCTTGCAACACCACCAAGATGCCGTAACAATTTTTATTCCGCACACAAAATGCATTAACTTAAAAAAAAAAAAAACTTTTAGCCTTTCCATTTTGGTGAAGAAGGAAGAGCAGCGGAGCTGTAGCTTCTGTTCTCAACGGTAATTTTTCTGGCGAGTGATCTGCTCTTCTTTCGCAAGGGAATCTGAAGCACTCGACACAGTGGAACTTTAGGCGATAGCGGCCTCGTGGCGGTTGCGGAAGCATTCGCGCTTCTGCGCACATCGCCGCTCGTTCTGTTCCCACTCTTCTGCCTTTGAAGAAATGTTGTCGCCATCTATGAGCGACGGCAGCAACCAGTTGCCTGGTTGCCGATGGCTCAAAGGTTGCCGCGATCTATGAGCGACGGCAGCAACCAGTTGCCTGGCTACCGAGGCTGGAAAGGTTGCCTCGATCTATGAGCGCCGGCGGCAAGCAGACAACCGGCAAACACAACACTCTGGACAGCTACCGCCATCTATGAGCGACGGCGGCAACCTGAGTGTTGTGTCAACATTTGTTTGGTACCAGGTCCAGGCACGATCCTGGGGAAACTAGCCATTAACAGCTCCGCTGTTTTACACAAACAAACAAGCTTTTGGTTCAGAGTAAGATTTTAGATTTTTTTAAATATGAGAATTCGATTGGAGCGTTCGAGCGGTCGTATCCGCTTGCGTCGCTTCGACAAGAGAGGTCTCGTGTGCCGAACTTTGGATACCGTACTTTCGCCGAGAAACGTCCGCGCGTCGCGAGCAGCAAGTTGACGGACGGCGATCGTTGCCCTCCTTGCTGGGTCTTCCAAAGCATTTCTGCTTTCTGACGTGCACCTCCCATAGGAGTGCCATGTCGTCCTGTGTCGTCCTGTGTTGTGTCGTCCAGTTGCAAGGATGCCGCCGACGTCGCGCTCGTGACGCCGCCAAAGCGGCCGCAGGTCCTGGGAGCCGCCATTTTTTAACTTTGCTCGTCTTGGCTTTAGCCAACTTCTCTTTACGAATCCACCTTGGACAAAGACTCTTTGCGTGCGCACGCAATTTCCGATAAATAGCGTACGCTAAGATAGCGCACGCAAAGCTCTAAACGTGGTTTGCGTTCGGCGCAAGCGCAGTGGCGACGACGCTATTTGCGTACGCAAAGCTTTAGCCTCGTCGCCACTGCGCATGCGCCGAACGCTAACCATGTTCTGCGCTTTGCGTGTGCTATTTTAGCGTACGCTATTAGGGAGTTTTCGTAGACCGCGTTTCGCCCGCCGCAACGAAGAAGCCGCTACTGCGCCTGCTTGCAGATGGCCTTGACTGCACAGTTCCAGGTATCGTAGCGGGTTACGGAGACCGTTGCGGGACGGCGAAAACGGTCATACGAAGACTTCCTATTTTTCGGAAACTGCGTGCGTACGCAAAGAGTCCGCTCTACTCCAAAGATGATTCGGGAGTATCGGCACTCCGTTCCTCGACATTGTTGTGGGCGCCGCCATTTTGGCTCGTATGCAGAACAGACGCAACTGCCGATCGTCAGGATTCAAAAGTACGACTTCCTCAGCATTAGATTCGGTGTTAGGAAGGTCATGTAATATTGCTTTGCTTTGTCGCGAACGGTTTAAACATTTGTGGACGGCGGAAAAGCATTTCCTGTGATTTCAGATAAAGCTTCAGATAACTGGCAACCATGATTTTAAGACACAATATGGCCAAGTGTCATTACTCTGAAGCGTAGCTTATTTAGTGACACTAACTACAACGTTACTAAACCACTCAGTTTGGGAAACTGCCATAAAGACTACTCTCAAAAAGTGGCCCCGATCTGTCTACGCGAAAAATCGCTGCGGCCGCTCGAGGAACTGCACGTGACTTCTATTTTTGCTTTAATCGGCCATTTTGGCGCCGAAACAGATACCACCGTCTCCCCAGTTAAAATGCATCTAGGTCGGGACGCGCTACCTGAAAGCACCGCTGAGGCATGGTTGTATAAAAACAATATTAATTGGGCCGCAAAACCTTGCACACTAAAGATTTTAAAAGCAACACGCGCCCCTCATTTTGTACTAAACGCCAATAAATTTCATGCAAAAAGAGTCTTTTTCGTTTGTTTTTACGCAGAAACATGTTTTGTATAAGCTCAAGGTGACTACAGTTAAGACAAATGATAAAGAGTGGCGCTGTCGTCGTATTTAGCTTGGTCTCGGTGGACGCCAGTGGCCCAGGTTTCGACGGCGAGTTTCCCAACTGAGTGTTTTCGTAACGTTGGCCAAAGCCAAGACGAGCACAGTTAAAAAATGGCGGCCCTCAGGACCATGGCTTCGACCGCTTTGGCGACGCCATGGGCGCGACGTCGGCGGCATCTTCGCGACTGCGATTATCAATACGGGACGACATTGCATTCGGTTTGGAATACTCAGTAAAGTGGGCAACAATCACCGGCAACTTGATGCTTGCGACGCGCGAACATTTCTCGGCGACGGTACCTGCGGACGCGACCGCAGCGATTTTCCTACCCCCCCCCCTCCCCCCCTTACGGGGTGTAAATTTTCCTTTGATTTTCTGAAGGTGCCCCCTTAATTCGCAACGACTCTTATATTCTCAAATGCACCCCCCCCCCTTCCTAACTCCCCCCCAAAAAAAAATTTAGACCACCCCTCTTAATTTCAATACCTGGGGAAACCCCTGCACGACCGGTTAACCGCTCGCGTCGCATTCTCATGTTTAAACAAATCTAAAATGTTAATCTAGCCCAAAATCTTTTTTTTTTTTTTTTTCAAGTTACATCATTTTGGGTGTGAAATAAAAAAATGTGAATATATTGCTGGCGTTGCAAGCGCGAGATGCTTGGGCTTTTGCGTCGCGGGGGAGAAACGCTGTTCTAAAACTATCTTGCGTAGCGTGTGCTAACGCAAGCGCTAAGTTTAGCGTCAGCGTGCGCTAAAATTGCGTACGTTTTTCTCTAAAACTCTTTATTCTAAAACTGCCTATGGGCCTCACAAGTTATCTACACTGAGAGTGAGCTATGCCATCGTCTGTGAAATCGCGAAAGATTCGAAAGGAGCAACAAGGAAGAGGCCGCGCGAAGGGGCAACAGCGCCTATTGACACCGTAAGTGTGACGTTACAGCTCCAAACAAACCGTTGCTAGGGGCGTTGAAATGAACGAATACATGGGACTGGATTCCGCTCCGAAAGAACGATCGGTCAAAAATCGAATGTGGAATTTAAACGTCTAAAAATAATAGATAAAGGAAGCCGATATCTCACACCTACCCCGACAGAAGTTTGCGGAGAATGGGCTGTTTCTAAGATAGTTGCTACGGCAACTTCCGGCTCTCGATACGTCTCGAGATGCCTGTTGCAGACGGTGGACGCACGACGAACGCACACGGAATGACTGAAATATGCCGTCTGCAACAGTTTGAATCGTTTGCACAATGATACGATTTTGAATTTATTTGGAACATGGCATGGCCTAAGAAAACTAATCAGGATTATAAAAACGAGTCGCATTTGCGTGCGATACGGGATACGGTGTGACGAAAATCATTACACGTGTGAAGATCTGTTAAAAATAGAGCGAGAAAAGTATCTGTTTAGAACATTATTTCGAAGCAGTGTCGGGCCCTCTTTCTCATTTTGCAATTAACGTGCATTGTGATGAAAGAGCAACTATTTTGACTCTATAACATGAGCAATTCCAGAACCCAAACTTCGTTTATTTCAGGCTCGCAGTATGGGTGTGTGTTTCGTACCTGCCTTGAAATCGTCAAACTGAGAAACAAATCCTACTGTCTCTTCAGTTTTAAGTAACACCCCAAGCGTGCATGACTGCATGAGAAGGAACGCTTCTCCGCGCCTCTAGAAGATACGAGTTTACTCTTAACCCGAGTGTAAAAGATAAGGAGGTCGAAATGACCTTGCCTAGCCAGTCTCGCCCTAGCTCACTCCCGAACAATCCCGGTCGAATGCTCGAGATGCCGAGTGTAGCTAGATAAGGAGCCGAGCGCGGCTTTATCGACTCACAGCCAGCTGTCACGCCGACGCATCGTCGCTCGCTGCTGCCACCGCTACGCTCATCCTCTATATTTTTTTTTCTAGGCACAAGATCACCGATTTAATCTTTATTTTCTGTTTTACGCTTGTCGATCCGTTTCCACCTGCGACAATATGTACATATATATGCTATGGACAATTCGCTTGATCACACAGATGTGAACTGATGCAACTGTGCTGTCAGAAATCCTTGACACGTGTGTTGTCCTTCACTTCGACCTTGATACACTTCACGTCGTCGTCGTCGTCATCGTACGTTATTTGGCTTCACAGTGTTGTCACCTTCTCAAATATTGCGGACGCGAGCTCCAGGGGAAGGCGCCCGCGCGCTCGCGTTCCTCGAGCGTCAATCAAAGCTGTGCACGGGCACGCTTCGCTTCCGAAATCCCACAGAAGGTTGACCCCGAAAATGGAAGTTTCGTCGATCGTCACCAACTTCATTCAACGCGGTCTTGTATCCATCAGAAAGAACCACTAAAACTGCGAAGTCATTGTGTCGTCTGCTAGTAAGGCAAAGCCAGTTGTGAAACTTTATTACGGTTTTTGCCATCGCTTGATGGCACTGAGACGATAGGACAGGCACGTAGCCAGGATTTTGTTTCGGGGGGTGCCGCCCATGACAAAATGCTGTAAGACGAGGAGGGGGGAGAGGAGGTGACAGCAAAATGGAAGATTTCGGGGGGGACTCCCCCCTCCCCCCTGGCTATGTGCCTGCGATAGAAGAATGCCTAATGATTAGATACTGAAAAGTGACAAAGCTTACAAAAAATTATTTACTCTTTAATTTGACAATATCTAACCTGACGCCTAGCCCTATGCATTTGTCCATTACAACGGCCTAAGTAACGGTTTGTTTGGAGCGGAACGCTATCACGTGGCGCCATCACGGTGGAAGTAACACATGTTTCTTCCACCGCGGATGCCAATCATTGGTGTGCAAACACTCGAGACACGAGCCGCGCGCCACTTTTGGGGAGAACATGGCGTCTGAAATCTATAGATGAGTGCTGCGCTGCTGCGCTGTGCCGCCATGATCTTCCGGAGGGCTGCACGTTGCACGTGCCTCTTGCACCGACACACCTTGCGCTACTTTTAGCATGAAGGGGCTTTAGCACGCAACTACCAAAACTGCCGCTACGGTAAATCCTAAAACACAAACGCGTCCTTTTTTTTTTTCATTTGAAAGGTAAGGTTTTTGTAACTTGAGCGTTAGACAATTACCGTGACCGCCAGGCTGACCGCGCCTGGGTGTGGACAGTGGTGTGGACTATGATCTCGGAGGTAATGCAAACATCCAAACGCGGATGTGTTTCGCGGAGAGGCCACAGGCCGCCGCGTGGCGCTGGCTGAAAGGGCACCCCACATGTGGCTCTGCGCTACCATGCATATCGGTAGCCGTTCGACGCTGCTCCTCGTATTGATCCGGCGGCCGGGTGCTCATGGCTCCAGCGGGGAATCGATACGCTTTGAAGAGTAAAAAAAAAAGCTATGGCTATGCAGAAGCCTAGTTTGCACGAGCGCTCGCGCACCTGAAGGACGACTTTTTTTAAACAACCCTCTAGCGCTCGTTACTCCCAGCAGGGCGCAGCAGGGAATCCTAAAGTTCGAATAAATGCAGATACACCGAAGTGAGCGAAGCATTACCTCGAGAACATGCTTGTCTTGAAGTTCTCTGTCCAGGGCCCTTCCAGTCGTGGTGATAATGCCTGGAAATAAACGAAGAGTTCAATTAAACACACTAATGAACAACGAGTGCTGCAAACGCAAAGAGGGTAGCCGGAATAATTTTAATAAAGGCTCAAGAAATACTCCGCTTCACCTGATGACGGAACGCAATGAACGCTGTGAGCCATCAAGCCAGTACAGCGCTGCGATTGTCCCTTTGTGCCCCGCGCGCTGCAGCAGGACGTCTCCCGAAGGACACCCACGGGGCATTTGGATTTGCTTCGATAGCTTCCATGACAGACCATGGTAAGCCGAATCGGGGTGTGGAAGCCATAGTCACACTGACACAACGAGATTAGAACGACAGAGAGGTCCTTCGGTTGGTGCACTTCCGGCGCGAGCTTCTCACCTTCCATAAAGCTGCAATGCTTCCAGAGCCTAGAGAACGCACGTGCTACCAAAGAACGGCAGAGACATAGCCTCCTACATACTGACACAGCCTGGCGGATCACCACGAGTATCGGCCGCCGAAATGGAGAAAGTGGAGCGGCAGACAACAGATGAGAGGGAAGCCACGTGACTGGCGCCCCGCTGCGGCGAAATGCCGAAACACTCTTCTCCCGAGCGAAGAAATAAGTTTCGGGTCCTCGCCGCTGCAAAAGTTGTGCACTGACGTTCAGGTTCCCCAAGAAATGGCTCTTTGATGCTCTGTGATACTAGATCCTCGCGCTCCGAATCTGCGACCGGGCACTGTTTGGCTCCGTCGTCGGTCTGCCAGGCTTTGTTTATATAGAGGAGGCTATGGCGGAGAGTAATGATCGAGCGCGTGCTGGAGGACATGGCAACGAGGTGCGTCGGTGGCTCCTTCGGGTGGTGCTCATGAACGACGCGACGAGCAGGATTATCGCTTATCGGTTACAATTTTCGTGGTGCGTGTGAAAAGCACGGTGGAAGCTTGGTGCGCTAAACTCGTCAAACACAAAGTTGGAGCCAAAAGATCGCGGAGCACGCCGATTGGACGTGGGCGAAAAAAGCGCGAAGTCATCTTCGGGATAGTACAATCGGTGCACTCCGTGAACTTCGGCCCCAACTTTCTGTTTCACGAGCTTAGAGCCCTTGGAGTCATCGTCTTTTTAAAGCAACACACTCAAAGTGGACAGTCTGACATTCTTCTTATCTCAATTAATAAACGTAGAATTCGTCATGCTCAAGACGTCATAATGAGCGTTTGGTCAATCCTGGAAGGCAGCGCCATTTACACTCTCAAGAAAAAAGGGTGTAAAAGGGTGTATCGTTACACCCTTTGTCCCCTATAATACACCCCAAAACTTCACTTCGACGTACAGAGCCCTATAGTCGAATAGGCGGCCCCAAATTTTACAAGGGGCTTGGTAACAGTGCAATATAACTTTTTAAACAGCTAAAGTCCTTATCAAAGACCACAAAAAGACAACACCGCGTTTTTGCAGTAGGGCCAAGAAAACCCCGATTATTTTTTTTTTGTAGTCAGTAACACGTACATTAGCTATTTTAATAAGTTGTACCACACGACTATCAAGTCCCTCGTAAAATTTGGGGCCGTCTGTTCGACTATAGGGCGCTGTACGTCGAATTGAAGTTTGGGGGTGTATTATTGGGACAAAGGGTGTAACGATACACCATTTTACACCTTTTTTCTTGAGAGTGTACACTGAAAAGTTTGGCCCATTAGCCGAGCTTGTTGCCCGCTAGAACCAGCGGATTTCGCGAGACCACAAAATGACAGTAGTTCTTTCTCTTCTTTATTCCTGAGAAGTCGCATAGATTTCCTATGAGTCAGAGCCACATATAATGGCGGACGGAAGTGGTCATCTCCCGGTTGTCAGACTACGCGCTGCTGTGGTTGCCAGACCGTCAAAATTTCTTTAAGAAGGCCAAACTCTCTGAGTATAAATGGCTCTAGTGGAAGGTCGATCACAGCGACGCTTTTAGTCGCGGACTTCGCCAATATTGATGCTACTTTCGAAGCGGACATGACTCAGCAAAGTGCAATTTGTTTGGGTCTCAGTATATGGCAGGGGTGGCCAAACTGCGGCTCTTCCTGGGTCCAAGTGCAGTTCGCGGTTTCCTGGTAAGCGTACCCCTCCTCCTATCCCACGGCAAGATCAGAAGGGAAAAACAAAGTTGGTAGAAACACTTAAGACTGCTTGTGTGCAGGAATGCGAAAGCATTCCTGCACGCAGCGCATTCCTACGAGCAGCGGGCCGCGTTTTCCTTTTTCACACGGCGCTCCGTGGGTGACATCACGCTACCCCACTGCGCAGGCGCAGCAAACCCCGCCGGCTCCACGCCTTTCGTGACGATGCATCCGCGTTGCTGTGCTTTTTTCTGTGTTTTATTCCTGAGGCGCGTCCGCTTTGACCTTCAGCGCCTCCCCCCCCCCTCCCCCCTCCTCCACGGCTTTTGTGACGTAGCATCTGCGTTGCTGTGCTTTTGGCCAATGGGAATTCATGATCCGTTTCGCAGCTACAGAGGGTTACAGCCAACGCTGGCTTCGCTCCATGGAACCAGTTAATGCTTTCACATTAATATACAATGCGTGTTTCAAGGCGAAAGCCTTATATGTCCCATTACGCGAAAAGGCGTCGGCGTTGTGCCCGAAAGAGGACCATAAAAATTCGTTACCAAGCACAGTTCGAGGTGAAAACGGACGCGCCTCAGAAATAAAACACAAAGAAAAGCACAGCAACGCAGATGCTTCGTCACGGAAGCCGTGAAGACGGCGGGGACGCCGCGCCGGCGCGAGGGGGAGAGCGTGATCATGATGTCAATGCCGGAGTGCCGTGTGCACCAAATACACACCGAATACAATACCGGCACAAACAACTTTAACACACGCAGAAACATTACTCGAAAACATTTCACCCGCGGGACTATAATGCTTTCGCACTCCTACACGTAAGCAACCTTAAATGTATTCGCCGTGTGTGTGTGTTTTTTTTCTTTTTTTTTTTGTAAAGTTAACAGATGTGTTTAAAAATACCGTGAAACCTACACTTATGCGGTTTGTGCAGGTGAGTTATCCGGCGAGTGGGACATAGTATAAGGGGCTAATCGTAACGATCAGTGGTCGAATTAAGTAAAAACTGTGAATAGACCCTTTCCGGAATTCAGTGCCATCTGGTGACTCAAATGGCAGTTTAACTTTTACTATACTAATGGCGGCAATGAACCTGTGGTCGGCAGCTTTTGATGGGGCACCGTCACTTTCGCAAGTCAACGGTAAATGAGAATTCGTGCTTCACTGTACAGTTCTTTTTTCAATCTCTTTCGGTGTTGATGACAAAACAGATGCAACCAGTCAGAACAAAGCGCCAGCCCACATAGACGCCTTGATAAAATTCTAAACATGAAGGAGCTTTGAAGCCGAGTCTGTGCTTCACTGGGCCAGAGTTAGAAATGAACGCTTACGCAGTTCTTGCATCTAATTCCGGATTCACGTCGCGCTAACGTCTAGAATGTCTAGGCCTCGAATCATCTGCTTAGGAGCATCTTCAACTTCTTGCTTCATCAGTAAAAAGAAGGCCGCCATTAGTATAGCACAGATGCCATTTTTCAGATGATGATAGCGATCAAAGTGGCCAGACTGAATTCCGGAAAGGGTCTATTAACTTTTTAATTAGTGTAAATAGTCATATTGTTCCAATTATAAACTTGGTGAGCGTCATCGATCACCGTTAAATCGGTATTTTTTTTTTTTTTTTTTAATTTTAAAAATTAAAGGAACTTTGTAACGAATTTCCTTGGGTTTCCCAATTTAGGGGAGAAACTACCTGCTCCATTTTTGGGATATATATATATATATATATGTATGTATGTATGTATGTATGTATGTATGTATGTATGTATGTATGTATGTATGTATGTATGTATGTATGTGTGTGTGTGTGTGTGTGTGTGTGTGTGTGTGTGTGTGTGTGTGTGTGTGTGTCTGTGTGTGTGTGTGTGTGTGTGTGTGTGTGTGTGTGTGTGTGTGTGTGTGTGTGTGTGTGTGTGTGTGTGTGTGTGTGTGTGTGTGTGTGTGTGTGTGTGTGTTAGTGTGTGTGTGTGTGTGGAGAGAGAGAGAGAGAGAGAGACTCTGAGAGAAAGATGTTTTATGCTACCCTAGCTCTAAGCCATATCCTGTTTCAAGTCCCAGACAGCAACCAAAACAGACGTCGTGCGGCTGCGCGGCGCCCGTTTTCGTCGTCCGTGTGCTTGGGGTTTAAAGCGATTGCAGTCACCGCGGAACGGGAACCGAATGGGATCCCATTTCAAAGGCAAGAACAGCATCAAGTTTCAAAGAGCGCAAGGCAAGAAGCAGTTGCATCGGCAGTTCCAAAAATGGAAGATCTGCAGCGAAGCCGACACGCGTCACGCACACGGCGTTCATGGCTTCCGATTTCCAATCCCTGGATCATTGGCTGTTCCCGCCCTAAAGATGACCGTTCCCTCGCTAAACAAATTATGAATAAAAAAAAAAAAAAAAAAAAAAAAGAAGGCGCCTAAGAAAGATGCGTGTGAACAGATCGGCGACCCTCAGGAACGCGACATCGTCGCTCTTGTGGTGCAATCGCCCGTAAAGCCGTTATAACCCCCTCGGGATGTTGCGCAAACTACCCGCTGACCCTTCGTCTGGCGCGGCAGGGAAAGTGTGCAAAGACGGGGAGATCCCGGGTCCTTCACTCGTAGAAAAAAAGGGTGTAGTTTTCCACTTTTTTGTTCTATGTAATACACCCCAAAAGTTCAGTTCGACATACAGCGCGCTGATGTCGAACTGACGGCCCCAGCGGCCTGAAGACGGTGCGATATAACTTACTATGCGGATAAAATACCTACCAAAAACTACACAAGAAAAAAAAAAAAAGAAGAAAGAAAGAAAGAAACACCGAGGTGTTGCAATATAAGCAACAAAAAAAAAAACGATTTTTTTTTTTTTTTTTTGTAGTTTGTAACACGTATTACATTATCTATTTTCATCAGTTGTACCACTCGGCTATCGAGCCGCTCGTGAGTTTATGTC